GGGAAAAAGAGAGGGAAAGAGACAGAGAGAGAGAGAGAGAGGCGCGGGGACAGGAAAAGAGAGAGAAAGAGATGGCTGAATGTAGACGGGCCCTCACTAGGGTCTTGGTGGTCGTGGCGGGTCGGTAATGAGTCGGCCCCTGCCCGTTTAAGTGGCGTTGAGGCTGCGCTCTTGTAACGTTAAGAAACATTAAGAAACTAAAAGTTGAGCATGTGTTGAAATGAATCCCGGTGCTGTCCATCCAAGGATAAGCGCGAGGAGGGGCCCCTGGTGTAGTCAATGAGACTCCGGCGCAAACACGTGTGTGCTGCCGCTTTTAGGGCACGATATTGAAGACGACCTTGTGCGCCTGGACCTGTGGGGATGTGACATCAAGACACCATCTGGGTGGGGCAGGAGAACGGCCATGAGGACGGTATTTCGCCATGTCGCCTTTTCACTGCAGTGCACACTCGTCCTTAAATTCTGACTGTAGCAGTCCTTCAACCGGACAGTCCCGTGATCCAGAAGTAGACTCAGCCTCCTCACCCACACTAATAAATTACATGGGTGCAGCGTCCGGTTAGGAATCAAAGGCACTTCTCACCTCCTCGCAAGCTTGTCGTCATTCAGGAAGACGAGCTCAGCTCTCGCTCCCTCGCTCTCACTCCGGATTATGCTCTTCATGTGTTCTCACAATCTCGATCTTCCTCCCCCATAGCAAATAATGCAACCAATCCGAAGTAATTCACACCACCACGCCACATGCAACATCTGCCCACCTCATCGAGCCGAACTTTCAAGACCGCACAGACGTGCATACATACAGGCAAACAGCAAGACCAGGAAGCAGTAAAGCCAGCGTATGGACGTTAACCCCTTCCCCTTCCCTCGCCATCTCCCTGCCTTCTTGCTCAGGGCTCCTGCCCCACCTCCTCCTCCTCCTCCTCCTCCCCTGCACATTTACAATCAATCGGACGAAACAAGCCCTGATGCCCGCCCGCCTCGCACCAGACAGCCGCGACCAGCAATGAATAAAACTCCATCATCGCGCATGCAGGCACATGCTCCCTTACTAAAGGCCGGCACTGTGCACATGAGCCGCACACGCATGGCCGGTGTCCGGAGCTGTGACGTGGGCCGGTCCCCTGAACTGGGGAAGGTGTCCGCGCAAGCACCACCCTTCCGAGGGACAAGCAACCCTCCAGCGCCTTAAGTAGTCGAGCGTTATTCCGGCAGTAGAGCGCGAGGCTGCACCGCACTACACCTCCCGCCTTCTACCCTCCCCCTCGCTGTCCTGTCCTCTCATACCCCTCGACGCCTTCCTCCGCAACGTCCACCAAATCGACTCGGACGCCAAGCCGAGCCGAGCGCCTTTTCCGTTTTCGGAACATCCCCATGAAAATGTGCGCACATGAGTACACTACATTTCCCCCCCCCCACACACACACACACATTGGGCCGGCACAGTGGGCCGGCACCCCCCTTACCACCACAGACACAACTAGGAAGTAGCTCGCGAAGAGCGAGGCGAGGAGAGAGGCGGGTAGCTTGCGAACGACCCCCCGTCCGCCAGTCCTGGCGGCCACCGAACCAGGACAGCGAGAGGAGCTGTTATCAAGACATCACATATCGGGGGGAGCCGGGATAGCTGCTGCTGCTGCTACTGCCACTCATCCTGCCCATTCCCTCTCTGACCGGCCAGGACGACGACGGGGGTGAAGTGAAACGGGAGCGCGGTGATGACGAGGGGCTGTGTATCGGAGCTCGCGGGACACCACCGCCGCTCTCCCCATGCAGCACAAGATCGAGGTTCTGAAAGTCCCCCCCCGGCGGCGTTGAGCCCGCTAAATAAGCAGGAAAGCCTTTTTGCGACAACCACACACAAAAATTGGGGCGGGACGAGAGGGTACGGAAAAAGATGCACAAAGGAACGTGCTCTGCCCTTCTTTATGCGTTAGGGCGCAGAATTAACGATGATGTCCCCTCTCCTCCTCCTCCTCCTACTGCTATTTACGTAGTGTTCCCTCCCGCATTATAGGGCGGGAGGGAACATCACTGCAAAGCCGATGACAATCATCGGCCTTGCCGTCCTGAGGGGAAGTGGCGCACACACTGGAGCAGTAACCCAGATGAGATACTAAGTGCACGCGTTTTTCCCATAGCTTTCAGACCACCACAACCGCCATAACCACCACAGCATACACAGAACATACTCCCCAACTCAGAACGTTAAGCAGTGCCGGCCCCAGCCCGTCATCATCAATCTCCTCAACTCTCCCCCCCCACCGCCTTTCCCCCCTTTCGCAGTCTCACTCCTCCCAGCACGTGCACTCCGCACCTCTACCCGATCTACATGGCGACTGTCGTACAAAACCTGGCAATTATTTCGACAGAGACATGCACTGCAGCTCTCAGCCACACCACCTGCACCTCTAAACCCCGAATACCCACCAACACAGTAACCGTGGCAGCCGTGCCAGCAGGCCCGAGCCCCACGACACGGCCGCGGCCGGTTCACAGCCACAAAGGAAAGGAGGATTTTCGTAAAATCTGCCCGGGGGTTCTGCCCAGCATCTCCTCAAAAACACCGTGCCAAACCCACCGTGTGTCGTGTGTTTGTATCTTTCGTACAGTCGCATGACATTTCATGTTGTGCACAGGACGTAGACCCTTATTACCATTCAACAATGTACGGGGTACGGCAATGGTTATCGTGGAGCAGAGCGCAGAGTTACGCGTGGCGCAGTGGCGGTGTGGAGCAGGGCGGGGCGGGCTCGCGCCAAAACGCTCCCTGCAGCTGATCAGTACACAGCAACACGGGGTTGGAGCACTACGGGGTTGGATTTCCTGAAAGGTGTTTCGTTTTTCCTTGAAGGCTGCACCTACTCCTGGTGCACTTCATACATACATACGTACATACAAAGAAGCGATGCATGTTTTCGATGGGCAGCAGGTGGCGCAACCAGGAAATCGCAATGACTCATGGAAGGGGCACCCACAGGCAGCCACGTGTCATTAGCACTGGCAATGGCGGCCACAGTGCCAGCAGCAGCAGCAGTAGCAGCAGTAGCAGCAGCCACCGTTGCGCAGAGGGGGACTTCTTCCACCCTCCACCTTCATAATACCGCGCGCACACAGGGGGTTATAAAACCGTGCGCCCCATAAAGCCAGTGGACAGAAGAGTGAGCGCTGGAATAATCGGAAGCGCAACATAACCTGCCTCACAAACGCGCTTTCGACCCCAGGGGTCTCCCCCTTTGGACCGTATCAGGGAAGACCATCACCAGCACCACCACCGCTGCAGCCGCCTTGCCGCTAACATCGTCACAGCAAAAGCACGATTGCTAGCACATCACCGCCACCTTACCACAAATTCAGTACACACCACCTCAACCACCATCATCCCCCAAAACCACTTCCCAATACACCACCTGCCGCCATTACACAGTGCCGTACGCTGGCCGTACATTTACCACATGCCATCGCCTAGCAATACTCAACCACCAGAGAGCGCAACAATACACCACCACGTGAATGAATTGCGCACCACACGCAACATATCATGTCACGCTGCAGTCACCCGCGCCATCGCCTAACACCCCCCCCCTAACCAGGGCTTCGTGCCTGGCTGTAGTGGGGTTAAGGGCCGTCAAAGGGCGGTCGAAGGGAAGTCCATAGCTCCGCTCCAAAGGGGGGGGATGGGGTCCCAGAGGGGAGCGCGACCCGGGAGGCAGTGCGGCTGGAAGGAGGGAGGAGGACGCCAACCCAACCGGACGACAGCGAGGAGACCAACTTCACACACTATTCGACCAGCAAATTCCACTACCCCCTGCTTCCTGCCACCAAGACACACACCAAGAGACATACATACATACATATGTATATACATACATACAGCAGAGAGACACCCCGAGCAGATGCAGCAGCAGCAGCAGCGACTTGCAGCAGCAATGGCTGCAGCACCCCCATCCTCCCTCTCACCCGCCCACCAAGACACACAAACCCACGACTGCACTTCACAACGGAGCTTGGGACAAAAAACCATTTCCTCCGCCGACATTGTCCTCCTCCCGGGATCCAAGCCGCCGCAAACCCAGATTGCGGATCCACCTTTTGAATCGCACGAATCCATAACGACTGCGCGCATACACACACTTCACTCCTCCCCTTCCCCCCCTCGCCTGTGCGCTTGTGTGTGCGTGTGAAGGGGGGAGGTGTTAGTGGGGGAGAGGGTTCAGGCCCCAGGCCGGGGCCGCATGGAGGAGGCAACACACCATCAGGGAGCCATCAAACCCCCCATCCTCCTCAGACCTCGACACTGATATCCCCCGGGCTAGCAAGGCCCCGGACAGAGACCCCAAGAAAGCCTCGGCCAAAAACTGGAGTTTATACGGATGCTGTAGCTGTAGCTGCGGCTGCATCTTCGGGGGATAGCTGTGGCCGCGCAGGCCTCAGCTCGGGAGCCCTCCTTCCCCTCCCTCCCCTCCCGGGGGCCTAACCCGCGGAGGACCTTGACCGAGAGCTCACGGCTGCGGCTGCGCCCTCCCCTCAACCTGCGCCACCCACCGCTGCTCACCCCTCCCCAGTGCCGCTAGGCGCGTGTCGCTGACCGGCGGGAAACACACGGACTGCCGTGTGCTGCTGCTGCTGGTGTGTGTGTATACGCACACACACCTCCCTATCACAGCACTGACGTGCGGGATATCGCTCATCACCATCCGGTGGTGGGGATTAGGAGACACCTCCTTTGAGAGGTGAGGAAGGGGGGAGGTGGGGGAGGTGAGGAAAGACGCAAGAATCAGCTGCCTGACGCTTCTCCCGCCTCTCCCAAAACCGCAAACTGCCGAGTGAGTCGCAAGCGATGGGATGGAGGAGTTGGAAACGGGGATGGGGAGGAAGTCGAGGGGAGGATGTAGAGAAGAGGAGGGAGGTGGCGACGGGTAGGTAGGTAGGTGGGCAGGTAGGTAGATGGGTAGGTAGGGGTGAGAGAAAGCCCATCTTTCCACCTCTCCCTCTCGTCACCGCTCCGCACTTCCGTTGTTGTACGGCACCAAGTTGAACTCCGGATAGGCGGGACCCCCGTGTTCCATGTTGTCCAAACCCGCCAGCTCCGTAACCTGAGGGGGGGGACGGGGGGGAAGGAGGAGTGTATGTGGCTTTTAAAGGACCGAGTTGCGAACCGTGAAGGTGTGTGTCTGTGTGTGTCTGTCTGTCTGTCTGTCCATCAGTCTCCCCGCACTCCCGCAGTGAACACCCGACCCTCCTTCCCTCTTCTCCCCCCATCACGCACCTGATCTACCCTGAGCCGACCTGTACGACGTAGGGCCCAAAAGGCCAGTACGGAGAAGGCGCCAGTCCAGGCAGCCACCGCCGCCACACCTGCAAGTAGTGAGAGTGTGGGTGGGTGTGAAAAAGGGCGAGAGGGAGGAAGAACGGCAGGGATGCGCTCCAGGCGGTGGGGGGGAATCATAAGGCGCAAAACTGGCAAAGAATCAACTACCCGCCGGTGCTTCCAAAGCCGCCAAACTACCGTAGCCGTCCAAAGCGATGAGGTGTGAAAGAGGGAGGGTAAGGCGGACAAGAAACCAGCCAAGGTGCGGACAGCACCAGGTTCCGCCACCCTCTCAGTTATCCCTTCTCTCAAACGCTCAAACCCAGAGTACTCCCCGACCCACGGGTCGTTCATTTGCTGCTTCCAAGGGAAAGGTAACTGGAAAAACATTGCACTACCCACACCCACAGTTCTTAAGCCCCCCCCTTTTCATTCTTCGCTCAACCACCCCAAGCACCCCACCCCTCAAAACACACACGTACCCAGCGTCTGCAGCCCCAGCAATACCCCTCCCTTCCGTCCGCCGTACACCAGCCCTCCGCAGGTGAACCCGGTCAGCTGCGCCACGTAGGGAGGTCGTGCCAGGAAGCCCAGCAGCAGGGTGCCCGCCATGCCGCACGCGAAGTGCACCACGGAGGACTCCAGGGGGTCGTCCACCTGCATTCGGATCTACATACATACATACATACATACATGCAGACATGACATACATACATACTACATATATATGCACACATACATACATGCACATGAACTCAAGTTCAAGGAAGGTGTGGGGAACTGTAAATGCTTTATAGGCAGGCGGCTGGCAGAGGTTAAGGCCTGACTTCTGCTCCCGGAGTGTCCGTCCGGTTCAATCCGTCTGCCGATCTCTCGGGTGTGTGAGAGGTGTTGAATTGGGAGGTGGCCCCCATCTTATGGACGGTGTAGGACGTGATAATATCAACTTGCGAGCTGACCAGGAACTAGGTTGAGGCGCCGTTGATCCGCTAGATTTGGTTGGATGCTGGTGGTGAGTTGCTGAACCCAACGAATACATTCTGAAGTCGGATGGGGTGAACGGATTAGGGTGCCCCTCTAGCAGGGGAGAGCAGGGAACTGCCTCGGGAAAGGGGGCCGCTGGTGAAGCTTTTAACCACCCTGTAACAACATACATACACGCAGACATACATGCGCCACCCTCCCTCCCGCCCTCACGCACCAGCAGCCGTGCGCCCCCCAGGTAAATCCCCGCCGCCGCCAGGCCGTACACCACCGCCGCCCATGACGTAATGAACCCGGCGGCCGGCGTCGATATGACCAGGCCCGCCAGCAGCGCATTGCAGCACACCACCAGATCCACGGTTCCGGAGCGGATGCTGCTCAACAGCAGCGCCGTCAGACTGGAGATGCTGGCGGTAAGTGTCGTGTTGAGAGCCACTCGGTCCGCGGGAGAGCCGGCTGGCTGGCCGGCAGCGGCGGCGGAGGAGCTGGCGGCGGGGGGAGGAGAGCCGCCGGCGGCCATACTGCCCAGGTAGACATATGTCGTACCGCAGTTGAATCCAAACCAGCCGAACCACAGGAAGCTGTGTATATGAGCATGTATTTATGTATGGATATATGTATGTATGTATGTATGTGTGTGTTTGGGGGAAAAGGAGGGAGAAAGAGAAATCAACGGGAGGGTCGAGACCGTGCTAAAGAGTTTGACAGGTACAGAGGAATAGATACAGATACCCATAGACATACATACACGCGTACTCACAGCGTCCCAATGGCCGCGGATGACACGTCGTGTCCAGGCATGTCCTTGGCCCGACCGTCCTCGAAGCGGCCGATACGGGGCCCCACCACTGTGGCCCCCACAAGGCCCATCAGTCCACCTGAGGAGGTGAGGGGAGGTGAGGGGAGCGGGGTCACATGCAATATGAAGGAAAATAACTGCCGTGGTGAGGGGGTGACGGGGGTGAGGAGGTGAGGGGGTTGAGGACGGAGGTTGTGTGTATGCGTTGAGTACGTGGAAGTCCGCCGACTCAGACACGGCCGACCCAAAACGCGGAGTCGGGAAACTTGGGTTGTTTGGTGCTCCAACAACAACAACAACAATAACAGCAGTAGCAGCAGCAGTAGCAGCAGCAAGGAAGAGTCACCCGACACAGCGACGCAGCGAGCAGAACCCCAAGACGAGTAAATACACACACATACATACATACATACATACATACATACATGCATGCACACGCACCGCACACATGCACGGCCGCTCCCCCTGCAAAGTCCAGGAAGCGGCACTCCTGGCTGATCCCCAGCAGCCACGACCCTCGCTGCCAGGTCCAGTGCGCCGCCACCGGGTGCACCCAGCTGGCCATCAGCAGGGTGAGCACGGGGTACGCCACCAGAGAGGTCCGCTCGGCCAGGCAGCCGGACACGATGGCCACGGTGGCCAGACAGAAGGTCCAGCTGTAGAACCAAATTTTGACGGCGCCCAGACTGCCGTCGTGGAAGAACCCCGAAGTGCTGAGGGAGGGTGGGAGGGGGACGGGAGAGTGGAGACGGGGAGAGGACGGAGGGAGGGTGGGAGGGGAGATGGGGAGGGAGGGCGGGAGGGGGAGGGGGAGGGAATTGTTGCGGAGGAAATAGATATTGATGTAACCCACCCACCCACCCATACACACACGCATGTGTGTGTGTGAAACGTTGGTAGAAAGAAAGCCCTGGGATGGTGGTGGAGAGAGGAGGGAAGTATGGGGAGGAGGGGCGGAGGCCCCGGGTGGTGCGCGCTGAATGTGGCTGGAGCGGGTGGGGGCGGAGGTGCTGGTGGTGGAGCCGGGAACTCCTCCCGGGCTCAGACGACATCCGCACCTCCCGTACCTTCCCCTTTTTCCTTTGCAGCTCGGGCCCCCTCCCCCCTCCCCTTCCGGCTGTATGCTGCTGCAGCCGCAGACAGACAGGCAGGGCGGCGGCCCCGCCTCACGCTTGTCCCCGACTGCTACTGCTGCCGCTACTGCTGCTGCGTTCGCATTTGGCTACTGCCGCTGCCGCCTTTCCTCCTCCCCCTCTGCTGCTGCAGCTATGGCAGCCTTGTCCAACCGCTGTTGGAGCCTTCACGGGCATCCCACTTCTTAAGCTCCAAGTGTGGCCGCCCACCACCCACCGCCCACCAAATCTCCTGCTCCTGTTCCTGCTGCCACGGCGCAGCAGCGGAGCCCTCCTTAGCCGCTGCCGCTGCGCAGCCACTGCCGTTACTGCTTCTGCCTTCTCCTCCTCCGCCGCCGCCGCAGCAGCTGCTGCCCTTTGTCGAACACGGCAGGAGCAGAGTGTTCGGGGTACCCCGCGCGGCCGAAGGGTTTTACGCGCGGTAGCGGTGGCTGTAGATATAGCTCCGGGGCATGTGGACGGCGGCAGTGGGTGGAGGCGGAGACCTGCCGCGCAAAAGAGGGATGACGCTGGTGGCGCGCTGCCGGCAGCGGCAGCGGCAGTGGCAGTGGCGGGAGGCTGTCCTCACCAAAGTACTGAGGCTGGCTGGCTGACGGCTGGCACTGAATCCCCACCCAGCCGGGGGCTTCGACGTTCCGATGGGGGAAAAACCCGCACACACGCACACACACGTGCACAGAAGACATGTACGGGAGTAGCTGGCGGCCCCTTAGCCGCCTGCCCAAGCAGGTCCAATACGTTGAACGTGCGACGCCTTGTGCGGTGCGCGGCAATGGCAACGGCAGCAAGTTGCGCACTTGAGGTTATATGCTTGGTTTCCCCTTATCCTCACCGCGCAGGAAGCAGGAGAGAGCGAGCTGCTGTACAGTGACACGCGGTGATTATGTGCATTTCGAGTATTAAGTTTTTGAGGAATGAGCGCTGTTTGCGCAGCACCACGGTGTGCGTGCGCGCGCGCCAGGTCTAGGAGAATGGCGTACGAAGGGGACAGTACTGGGAAAGGTGGACGTGGTCGCGATCGGCGCATGGTTTGGCGTCAAACGAGGATTAAAACTCGGAAGATAACCTTGCGACAAACGGGTTCTTAAGGAGCAGCGCTTTGAAGGGTGTCCTACCCGATAAAACCGCCAGCCGAACCGCCGAAGGAGAATGCATAGCCGACGGACCACCAAACTATTGCGCATATCAGGATGTTGACTGTGTTCTTCAGGAGAATGTTCTTCACATTTTTTGAGCGCCCGTAACCGACCTCCAAGGATACGAAGCCGACCTTTCAGCAACAACGGCAATATCGAACCGTTAGCATCCTTGCATAACCGGCTCTCTGCCAGGGGCCCTAAGTTGCCTTTATGCTTACCTGAAGGAAGAAGACGATTGCCCTGCGGAGGATTAATGGGACATCCACGTGAGAGGTGCGTGGGACAAGTCCATGCGCCCAACAACGACAACTACATACAGCATGGGTGTTTTAAATCGACATCCTATCAAAATTTGAGCTGGGGGCACCCTGCTTTTGTCCTTCGGGCATGTGTCCCGAGGTCCCGCGAAAAGCCAGACCGCAAACTCACCCATGGAGGATTAGCAAATCACTGTAGGGAGCATCCTGCTCTGGAACAAAGTCCATTGCTGAGGGTGTCGGCCGCCCTGCCGCCTATGCGTCAACACCCCCAGCGTATGCCTCGCTTACTATCCCATGCCAGCATTGGACTCAGAAACGGCTTATTCTTAAGTTAAGTCCCTAAAGTGCACGCAGCATATCGCTTCATTAGCTCAATCCAGTATGAAAAATCAGTTTACAACGAACTGTCATAACACTGCACGTCGTTTACGATGCTGTGGTTGTGTTCTGTTGACAAAGGTTCCAACAAGCATGGACTTTGTTCCTTGGATATGGCAGAAGGTGTTGGTCAGACATTGAGCCATGATTCATCTCGTCCATCCCGTGGGCAGGACTTTTGACCGAAAGGGACTGAAGGGACAGTCGCTTGAGCCGCAGAGTAAGAGACCTTTTTGGCGCTTATCGGTAGCATCGCCCTGAACATGCGTTTCGACCGTCCTAGTGAGGACAAACGGGGCTGCAGGGATACATACGGCATTAAGTTCCTGAGATTACGTCGCAGGGAGGCTGGCATCTGATCGCATAAGCTGGTGCGCGTATGTGGCACGCAAAGCGAAATCCATGGTGACCCGACGTCTATCAACTTGACGTCCTTCCGACGGCCGCCATGTGAGAAGCAGTATGTAGGTGTTCACATGTATGCAAGGACTCATCACATGGCTTGCATACGACAGGCAAGCTAACACCGTAGCTGAGAGATAGGCGCCTTGGTCAGTTTCATGCTGTGCATTGCTGTTGCGCGTGAGTTCTGCATAGCGGCTGTCCATGCAACTCAGAAAATTAAATCAATTTATGAAAGAAGCAAGGCTAGATTATATTGGCGAAAATTCCATGGGCGGATTTGCTATTGTCTCTTACAAGTAATCTACCTCCACGCCGTCCTGCATCGATACCTGCACTGCTTCAGTAGCATCGCCCCTGTTAGCAGCTTAGTTGTCTTCGGCAAAGAAAATGCCGAGGAACCTCCGGAACGGTACTTCTGCAGTTAAAGCTAGCCCGCAGGCCCCTGCAGACCCGCAAGCATGCAGGGACACTGGACAACGCGTGCCGTAACCATGCTCTGTTTGGGCCTTTGGGGGTTTTGGAGTTTTGACATTTTTCTGGGACGGGACAAGCATGGAACGCAGGGAACCTACGCTTACGCTTGTACTACGGCGTTTCCAGCAAGCGAGCACGGATGGAAACTATTGCTTTAAGGAACGAACTAGTAAAACCTGGGACGTCGAACAGCTGTAGCTGTGTATGGACGAACAGGGTGGTGGGCCCTCGAGCTCACGCGAGACAAGCTCGCGCTAGAAAGCACGCACATCTGCGACCTTGGTGCTTTCTTCGATCCAATTTCGCAGACGTGCGTGTTGAGCCACGCGCCTACGCCGTGTCCTCATGGACACAATAAGCAGCTGCGCTACCAGTAGATACACCTGGTCAAGTATGTAACCGTATGTAATTATGAAGGCAGCGGCCTCGGCAACCTGTGCATTCTGATTTCTACTCAGACGTCTTCTCGCCACCGCATTCCCTGCGTTTGCCTGAGTCCCCCTTTTTTTACTCCCCCGCACACTCTTGTAGCAGAAATTTCCTCCAGCACCTGTAACACCCAGGCGGGCCACCAACCGGAGCTCGTGACGCAGTTGTGACATTTATCACGTCGCGCCATGCAGTGTGTAGAAGTGCGAGTCTACGGAGGCTTTTTTGATCCACGTTTGACTTGATGCATGACTTAATATACTAAACTTGAGTCAGGCTGGATTGGAGGACACGACAGCCGCACGGCAGCACTGCGTACTGCAGTCATTCGCGCTCACTTAGTAGGACACGGAAGATTGACCTTCGGCTTTGTTGTGACAATAAGGTGAATGGCAGAGTGTAGGGAATAGAACCCCTCAGGGCCACATCAGCACTACAAAAAGATTTAAGCTGCCAAAGCTAGTTCTTGTTGCCAGCTGCCAGAACGCGTTCGTCGGCCACGAAGTGCGCCGTGTCTCCATGGGGATGTGCTCCCTGCACCGTGCCATGCCCGTGCCGGTTACATGCGCATGTGTGTGTTTACTAAATATTTCTGAAGAAGTCCCCTAAAGGGAAAGAAGGGTTTTTTCTTCTTTCCCTAAAGGGGAACTTTAGTTCCCCGAAAGGCGTGTGTGTGTGTGTGTATCTGTGTCTCTGCGTTGAAGTTATTACAAAAACCAAAACGCAACAAATAGCAATAACAACAGCGTCTGATACATATCACCTGATATCTCACTAGCTGCTCTCTTGTACGTGCGTGTCATCCTTGCGCAGGGGCCATGCTAATCTTCTCTGTATTTTTCCAATTTTAACATTTGTGCCGAAGCACAGAGAAGATTAGCATGGCCCCTGCTCTCTTGTAGGTGTACGGCTCACACGCATAAGGCTGACAGGCATTCCTTCAAAGCCACGTAACCATAGGCTAACCAAGCCCGATTCGTGTGAAAAAAGGTTGTACGTGTCCAGAATTAAAGATCTACATGTTGATATAAGGCGCATTTCGGGCTTTCGAGTTCCGACCTGGTTACACTTCGGACTTTCATTCTTCAAATCTCCTCTGCCTGCCTAAGTAGACTCGCAACAAGCTTCCACCACTCTTTTTGGGCTATCTCTGGTGCAAAAATGGGCTGTTCTGCGCTCCGTCGAGGCAGCCTCCTCCTCGTCAAAAAGCCACGTGTAAGGACCCTGTGTGTGCTAACAGATTACCTGATGCCTCTACAGCCCGAGGCCCTTTCCCCTCTCGCCAAGGTCCCATCCTCCAGCCCCGAACCGCCTTTGTCAAGGCGAGTCGTCCACCACAACGGAGAGCTCCCCATTGGCGGCCACCAGACGAGATTCAAACCCGGAGCCGAAATCCCCCACACCACAAAAGAACGACAGACGAACAGACGAAATCGCCATCAATGCACCACTCCCCGCCGGTAGCTCTCCCGTCCCATCCCGTTCCCCCTTCCTGCTCCCAGGGCTCCGGGCTCCTCCCTCGCCGAACAGCCGCAACTCTTCCTCCTGTGCTCACAGCCAGCTGGTCAGCAAGAGGGGAAGACGAGGGAGACAAGCGCAACGATTTGATTTACTACCTACACACCACGTCGTTGACCTACGCCCACCAGCGCTACTCAACGTCCAGCTTTATTCACGTCGTCCTCTGCCTTCGTCGCCACAGCCGCCGCAAATCTTGCCGGCGCTGCAGCGCCGGCGGCCTCTGCTCCCGTTGCCACCGCCTGCAGCACCGCCCGCCGCAGCATTGCCTCGACTGCTCGCCGCTGTTGCTCCGGAGAACGAAGCCCGTCCCACATCCGCTCCCGAACCACCACCACCACCCAACCCAGCCCCACCAGCAGCCGCCGCCGCAGGGCCGCACCACCCGATAGCATCCAAGCGGAGTTCCGCACCACACCACTGCCGCTGCCATCGCAGGGCCCCGCGGCGGCGTTGATGGTCACACCCGCCGCCCCTGGCGGCTGGAACGCACTTAGCTCCAGCGCGATGCGAACCTTCTGCATGCTCCTCCGCCGCAGCTGCCGTACTGAGGACACGCTGCCGAGCTGTCTACCCCCGCCGTCACTCACGGCTTGCTGCCCCTCAGCGCCGTCAACATTAGCCAAGGCAGCCGCAGGACCCTCCGCGGCCAGAGGAGCCGACACGCTACCTTCCGTCACAGGGGACAGCCCCTCCACGGCCGCCGCCGCCGTCCCGTCCGTAACAGTCTCCAGCTCTACTTCTACACACAAATCCACACTCAGCGCGCCACCACACAGCAGCAGACCCGTAGTCACAGCGCCGCCACGGACAAAGCGCACCGTCCGCGGCGCTGCCATGGTAGCAGCGGCCGCGGCGGTAGAGCGAGCGGAATTACCTAGCCATGGCCGCGACGGCTGCGTCGCGGCTGGGGCGGCATCCGCCGCCGCGGCGCCATCAAGCACCTGCCGTACAACACCCGCCACCTGCGCAGCCCATGACCCAAGCGCGACCAGACGGAGGCGATTGTGTGTTTTCAGTGTACGGCGTGTGGCGGCGGCGGGAAGGCAACGAAGGGCCTCTCGAACCTTTGGCGCCAAGGTCGCCCAACTGGACGCGGTACCCCCGGGGGATTTGAGGGTAACGCCCTCACCGCCGCCACCTGTCGCGTCACCAGGACTAGCGGATGCTGGCCCTCCGGTAGAGCCAGGACCACCACCCTTCCGCTGCTGCTGCTGTTCATGTCTTCCTTGCTGTTTCTGTTGTTGCTCCCCAGTCGCCTGCTGCTGCGGCTGTTGGGGCTGCTGCTCTTCCAGGTGCCATGAGATCACCGAGCAGGCGACCAGCAGCTGGGCATGGTGGCCGGAGGAGGGCCATGTCCGCCGGTCGTAGGTCGCCAAGGACTGCAGGTACCCGTGAAGAGCTTCAGACAGGAGCGACAAGTGCTGCCGCTGCTGGTGCTGGTGCTGCGTCCCTTGATCCTGTTGCTGTTCGTTTTCCTGTATGGCAACTCCTGCGGGAATTTCTGCACCAGCGTGTCGGTGCCGTTGGGGTTGCCGCACACGGTGCTCCGCCAGGCCGCCCGTCAGCACCAGGATCGCCCAGCACAGCGCTGCGCGCTGCGACAAGCTCAGCCGCGGCCATTCCGCCGACCGGACCGTGTGCAGCGCGGACAGCAGACCCCGGGGCCGGAACTGCAAATGGCCGCACGCAGCGGCCACGGCAGCAAGCTGCGCGGGCGGCAGCATCGCCACCGGCGTCGACGCCAGCGAGAGCCCAAAGGCATCCGCCGCCACGGCGCGCAGGAGGCCGTTGCTGCGGTAGGAGAGGTGCGCACAGGAGAGCAGTACACTGGCGCGTTGCCAGGCTGTGGCTAATGACCCATGGGTCATCATGCGCTCCGCCTGCGGTAGGTAAAAACGAGCAGGAAGTCTCAAAGAGGAAGGAGGGAAGTCCGGGAGCTCACGAATGGCGTCCGACGTGACCCCGAAAATGGCAGGCACCCCTTCGGTGAGCACCCCCCTCTCAATGAATGCAACCCAGTGCACGACGGAAAAAAGTTGTCACAACGACCAGTCAGAGCCCTAGGAAATTTCCCACCCAACACTTCGATAAGCTCCGCGACAATAAAAACGGTACACGCGGAACGGACTCAAGATGTACGACAAGGTCACGTAGGTGTGCTGTACATGCCGTATCGGTTTTCAAGACGAAGACGCCGCGGAGGGCTGGTTCCGCACCATTTTCCGTAGCAACACGGTCTCGTAGTGGCCGACTGCTGAGAAGGCTGCAGCCAAGCGCACCATGTCGCCCGGGGACATGGCTTCCAGGCGCGCGAACCCTGGTAACGTGCACATGACGACGGCGGCGTGGAAGAGCGGCATGTAATAGAACCGGAGCACGACTGCGAAGCTGTGTAGCAGGACGACGATCTGCGGCGTTAAGTGTCCGGGTGAGAGGCGAAGAAGGAAAAGGGGTGTGTGAGATCTTTCCCTTTCTCTTTCCCTGAGGGAATGGCAGAGCTAAGCGGTCCGATAGAGAGAAGTTGGAGGGAGAGGTGGCGGAGGGAGGGAAGGTGGTGAAAGGAGAGGAGAGGATAATGGGATGTGGAGGTAGGGTGTTGCAGCGGCGCTCTAAGCCGCCGGCAAAGACCCTAAGCCCCCTGTCTGGATCCAGCTAAGCTGGACAGGTACCATGAGAGAATACATGAAAACATTTGGCGCAGGCTGGCGCGCACATAAACACACACCCGCACACACCTACACCTACTTACACAGGCATGGAAGCCATAAAGCCATGCGGTCTCAGATGGAGACTGGTGGGAGGTAGGCTTCCGCACGAAAACACCAATAAATGAACGCAAGGAGTTCAGGAACCCGCACAGACGGTTCCGCGAAAGCAAGGCCGCCAAGTCGTACGTCCTACTAATTTTAATTTGTACGGAATGCAGCGTCGTCCTACTTTAGTTCTTCCCCGAAGGGGATTTTTCTACCTGTTGCGCATCCATGTTGATCATCTGGTTGCGGCAAGCTGCTGCGAGGGCCGAAAGCCACGTGACATCCCTGATCTGCAGCAAAGCAGTACCCGTGTACAGATCACAAACGGAGCCGTACGCAAGTTACGGGATGACAAGTCAATAGGTCTGCACGGGACGAAGGGTAGGTATGGAATATGTACGGTATGTACGGGATTTTAATGTGCATGGAGCGCCGCGGCGCGTGGGCGCAAAAGGTGGATTGAGAGGAGACCCGGCCTTTTAGGACAAGAATGCGCATAGCGCATGAGCTGCAAGTTTCACCTGTCAAGAATTATCAATATTTCCGTTATGGCTCAACGACCTTACCGTTACTCGCAACCCCCACCTGCAGTACCGCCAAGGAAGCTACCATAACCGTCAACGGCTGTGGCCGTATTGCGGCGATGCGCGCCAGCGTACAGCGCCGCAGCGCCGCCAGCATGTCGGGATCCGCTCCGAAACCTGCCTCCGCCGCCACGCCGTACGCCTCTGCCAGCTGTCCCGGATCTAGCTGGTCAAGCTGTTCACACATTTTCCCCCAAAATACAAAGGTGCCGATGTTGGCAAGAGGGCATGTGAGGACATGTTTGGAATATGTGCAAGGCCGAAAGGGCGACGTATTCTTGGGGCGTTGCAAAGTGGTGACGCAGCGACGGGATGTTGCGCGCGGTCGTGCGAGGGGCAACCGTGGGTGAATTGAGGAGCAGACGAGCTCCCCTCCCTACCCTGCCTTACCTTACCCTACTCCCGCCCTTAGCCCACGGTACCAGTTATGCACGATGTCCACGTAAACATCCTTTCCTTTCTGTCCTGAACACCCTTTCGTTTCCATTGCTTTTTGACATGCAGTGCATCCCTTTTTGCCGTTCACGGATACATATTCGGAGTTAGATACATACCAATGCACACAGCCCACATTGCCACATAGGCCCTACAAGGGCCTGTAGTTTTTTCATAGCCTCAAAAAACGGTGGCACGCCATTACTATGAACAATAATCTGCTTATACCGCAGACAGACAGACAGACAGACAGGCAGGCAGCTCGGCTACTCGTGTATAGTACAAAACAAGCACCCACATCGCACGGATGAGCAACACCCCCCACCTGCGATGCCGCTCGTTCCAACAACTGTAATTCCACCAGCGTTTGAGGCGTGTACGACACTTCCCTGTTTGCGACTATCGCTGCCGCCGTTGCAGTACCCAACCCCGGTGCCGCCGCCGCTGCTGCCACAGGGGTGCCCTCTGCGCCGCCGTACATAACAGCAGCGACCTTCAGGGCCCATAAGGCCCACAGTGCTTCACGGCAATCCATCAAATGGATCCAGCCTGGATCTACTCGGACGGCCTCAGCGGCCTCAGCGAACAGCACCGCCCCAGCGGTCGACGCATCGGCCGTCGCCATCGCCCTCGGCGTTGGTGGTGAAGGAAATGCGACGGCAGCGGCGGCGGCCGCGTCGCTGCCGCCGCCGTTGTCGGTTCCATCACGTGCAGCTGTTTGCTCCAGGGTGGCATATGCCCACAACGCCGCTGCCAGCCACGTGCCTTTCCACTTGGCGCGTGGCGTGACGTCGCCGGAGCGCAACGCCGCCGCCAGCCAGCGTCCTAGCGCCGCCATCAGCCTGGCGTCGCGGTACCGCAGGCGCGCCAGCGCAGTCAGCATCACGCATGCCGTACGGAACGTCAGCGGAGCCGCCGGTGATGGCGCCGTGGGAGACGATACGGGCACAGCACGGCTACCCCTGCGCGCGCGACGGGCTGCTACCGCCGCCACCGTTGCCATCTTCTCCGCCGCGGTCGCCGTCAGAGCACGCAGAAAAGGCTCATGCCGATGGCCGGCGGCAGCGTACGCCGCCGCAATGTACGACAGCTGTTGCAGGCCCAGCGGCTGTACCACCAAATCGGGATGCGCCGCCGCTGCCGCGGCAGCGTCCTGGTATGTACCGTACTGATACCGTGCGTACGGCGCCAGGAGCGCGGCGCCATCCTCGCGGCCAGTGGGAATGTAACGCACCAGCTTAGCCAGGAGCTCGCGTGCCGCCGCCACTCCGGGCGGCAGCACTTCCGCCGCCGCCGCTGCTGCGCTGGCCTCAGCCAGCTGACGCCGTACGTCCTTAGCCGTAGACGCCGGCGACACAGCGACAGTGCCACTAGTCTTGGCCTCCGTTGGCTTAGCGAGCTGCAGACTGCTACTGCTACCGCCCGCAGCCGCGTCTTTAGGATCCATCGCCGCTGCCTGGGTCGTTGCAGTCATCGCTGGCGGCACTGCTGGCGACATTGTTGGCCGCATTGCTGCCACCGTTGCTGGTGGCATTGCTGCCGCCGTCGTTGACGTCCCTGCTGCCGCCGTCGTTGGCGTCATTGCTGCCGCCGCCGCTGGCGTCATTGCTGCCGTCGCCGCTGGCGTCCCTGCTGCCGTCGCCGCTGGCGTCATTGCTGCCGCCGTCGCTGGCGTCATTGCTGCCGCCGCCGCTGGCGTCATTGCTGCCGTCGCCGCTGGCGTCATTGCTGCCGCCGTCGCTGGCGTCATTGCTGCCGCCGTCGCTGGCGTCATTGCTGCCGCCGTCGCTGGCGTCATTGCTGCCGCCGTCGCTGGCGTCATTGCTGCCGCCGTCGCTGGCGTCATTGCTGCCGCCGCCGCTGGCGTCACTGCTGCCGTCGCCGCTGGCGTCACTGCTGCCGTCGCCGCTGGCGTCATTGCTGCCGCCGTCGCTGGCGTCATTGCTGCCGCCGTCGCTGGCGTCATTGCTGCCGCCGTCGCTGGCGTCATTGCTGCCGCCGCCGCTGGCGTCATTGCTGCCGCCGCCGCTGGCGTCACTGCTGCCGTCGCCGCTGGCGTCCCTGCTGCCGTCGCCGCTGGCGTCCCTGCTGCCGTCGCCGCTGGCGTCATTGCTGCCGCCGTCGCTGGCGTCATTGCTGCCGCCGTCGCTGGCGTCATTGCTGCCGCCGCCGCTGGCGTCATTGCTGCCGTCGCCGCTGGCGTCCCTGCTGCCGTCGCCGCTGGCGTCATTGCTGCCGCCATCGCTGGCGTCCCTGCTGGCGTCGTCAATGGAGGCACTGCTGCCGTCGCCGCTGGCGTCCCTGCTGGCGTCGTCAATGGAGGCACTGCTGCCGCCGTCGCTGGCGTCCCTGCTGGAGTCGTCAATGGAGGCACTGCTGCCATCGTCGTTACTAGCATCGCCGCCGTTGTCGCAGGCGTCGTCGCTGGCGGCACAGCGGCCGTCGCCGCTGCCGCCGCTGCCATCGACGTCGACCCGGTCATAGCGGCGGCTGAGTCCGTTAGGTTGCGTGCCGCAACGCCGGCAGTAGTGCTCCGGCCCAAGCTCGTTGCCGTCGGACTGCCGAGTGCAGCGGCGGCTGTCGGCTGGCGAACGGCTACAGCAGGCTTCGCAGAACTAATAGCGGCGTCTTTGGGAGGCCTTTGGAGAGCTGCTCCTGCCCCTGCGGTGTCCTTCGCCTTCTCCATCGCCGCCTCCATCAGCAATATCCTCCCTTGGAGCGTAAGCGGCAGTAGTGCCGCCGGCACGCGTGGCCCCAGTGACGCGGCTTCCGCCGCTGCAGCTGCTGCTACTGCCGTGGGGTCGTTGCCTGCAGCTTCCCCCGTAGCGGCGCTCGGCACGTCTCGTGGGGGCGGCCGCATTATTCCTGGAACCGAAACCTGTACGGTTGGCTGGCTGCGTTTTGGCGGCCTGGTGCTGCCGGCTGCTCGTGCTGCAGTCGCAGCTGCTGCGTCGGTGGGAAAGATAGGATTGTTCGCGTTACTCGGCCTGGACGAGGCGGCAGGTGCTGGAGGCGTTGTTGCCGGAGGTGCTGCGGCAGCAGCTGCAACAGCATTGACCCGTGGGTCACTGGAACCGGCCACACCCGCGGCGTTCTGTGCGCTCTGCGGTCCTTCTCGGGAGCCCAGAAACTGATTCCATTGCCAAAACACTGCCGTGCGCCGCCCATCCAGGTAGCTGGGCACCACCTGTGGAGCTCGCGCCTGACCGCCATTTTCACGGGTTCTACTGCCGTCTGTTTCCTTGCTGCTACTGCCACCACTTGTAGCACGTGGCAGAGCGGTGCTATTGCCGATGAAAGAATTACCCTTGGCGGCAGCAGCCGTAGGGTTGCGTTGCGGTGCTCGCGGAGGCCCTCCCGAGGGCAATATGAGCGGGGCCACAGGCAACCCGTCCTGGCTTTTTTGGATTGCCTGTGGCTTTGCTGGCTGCGTCGAAGCCCTGCCGCTGTTGTCGGCCTTACCGGCGGACTGCAGCTGTTTTTCCGATCCAGCTTGGGTTTCTTTTTGCAACGATGTCCCTCCTTTCTGCGCCAAGGGAGCCTTGGGCAGCGGTCCTTTGGATGGGCGGCTTGGCCCTGGAGAGAGGGAACCTGGATCGGAAAGGGAAGCCGCGCCTTGCTGGGGGAATTCGCGATGATCTGTGGGCAGAACGGCTACGGAAACTGGTGGATGGTCAACTGCCGATGTAATCTCGGAGCGACTGGATGGGCCTGTCGCAGGACGTGGGGCGATAAATGTTGGAGAGAGGGCATCTGGTGCTTCAGAAGCAGCCTCAGCATGCGGGTAAGAGGACGTGGCCGCGGCTGTGGTAGCCCCGTCTGAGGTTGCTGCATCTGCAGTTGAGCCGTTGGAGGAAATGCCTCCTGCCGGGTCTGCGTTTGCAGAATCGCCATCCTGAGCCTGCGTTCGTTGATGTTTACGATGTCGAGGATTCTTGGCCGCATGCGTACCAGTAGCTTTTGAACGTGAGGATGTCCGAGTGGCAACACCGATTGGGCCCGGCGTTGCTTGCTTGCGAAGTGGTTTGCCTGGGATCCGCGCATATGGTGGCGTTTTCACCTCGTAAGGAACAGCGTCTTGCTGTAAAAACTCTAGAAGGTCGCCGACATCCCCTTCTGGCGCCCTTGATTGAGCTGTAGGAGCGGCGACGGTAATCAATGTAGGCAAACTATTAGCTTTTGCAGCAAGCGAGCGATCATAATAATCTAGGCAGCGCCTCAGGAGGCGCACGCGGTATCCCGCGACTGAGAATGCACTTGCGGAGTCGCGGCCAAAGGTTCTATTGGCGTGCTGGTGCATTGAGATACAACAGTGTAGAAGTTACAGCAGTACCCCATAAGCCGGCAAAGAGGAACGTTTACGCGATACTGCATTTTGGTTGATTTGGATTGCAGTTGGGCGAAAGGTACTGTGTACTACCATGAGCCTGAGGAGTTATTGCGCAATAGTAGTAACTTCAAACTACATACATCTTATCATAACTTAGCATCCTTTGCTTTGACCCCACGAAGCATGGACGTGTCGCGGGATGCCAGCCATGCCGAGGCTGCACCCTCAACGGGTACCACAATTGTAGCTTGCACATATAAAGGAGGAGCCGTTTTAGGAGCTGACGGTCGAGTTAGCATTGGGAATTACATTATGAACCGCGCATCTAACAAGATCGCGCCTCTTTCGGAGTACATTTTTCTCTGCCGCTCGGGTAGTGCTCCAGACACGCAAATCATTAGTGACAATGGTGAGGTTTGGCTGTGGAGACGGTTCACCGCAGGAGCATAAACTGCGGCAGCATGCGTCACACCCTCATGCTTCCTTCCATTGTGGCCGCAGTCAGACACTACTTGAATCATATGATAGCTGAGTCTGGGGAGGAGCCCTCCGTGGAAATGGCAGCTAACCTTGTCCGTCTGGTAAGCCATGAAGCCACGCAAATGATATCGGACCTGGCAGCCTGGGGCTGGCAAGCCTGGGGCTTCCTGGGCTTCCTGGGGCTCTCCCCCATCTCACCTGAGGATGAGCTGGCCACAATCCTCGCCAGGCTGGACCTCGTCATGGAGGCCGGAACGTGCACGGAACCCACTTCATGATTCCAACTCCTACCCCACACCCCCAACCCAACAAGACAGCAACCCTCGGTGCACCCTGCGTGCGTTGGTGCCGGCCGTTTTCCCCCCCACCACACCTTCCTTGTTTGTTCCCACAAGCCACGCCACCTACCTGGCAGCATGGACTACCACCACCACCACCACCCATCACTCACCCGGCTTATTCCCATGTCGACCTGTGCCCAACTACTTACCTGCAGAGCACCACCCAGCTCCTCCGCTCTCTTGTTTTTCGATTGCTTTAATCTTTCATTCCCACCTGCCCCACCGCCCTCACCTTTCCCAGCTGAGCTTTGCTCCCTGCATCATAAGATTCTCCACATTCTCCAACCCACTTCCACCCCCTCTACCTGCCCCGAACCCCCTCGTCACTTTAATACGTCGGCAGTGAACTCTTTGCTTCTTGTAACGCTATCACCACATAATGATCATCGTCACCACCACCACCACATATATATTCCCCTCTTCAGATAAATTACAACAACAAGGACCACCTGGTGGGTGCCATGCTGGTGGTGGGCTGGGACAAACACGGAGGAGGTCAGGTGTTCGGCGCGCCCATAGGCGGCACACTCGTCAAGGAGAAGTGGGCCATTGACGGCTCGGGCAGCACCTACATCTGGGGCTATTGCGACAGCGAGTTCAAGTGAGCACGATATAGGGGGTCACAGAGAGGGAGAGAGAGAGAGAGAAAGACGCGAATTGTTGCGCCTTTATGTGGCCAGGGCTGTCCGTTTTGCGAGGGAGCGAGTCCAGAAAAGGACCCTAATGGATACCACGTTTTGCGGATACCTGCCATCTGTACGACATGTACGGCACCCTGTACTTGCGTGCCACCCTGTGTATCTGTGTCTCTTCTCACTCCTCTTTGTGGACTCCCCAACTTAGGGAGGGCATGACCCGTGAGGAGGCGGAGAACTGGGTGAAGGAGGCTCTGGCGCTGGCCATGACCCGGGACGCCTCCTCGGGTGGCACCATCCGCATCATCACTCTGGACGGCACGGGTGCGCACCACACCTACGTCCGCGGCGACCAAGTGCCGCAGTTCGTGGACGACATGCCCTTCCCAACCCACGCGCCGGGTGTGCTTTCGGCGGCCGCATCAGTCGGGGAGGGCGGCATGGTGATCGGTTGAGACGTGTGTGTGTGTGTGTTGTGCATGCGGCATGTTCGATACTACGTGCTGCTGCTGCTGCTGCTGCTGCACGGAGCTGACGTATGCGTATGTGGTAATGGTAGAGGACTGGGGGTGCCTGTTGAAATGTATACGCACACGCCTATCTAACCGAGGAAGGGGGTTACCTTGGCGATCTGTACTCCTCGGATCTCCCGGTGTGAGGCCGCTCACCCATCTCCACGACGCTGTCGGGGGGCCCCAGGCGGACTACCCGTGTCTTCGGGCCCTATGGCGCCGCATGGGCCCCACATGTGTACGTCGGCTACCGCGAGGGCCGTTGGGCATCTTTGCCCACTTAGGGTTCCGGCTGCGGAGCTTTCAGGTGATGCGGGTGTGTCCTCCGGTGTCCCGGTGTTGTCGAGGGACCCTCCTGGAGACCTGGGCAGACTGGGCACCGGCCGTTTGCAGCTCTTGCGAGTCCTTTTGCGGTGCTGGGGGTACTGGTGGTGGTGGTGCCGGTGTGGTCATTTGCCGGAGACTTCCTTTCTACAAGAGTTCATCTGCTGTAGCCCTGCTGTACTCGCGTGTGGACATCGAGGGGCGGTGTAGTTTAGGACCCAGTCGTACCTTTAGGGACGGTCGGTGCTTGTGTGTGCGGCTAGCTGGTTTCCTGGTTTGGGGCGATGGCCAGTGGGGACAACCCCCGTTGTTGTTGTTGGTGGTGGTGTGAGGGGGTGTTTTGACGCCATGGGGTTTTTTCTTGGGTATCCTAAAGCACGCGCATCTGTTGCAGCTTTGCGCCGCTCAGGAACCTGTAAGCTATGACGATTAGCGCGCTGCATTCCCCGTATCCCCGTTTACATACCCCCCGGGACTGGGGCCGGACGTGGTCCCGTATTCGTGAGTGTGATGGGAAGGGGAAAGGAGGGAGGGGCGGATGCAAACTGAGGAGGGGCTGGGCCCATCCTGACTGTGTTGGCTGTGTGACGCACCGGTACCCGTGAGGGGCTCCTTGGGGGCCCCGGGCCTTCGCTGGCGGGGCCCTGGTGGTGGTGCTGGTGCTGGTGCATCACCGCGTCGTCGGAACGCGTCATGGTTGCGTTGGAGGGGTCGATGCAACAGAAGAAGGGAAAGGATTGGCGAGCATGAATATGCGGAAGCCCACTTAGTTGAGAAAAAAGGAGGGTGAAGCTTCATAAACGGGAGCAGTTAAGCAACCGTCTACCATGTGCCTGTGCGTATTGTAGTCTCACCTAGCTCAATGTTTGTCAGCAAAGGAGGAACGCGGCCGCGGGTATGCCAGGGTCTCTAAACCCTGCAGGTTGCTTCAGGCGTCAAGAGGCGTTTCGTTTCCTCCACCAGGGAGCAGGTAGGCCCCAGAGGTTGACTGGAACTGGCCTCGCATGCGTACCTGCAGGCACAACACACCAGGCATCGTTCTTCGAACCTTCATTTTCTTGCGGTAAGAGTGAGGGATATATTAAATCGTAACGGCCACGCCATGGTAAGTATCTATCACAGCTGCTGGCCAACCACACAGTTCACAGTTAGGTCCGGAACCCGATGTCACCTGATTTCACCGTGGAGCGGCCTGAACCCCCTCGTGACTAGTCGAGGCAGGAAGCAATGGCGCAATGGAAATGGCCTCCATTTTCCAAGTCCATCGCTACGATTGCTGGGGAATGATTCTGTTACTGCCTTATTTATTTAGCGAGATTAATTCTACAATTGGCTTTATCAGTACTATATTGTTCGACGGCTTGTGATGCGAGCTTGCGGTTCGTTCTCGTCGAGACCGCGAGTTCCTGTTGTACTGCTCTACCGTTGGATTGTTACAATGAAGCCAACTGTCACACGCTTAGTGCCCGACTTCCGGTTGAGAATTAGATCTGAATTAATAGGGCAGTGTGGCTTATTTTTATTTGCCTCTTTTAACGCTCAGGTGAGAAGATCATAGAGCCATCTACTACTGTGTCGGAAGTTGATAGAGGTCAACGGCGCGGCTTACTGCATCGCCTTTAGGGGTTTCCTAGACGCGTAAAACAGATTAACTGGCATGGACGTCTGGAGCAAGGCGCGGGTCTTAATTCGGACCAAAAATGAGTGGCAGAGAAGGGCTTCCGCTAGCCGCTTTGCACTACTTGCAGAAGGTAGGATCAGTAACCAATTGACAAATATAATCCAGAACTTCTATAATACAGGAAATATGAAGCCAGAGTTGGCATGACAGCCCCTTCCGGTCTATCTCAAAGTTACGGTACCGGACATGCATTTAAGTTTTCGCTTGACAGCCGTCCATGCACACCGATCCTCTCAGGAAATTTCCAATCATTTGCAGACAGAGAGGCATTGCTGCGTCAAGTGCCGGTCGCCGAATCTGGGCTTGGCAAGGAGGAGCCATGGTGGTACAGCGACTTAAACGCTCTGAAGGACATGCTGAGCAACTGGGTCAATGTGCTTCTGGTGGCAGTGCCTATGGGTATTATAGCAGGGGCCCTAAAATGGGGTGTGATTTACGTATTCTGTCTGGTAGGTAAGGCTCTGGCCGACCTTGCTTCACGCATCGAACGCGCAAGAAACGAACTCGGCGGTCAACCTGCTATTGTGTACACTCATCTAATTATTCTATACTTGATACCGCTCTACTTGATATTTTCCCTGCTTGCAGGCTTGTTTCCTGCGTGCTTACTGCTCGCTTGCTTGGCCTCGCTTGATCGCCCTACTTGTTCATTCTGCCTCCTTCTCGCTCTCCCCGTCCTCCAGAACTTCACGGCTCTCATTCCACTGGCGCTGCTGTTGGGAGACGTCACCGAGGACTTGGCGCTGCGGTACGGCTCCGTCATCGGTGGCCTGATTAACGTACGCGAGGGCACGTGAAAACCTTTGTCGCGCGTCCATCGTTTGGGCCCGTCGTCCTCCTCATTGCCATCTTTTGGACCCTTCCTCTTTCTTATCCTTCATCTTATGCGCACGCATGCACATTTTGCGGGCCCTACTAATGGTCACCCAGGCCACCTTTGGCAATATCGTGGAGATCATTCTATCCATCGCGGCGCTGTTCAACGGCTTGTATGATGTTGTGGCGGCGTCGCTGCTGGGGAGCATTCTCTCCAATCTGTTGCTCGTTACCGGTGGGTAGATAGTTGGTGGCTTTGGTTACGAGGCAACGGTCATTAACTGCCAGAGCGGTTTGTTACCCTTTCGAGCGTGGTTTTGACAGTGTTCAGTTGCACCGAGTGCGCGTGCACGCGGCTGCTGTGGTCGTTAACCGTTCGCCATTGACATTCCCGACAACTGCCGTGCAAAATGTGACATACTAGCGAGGAAAGCACACACTCGGTATGAAAACCGAGTATGAACTTGCACGGGCCATGCCACCCTCGCTCTGATTCCCGCCCAGGCTGCAGCTTCTTCTTCGGTGGCCTCTACAACAAGACACAAAGGTTCAACCCCACCGGCACGCAGGCTTCAAGGTTTGACCCAGAACATCAATCCGGAAGAGGCGGAGGGAGAGGTTCACATGCGAAGACAGGAAATTTTTAAGTAGGAAACTTGGTTCCCAGCCAAGAACCTGCTGTGCTGTCCCCCCTGCCAGCCCAACCGTCGTCATAAACATGAACTCCGCCACCGCTCGCTCCGGTTCTCCCCGCACACCACCGTCGCGACGCCGTATTATTTTCTATCACATGTACATTTATATGGCATATTTCTGTTCCATCCCACGTCCCCCCTGCTGCGCCACCCCTCCCGTTCCCCAGCTCGCTGCTGTTCGTCGCAGCCCTGGCCTTCCTCATCCCAACCGGCGCCGGCCTCATGTTCACTGCCGAGAACCCCCAGGACCGGGAGGACATGGTGCTGCGCATCAGTAGGGGGACGGCGGTTGTGATGCTGCTGTGGTGGGTGCGCGGGTTGGTATCTGGGTTGGCCTGAGGAGCGGGTGTGCAGTGGTAGCATATCTACACGTGGTTGTAGGTGGGTGGATATGCACATATGTGTGTGGCCGCGTGAGTTGCGTAATGGCGGGGTGCGGGGGTTCGGGGCGGGGTTGCGGCGAGGGGTGGGAGAGAGTTGAGTGGGAAAGGCCGGCAGTCCCGCGCCCGTGGGGGTAGGTGCCCCGCAGTGCACCCCGGCCTTTCTCCCTTCTCCATTCCCCCTTCCTAGCCGTGGTAGAAGCTACTTTAATTACTGATAAATCCTTATAATAACACTACTTTCTTCAGCTGTGACTTCGTCCTTCCCTTCCTGTTGCATTTCTCTTACATCAGTAAGCACAATGCATCTTTTCCGACCTGGGTTTGCGATTCTTGTTTTTAAGGGCCCCCTCTATCTGCCCTCCTCAGCCCCCTCCTGACCTCTCTCCACGCACTATCCGCTTCCACCTTCCCCAATTAAATAACCTCACTGCTGTTAACCTCCTAACAACTCTTCCGGTTTCGGTTGGCAGTTACGGTTGCTACCTGGGCTTCCAACTAGGTACCCACGTGTACCTCTTCCAGGTGAGGTGCGGTGAAGCACGTGTGGTGAGGGAGAGGGGAAGAAGGGGTTCAAAGACGAGGAAAGCGGACCTTCGCCGCATAGGAGGGTGAGCGGGAAAGGCGTGGGAGGGAAATGCAGGCAAGAAAGAGCTTGTCGGGGGCTACTGGGGGCCACTGGGTTTGAGAGGCCGTAGTAGGCTCGGGAAGGGGCGAAGGATAAAGCCACACCGTGCAGGAAGTCCAAACATTTGGAAAGTGACTGCCAACAATTTGGCATGTCTTCCTGCTCGGAAATTGAAGCAAGATAGGTCGTACACTTCTTTCCCTCCTTCTGGTACCTTGTTTCCTATATTTGACATAGTACGTACTTACATACTTACAGGACGACCATGGTAACGGTGGCAGCGGCGATGGTAGTGGCGCCAGTGATACGGGTAACGGCAACAGGGACAATGGCGGTCATGGTGCCGAGCCTCAGCTGCGGCCTGAGGAAAAGCCCATGCTGTCACTCTTCACCTCCATCACGCTGCTGGCCGCTATCACCATAACTGTGGCTGTAGCGTCCGAGTGAGTAGGGACGGAGAGACTGTAAGGCCCCACAGTCATTAGTCTTGCCCAGAGTGTATCCACACAAAGGTAATACGCGGGGCTGCAGATAATATAGCCACGTACCACTTCGCCCACTGCCGTGATCTGCCGATCACCATGTCGGACACGGCACGGTGTAGATATGCATGTTATACGTGCTCTAATATGCAGCATACGGTGACTGTATCAATGTTATTGCAGTTTCCTAAATTTATTCGTTCGCCACCTGCTCTGTATACCTGGCACACAGGAACTTGACATCGTCGCTGGAAACGTTCAGCAAGCGGTGAGGACAACCTAAGAAGGAGATAGGGTGTTCCCATGGAGTGATTATCCAGGAAGGAAAGACCATTCACGGCGGAAATTTCGTAGGCCCACTCTTAAAAAAATGACCCCGGTGGGGATCGAACCCACAACCTTCGGATAATTTCCTTGTTTGGAATCCGACGCGCCACCATTACGCCACGGAGCCGCTTTCAAGCGGGGGATTCCACAAGATGACATAGCTATTTTTACATTTGAATACATTCACCCCTTAGGTCATAGGTTCCTACTTAAGGGAGTACACGCTCGGGAATAGAATACACGCTCCTAATGCATTATCGGGATTCCGATACATTATATATTTGTATATGCTTTTATCCTTATATCACATCATGCTCAGCCTCGCTTTCGGCCCCTGTCCCACCGTCGGCCCAGCTCCGGTCTTGGGAAGGCCTTTCTGGGCACCATCGTGCTGCCCATTGCCGGCAACGCATGCGAACATATGACGGCTGTCATCGTGGCTACCAAGAACAAGATGGACCTGTGAGGGGGTAAATTGGCCCATGTACTTGTGTATCTCTGCTTGCATCTCATGTTCTGATGTCGATGTGGACCAACGCTGACCTGGCCCCTGAGAATGCTAAGGGCGCAATGCCAGAGAACAGTGCAATTTATTAATTCCTGCAGGCTGCAGGTAATGGCCAATATCCGTTTGCAATAGGAGAATAGGTAACTTTACAAAGCGGTCCTTACGTATGCACTACGACGGATTGAAACATGGAATAACATATAGAGTAACCTTATGCGGAAGCATTACAGAATATATATGTGACCCGATCCCGATAATCGCGGCCGCCGGAATGGATTTCTAAAAACCCTAACTCTGGCACTTGGCATTATTATTATCTACATATCTTTTGGTAATAGGCCCAATAAAAGCCCAATAAAAGCCGACGTGATTTCTTTGTGTGCTGGCATTGTTAACTTCTCTAATTGCTGTCCTACCGTATATAGATCTATGGGCGTGGCCATCGGGTCGTCCATCCAGGTGGCGCTGTTTGCCGTACCGCTGGCAGTGGTGGTCGGATGGGTGTCCGGTGAGCACGCTTGTATGTTTATCTGTGTCGGATGTTGTGGCAGTCCTTTTATTACAAGACACTCCGCAGGCCGGCGTGAGCTGTACACCGGGCGTCATCCAACCCCATTGGGTTGAACATGGATCCTCCTGACTGCTTGTGAACTTGGTTACGCGGCAAGAAGACGAGCAACAATACGAAGCATAGGACATGACTCTTGAATTACTCCTAGATGTCTTCTAAGGACTGCTGTTGAACTCCTGATTCGGGGCTCTGGGGCTTTTAGAGATAAAAGCGGCGCATAAGCCGGGCTTGTGTATTGTGCGAGCTTCTCCTGGCCTTTATGCCCGATTATGAATAACGTCGAACACATCATTGCAGCGAAAAACACGTTACCAAACCCTGCCTGTCTATTGTCTGCAGGCCACCCTTTCTCTCTGAACTTCGATCCGTTCTCCGCCATGGCGCTGATGTTGTCAGTGGCACAAGTGGGTAGTAATGCACGTAATGGAGACGTACGCGGTTTGTGGGCATTCGATGTACAGTTTCGGAAATCCCTTGCTGGGATTAGCAAGGTTAAACCCTAGGATAATAAACCAAGGCATTCTCCCCTCGTCACCTTGGCCACAGAACACAGAAGCGCATTTTGATTAGTTGATCATAAGGGATTTTGGGTATCCTGTTGAGAACAGTGCATATGCCTAAAGGCTGGAATGACCTGCAAGGGAGGCTGCTGATCGGCACGCATCGACACACCAGGTGCACGGCAAACCGCTGCACCTGTCATACTGACAAACTAATAACCAACCGATCTGCCAACTGACTCCTTCTAAAGGGCCGTGTTTCCGCAACCGTATGCCGTACATTAGCTTGTTTCTGCGTAGAGTTCTGAGCTTGCTTCATGCTTGTACGCGAACCGGCACGGGCCCTAAACGCCAGTTGCTGATGACGCCCTAACCACCTGGCCCTAACCACCCCTCCAAACGTTCCAACCAACTCAACCCGCTCGTTCAGGTAAACTTTGTGACCGCCGGTGCAACCTCGCATTGGCTGTTGGGAGTGCAGCTCCTCGCACTATTCGCATTGCTGTCCCTGGCCTACTACTTCAAGTGATATTGGCGGTTCCCTCTTTCGCCATTAAGGATGCTGCTACTCCACAGTGCTTTTGAAGCTTCCACGAAAATGGTCCTTTCCTTCGCTTCGGCCATTCAGCATATTCGGGGTACTTGCACTGTGCTAATGAAGTTGGCACCGTATGGTCTCGGAGAAGGCAGCAGCAGGGAAAACATGTAACTTTTGAGGTGCAGATGAGGATGGTTATTTCACTTGCGGCAACGTAAAGTTGGGTGTACATACCTGTGTGTCATTGCCCTTGGCCTGCGGGCATTTAAGGGCATATACCAGCCTAAACGAACGTGTTACGTGTTTGACGCATTGGTTGTCGTATGGAGGGTGCATGTTGGGGGAAAACACATTTTTGCACACTGCCGCTGAAACACTTTGCATGCTACGGCTACCCGAGAAAAAGGGCACTTAGTCCTCGCGTGTGTCTGTAGGTGTGTCTGCGCGTGTGTCTGTAGGTGTGTCTGCGCGTGTGTCTGTAGGTGTATCTGTACGTGTGTCTGCGTGTGTGTTGTGTCTGCACGTCTGTACGTGTGTCTGCGTGTGTGTCTTGAGCATGTGCGTGTACGTATGTGTGTGCTTTTCGTATGTGTGGACAGGTCAGTAGTCAGTACAGAAATGGTAGCTAGGCCGAAAACGAATAGAGACGCGGACAAGGTGGACGTGTGTTCGGCTGTAAACCCAATGCCAAAGAGTCCGGGGCTCGGGAGGCAAATCAAAGGTGAGGGTTCTTTAGTTCGCATCCCTCCTAAACACCAAAAAGCGCGTCCGCATGCATGTTTTGTGCATGTGTGTGTGTGTCTCGATCTATTGCTGCTGTAAGTGTAACCTAGTTATAACCGGTAATTACAGGCTGGAGCGAGTGCCAAGAGGAAGTGGTTGCGAAAGCATTGCCGCGATCCCCCTTACCATGCAGCGAATCCAAGGGAATCAATAGCAAGGACGGACCGGGCACGGAGCTGAACAGAAAGCCCCAATGGATTTCAAGTCGTTTGAAATGGGTAGTAACTGGTAACTGAAGATCCAAAACGGATCAGCCGCACCCAAACAAATATTGAGAAGGTTTATGGCAGGCGTGGTTACGTTCATAACGATAATTTGCGGCGATAGCAAGCTATGGCTGTCTACTCTCTCCCAAACGCGCTGGAAGGGAGCCGAACGGCAGCAGAATGCACAGCGGGCCAGTCTTTTCACGTACACCTGCGAATGAGGTGAAGGAGTCGGAAAAGCTGGCGACAGATTGTTGACTGTGACAGCATCGATTTGCCCGTGCTGCTAAGGGTACATGTAAGCCTGCACAGCTGTACAGCTGTCCATGGCTTCTAGCGCCTTCCAGTCCTTCCAGCGCCTCCTCGTGCAACATCCAGCACCTTTCCATGGCTTCCGACGCCTCCTAATCATCCATCCTTGCCCCATATCTTTTCCCGCCACTTGTCTATTTCTCCAAGCACCGCCTTCTAGTGTAGGGATAATTGAATTCTGTTTTATATATATCCCATCTACCATTACCCATGCAACGCACACACACAAAAACTGTTAAGATATAGGCGAGTGGAACTGTGTAGGTAAAGCCAACCTTAACCGTTACAGGTATCACAGAACAATCTTTCAGTCAGAACATCATCTCCTTTATACCAAACATTCCATCTTATCTGTCGTACAGCCGTTAGTGTTCTGGCCTCTGTTCCCTTGCACTAAGCACTGCAGCGTCTGTGCGGGGCCGCTTCTAGGTGAATGGCGCAACATCATATCTGGCCATTCAACTAGATCGCTTACGCGGCAGCGGCTCGCACCGTCCTAGGTTAACAGCGGTACTATGCAGGAGAATGAAATGGCCGGTGGACAGTGATTTTTTTTTCATTTAGGGGGGGTCTCAATTTATTCCAACCTAAGTAACAAAGTTGCTAGCGTCGCCGTTATGTATTCCTTAAGAGTGGGGCGCNNNGGGGGGNTACGCCCCCCCCCAGACCCCCCCCCGGTAAGTTACAACAGCACCGCCGTCCCAAACGCCTTTATCAGGAAAAATTTCAGACTTATCTTGCTGTTTTTGTGTTTGTTCGGCGTTCAAGTCGTTGCCTTTTGCGTGTTTGTCTATGGAAGGACCGGTCATACATTCTGCTATGCCGCGTTGACTCACGGGCTTGACCTTCTTACGGCCCCTCATATCTATTTTATGATCGATAATACTAAGTTCTGCACACTACGGAGCAATCTGGCAGCAATGGACGTTTTTGGCTGAAGGAATGAAAATGTACGGATCGGCCTCACTTTGTTCCTTATTTCCAAAGGCCAAAAAGGCCTCTTTATTCCTTAAAAGTAATACATTACTTAAAAAAAAACACTGCCGGTGGAGCTGACCACACCAGCACGATAAGGTGCAACTGTGCGGTGCCGGTATGATGTGGTGCGACTTTTAGATGGCAATGCGGGCTACCGGGAAGGTGGGTAGTTGGAAAGTTGGAAGGATGGGGAGATGGAAAGGTTGGAAGTCGGCCGACTTCCCCCCCGCGGGGGCATAGGAAGATAGGAAGGTAAACCTCCAGGCGATTAGGTAACCCTAAGAAGGGAGAGATGCAGGTTGTTGCGAAGCAAGTTCGCTGTACTGAAAAGAGAAAAGACTACAAGACGAGGATCGAAGGAGAGGTTATGCTAAGGTCAGGGACCTCAGTACTTTGAATTCAAATGGACTGATGCTGGTCAAGGTTGTAACTGCCCGTAACCTTCCGAGTACGGGCAGTCGAAATGTTTTTTTCCTCCATAATATCCATAGTAAAATGATCTATTTACATAAAGATGTCATCTTCTGTGTGGCGGACTGCTCGCCTTGGGTCGGCGATTTCCTGCAAAAGGGCGTGCAAACAGAGTGTTCGTTAGCTGTTCACCAGAGCACCAACCATAAGGTTTGGAAACTTGTCAGGCGTATTTTCGCAATCCATGCGGGGTATCAGTTATGGAATTTGAAATCAGTATAGTTGGTATCAATGTAAACATTGGGAAGAGGATACGTTGGGTGTTGCAACGGAGCCCGTCGCTTGAGTTCGGTTGCCGTTCAGGGGCCTTACGATATGCTGTTAAGCGGAAAGCGTAGATATCACCTGCACTCAGTTGCTCATGCTGACAGATGTCCGCGGTTTGGTGGGTAGACCCGCTATCACAAAGCACTCTACCTGTACCGGTATCGTAGTATTCACTATCACGTTCTAACCTCCATCCTCCTCTCCCAAGAACCCCATGTTAGGTAGGCCTGAGGCCCGCAAAGTTTGAACAAGAACGTGTAATTAAGCACGCCCCGCGCTGTATGAATAATCAAGGATGCGACGAGCAGTAGTGGCGCTCGCATATCTGGCTCTCCTTTCAATATCTTGTGAGTTACCGAATGACTTGAATACTTTTGGACATAAGCCAGCTGGGTAGATTGAATGCATAACATGCATGTCAGTGCGGACTTACCCGGCTGCGAGCAATACATCAGCTTTTAGGTAACTACATTTTGTTCGGAGTTAACAGATGATTTTGCTGGTCCTAGTCGCATATTGTCCTGTTGGTTAACACTTTCCCACGCGTGCTGCATAGCGCGATCAAGATTTCTAAATTTCAATAAGGTCATAAATATGCAGACGTTAAGCCAATCATCGCCTATTTTTTATGCAAAGGTAGGAAACCTTCCGACGCAAGCGTATATTACCCCGCCCTAACTTACCTGCAGACTTCGCTGCGGCCAAGAAACCGCGTAAGTTGTATCAGGCTTGTTATATGTCATGCACGGCCGCTGTGATTATTCGTTCCTATCCTTGACGTGGTAGTAGAGGCGTGCAGACAGTTCATGGCGCGCCCCGCTGCTCAGTTGGAGTGCCGCGCGTGAAGGCGAAGAAACATGTCATGCGCTTGCCAATTTTTGCTCCCAGGAAGTGGCAACGGGATTCGCCTCGTGGAGGGTTCGGGGTCCACGGGCCGGCTGGAAATTTCATCAACCACCCCGTGGCTGTTGACCGATGGCGAAACGATTGCCTGGCGTCCTGTGTGCGCCGTTGGGGGTCTAATTGACAACGTTGCTGCCCAGGTGGGATTGTCCTTGTGTGCGCGTGTACCCAGATACATGTGCAGGATGGTGCCCACATGAGTCGAGTCCGCGCTGTTCGCGGTCTTGGGCGGTTCTACGAAGCACCGTCCTCGTTTCTTTATTGCTTCTCCTTACATCCTGTTAAGCGCGGGTCAGGTGATTTGGGCATTGTTCCAGACTATCAGACTTGCTGCCGGCGTTGCTTTGCGTGGAGAGCCCGAGATTGCTGCTGGCGGCAGCGCACCCCGCAAGAAAACTGCGCGTCGGTCTTCGGCGGTCGAACTCCAAAAGCCGTACCAAAGGAGCCGGATCGTTCGGAGCGCTTTCGGGGCCGCTGGCGACTTGTCAGGGGTTAGCAGGGCCATGCAATTTTGGCGAATGGCTCGGCTGCCATCATCATCATCTATTATCATCATCATCATCATTATCATCATCATCATCATCATCCATGCATAGCCCATCTTTACCCCCAGCGCCATTCGTGTCTGTAATGGAAGTTGCGCAACTCAAGAACCGTGAATTGGCTGACCAGGGCAAGAGGAGGTCAGCTGCTGCGAATAAGGTTGCTAACTCTGCCCTTCCACGACCCCGTGCATGCACTAGTGCGAAGCTGCAGCACACACCCATCCGGGGCTGTTGCCGCGGTTCGCTGTCCCGCTGCAGATTATGTGCCAGCTATTGGGTTACAAGTACGGCAGGCGGCACTACTCACCCGACGTTGTTTACCGACGTCCGAATGCCTCCCTGTCGTTCATGTACGTCATGGGTGCCGTACATACATTCACTTAATCAGGTTGGGAACGATGCCAAAGCTTGTCAAGAAGCTGTCAGTGATGTATCCCAATTATCATTTTTAGCTTTTAGATGGTTTGTTTCCCAGTATGGAAGATATTATTAGCGTCGAGGGAGGTGTCCTAAGAGATATTAAATGGCGGACAGCGCTATGAAACCTCTGCTTCCCAGGCTCTGCCTTCCTCCGCCTCCAATTTCATTTCTTATGTTACACATACATACCACTACATGGCTGCACCCGGGCTGCTTGTCCTGTTTTGCGCTTATTACGGCGATCCTGTACGACCATGTGTTAGCTGTTTGAATGAGCCTACGCGTTACATAGAACCCTGAGGTGCCGATCGTCAACACACACACACCAACTAGTTAACAACCCCCCCAAATAATATCCCAGCACCTTGCCCAGCGCCACTGAGGAGACCTCCGATCACGTCCCAGCCTAGTAGGTAGGTAGGACTGATCCTGTTGCTTTTGCATTGGCGACGACAGGATATAACGGATCACCGCCACATCCCCACAAACACACCATTACCCCACTTGTTGGCGTCTGGGAATTGCAGTCATGACCCCGTCGGCTATGTATACTGCACTCCAAACACTGGTGCGCGGCGGCTGAGTGATAACGACACCGCGTCAGGACTAGCAAGCGACGCTGGCGCTTCCGGGGATGAGCAGGTCGTCCATGAGAGGGGGACTTATCCGGTGGTCCTCCAAGAAGGAGGCGGCAAGGCCGAGGTTGACTTCGGCAGCAGTGGCCGTCGCCACCGCCATGCTCGGTCGCTTTTGGCCTCTCTGTACGGCACCATCAACATCCCGGCGACCGCGCCGTACCGTTGTCAGTTTCGGCTGGGTGACTGCCCTTACACTGGGCCTTTGGTCGGCATCGAGTGCTTCAGTAAGTCAAAGAAAAGAAAATGTGCGCGTAGCTATGATGTTCAAAACTTGAAAATTTCTTCTGATTTCAGAGATAAGATGTACAGTTCGTGGACGTACGACAGAGGGTACGGCACATACCCAGTCTTTTTGCGGCTTGTGGGGTGGGTGCGATGTGTCGTGACATTCTCTCCTGAGATCCTTTAAAGCCCGTCGTCTTCCCTGACACGGATGGAATGAATGTCCGTGTTATTGAATATGACCCCTGGATGGAAAATGGGTCATTGACGATGTGTGCCGCTTATCGTTATCCAACTTCCAGAATGAGGTCAGCATCTCCTTAGGGGCCTGATCCCCCGGGCCAGCTGCCAGTTTGTAAAGGAAGCGAGACCAGGGAGGGGCAGCTCCGACAGTAATCATGTATCGTGTTGTAGAGCTGGAGCAACACCCCCTCCTTTCACCCTCTTCATGCTGGCGGAAGGAACTCTCCCTTGTCATCCATCATTGCTCCATCCCCCTGTGCCTTTATCGCCCGTCCCTTCCCCTTCCCCTTCCCCTGCCATTACGCTGCAATCTGTGGGCGTATTTGTGGTCGTGATTACCTGACGGTATGTTGTCGCGATGGTCGCAGATAGAAGGATGCCACCTGCGCCGCCGCCGCCCCCATCACCTCCGAGTCCACCTCCAGGTCGATCCCTGATGCCGGGGTCTGAACGCTGCTGTCGTCCTTTGCTGCGAACCCGCAATGTGGAGCTGTTTCGGTTGTGGGCGGGGCGGGGCTCGGGAGCGTGAAACGCAAAGCAACAGCAGCAGCAGGCTACAGGCAAACTAGCATTTATGCAACCGTCGCACCTTGCGAGGAGGAAACGAAGATATCGGGACTGGGGCAGGGGTTGAGAAGGGCATGCAAAGGCCAGCTGTAGCCGCTATTGCGAGTGTCCCTTGGGGGGGTTGGGGGGTACTGTGTTATTCATGGCTACCTGGAGGTGCAAGCACCGCTGTTTTTATTCAAATTAATTATATTAATTTATATATGTATTATTTATACAATTTATTGTAATGCAATGATCATATGCCATATGAATTTATTCAATATATTATAACTCATGTGTGTGTTTATATTTACATGATTCAGTCATAGGATGCGGGTACCTAACTGCTGGCCATGGTCAATTGGCATGCTCTGGTTGCTGCCAGGCAACACGTCGTGGGGTCCCCGTACCTTGTTCCTTCACCTCGCACCTCGTCCAAGCCTGTCTGTCTGTCTGTCTGTCTGTTTGCCTAACTGCTTTTTTTCGGCTCTGCCTCGTAGCTCCCCCTCCTGGCTCCCTATCTATTCGGCTGTTTGGTCCCAACGGCTTTCCGCTGGAGCCCAACCTCTGCCCCTCTCCGGAAGTCTGCATGTACTACAACCGAGTGGAGTTGCAGGTGGGGGTTTGCAATTGGATTTACTTTTGGGATTCAAACCGAATAGGGTTCCCCCAGTTGTTGATAGTCCCTTACTTCCGCTGTGAATACCAAATACTGTCCTAAGTCCTTTGCCGTACATGCTACACACATACATATGTATGCCTCTCATACCCCCTACCCCTTATGCTGCCCTTTACTACACCTCTGGGGCCCCTCCCCATCTTATGCCCGCATGCTAACCCACAGGTGCGTGCTCCAGGCAGCGCATCCGGTGCTTTGGTGTGGGCACCTCTGTGTGCGCCGCTGGATTTGCACTTGACGGGCCCCGTGGGCGACATGGTCTGCTGGCAGGTGTGGTGAAGTGGTGGCGACGTATAGCCGCCTGGGCTGTTACCCCGCCGCCCCCTTGCGGCGCCCAGTGCATAGCAGTTGTTCCTATCAGAAGGACGCCCGGGTGCGTGTTAGGACTACTCGCCGTTCGGTTGATTTAGGAATGGCGAACTGTTTTGCTGAGGGCACCGAGCGCGTGAAAAAGGCCTTTTGTTATCTCTCGATTACGTTGCGGGACGAGCTTATCCTGTATTCCATCGGGACATCGAAGCATATGACGTATTCTTGTCTGTTCCTTCCTAACTTCTGCGTCCGCTGCTGGCTGGCTGCAGGTGTACAACTACTTGCCGGGAAAAGTTCGTCCTGAATTTGTTGTGACAAGCGACCCCAGCATAACAGGTTTTCCGCTTCCGAACCCGACTGTGGCACCGGGTACGGTAGTTCAGGACCGTGGGTGTGTGACTACTGCGCGCCGCATGTGGTTGAAACTCTGTGGCGCCAAGTGACGGAAGTTCCGTACTGGCAGCCGTACTTCCCGCTGTGCGTTTCCCACCTGTCACCGGCTTCGAAAAGTACTCGTTTTCTGATTTCCTGATGAGCGTATGGGACCTGCCATGCCTAGGGAGGGTGAAATGAGAAGACGTATGGTTTTGGAGTAGCAGGATAGATATCAGCATCATGTCACTGCATCAGTCACCTCAATGGGAATAACGCAATTTCTTGCGCGCCGTTCGCCAGGTGTATACGGCACATATATTAGCAGTGAGGCTCCTTTGCATGCGTTGACGCGCGGCTGCCCGCCTGACCGTGCGATTGGTGCTCTGACGATCCTTGAATCCTTCATCCTTTTTAAATGCCTTACTGCCGCATTTGTACAATACTGCTGTGGTATCGTTCAACCAGACCGCATCGTACCGTACCGTTGCCTGCAAACGTTGCCACCGCAAGGCAGTACGGTGCCACGCAAGAGCACCGTCACTGTGCATCGCGCACCGTTGGCTAACCCTCCGGCCGTTTGATGAACTCCGTCTCCCCAAACCCGGGTCATCTGCGTAATCCATCGCTTCGTTTTGAACATACAATGGAAACAGCGGCAGGTGGCACGATGCTGAGCTCTTACCACCCAATCTCCCCAATGCAAACGATGCAGGCCGTCCCAAATTACCCGCACTGCCGACGGGGCCAGACGTGATGAGCCTGGAACCGCCATTATCACCCTCTGCACCGCCGCCCCCCCAAGCCCCTCCCGTCTCCCGTCAGTTCGACCCTGCCGGAATCACCGCCTGGGCCACCGTCACAGGGGCCAATAACTATGACACTACGGCACGTCGAGTCCAAGATTTTGATCTGGAGGTACAGCACTTCGCTGTCGCTGCTTGAATAAGTTCATCTCGTCGCTTTCTGTTCGCGAAAATTTGACCGCGCGTCTATCTATCTTGCGCATGACTACTGATGTTTTTTTTGGTGTTCACCGTTTTCGCATCGTTACCTTTTTCATTTGGCTGTATCGTTCACTCTTGCCCGTGGAAATTCCAATCATAGCCTTTTCTTTCCGCGTCGTTTTAAAACCGTCCTTTCCGTCCTGACGGCTGTGCACTTACAGGTGTCTACCACCCCATGTGCGCGAGGTGCCTTGTTCGCCGTCGCCTGTTTCAAGCGTGCTGGGCACTAACCGTCTATAAATGTTTCGGAAGCGGGCGCGGAGTCTTAGGACGCGGCGAAAAATGCGATTGAGAGAGGTCCGTGCCTTCAAAAAACCATAACATTGCGTTAGCTCAGGTTTCCCGCCCTATTAGCAAAGGATTGACATCATCAACAGGATCGGCAGAACAGAACCCGGTGGTTTCCTGCGCCGTGGTGGCATTCCTTACTACACTACACTTGATAAGGTTATTACACCACACAGCACGACACCGTGAGGGGGGATCATACTTAATATGCTGATTGCGGGTAAAGCTTCGGAGACTTGTTATCACATGAAGCAAATGATGATGGAGGCCAGAGGACTACTGTCCATACATCAGTCCATACATCGCAGGGCCGGACAGCTGCAGGCAGCGAAAGGGAAGGCCCCGCAAAGGCCGCGGGCCGTTGGGCTGAGGGACGGCATGGGCCGCGCAGCTAGCGGAGCCCCAGGAACTTTCCGCATGCACGGGAGGTGGAAAACTAGGTCCTTGGTGGGTTGGCTGCAGCAGCGATGACTGAGGAGGAGGAGGGGTGAGGCTCCTCGAAAGCGAGCTGGTGCCGCCGCGGCGTCCGCCGTTCTCTGTCGTTCTTGGACCTGCGAAGTTCCTCTCCTACGACGCTCAGCCTCGCCGGTTGCTGCCTTCGACAGCCGTGCAGCTCAGACAAGAAGGTACTAATACTGGTATATGGGAAGGTACTAATACTGGTATACGCAGTCGGAGCTGAAAGAAGTTCCGAAGACTGTTGGCATTTGGCAGAGGGAGGGGGAAGCATGGAAGCGGGGAAATGGAAGGCCCTTGGCTGCTGGAGGCCTTGGATAGCGCTGTGATGTGTGCGATTCTAATCGTTACGTTCGCGCCTGCATTTCGTGTCAGAAAAATTGCTATGGTTGGTCCATGAAAAGGTTTCGGCTTGTTTGCTTTTATCCTAATAATCTAGATTAGCATAGGTGCTTGCGTTCAGGAGATTATTTCCATATGCGAGTTGCTGGTCGGCTAAGTTGGCAGTGGTAAGGAGTGCTATTTATTAGGGCTCCAATACAGCTACCTACCTGTTTGGTTCCGTTTGTTTACCGATGCCGTCCCGTTCCGTTGCGGTACGCGTTTTATTAGCCAAAAAACATCTTTTCGAAGGCATTATTACGAAAAATGTTGGACGGAATGAAAGGCTTAGATGTGCGTGACTAGGACTTGTGATGTATCCTTTGAAGGTGTGTGAGCAATCTTTCGGATCAGTTTGGTTTTTCTCTATGTCCGCGCCTGCATCCTTTCATCCCGGTGCACAAACCATACCTGATAGATTAGTACTTGTGTTTTAAGTAGAAGTTGATGGAATCATGTGGACCGCATCTATGCTGGCCTGAAAAAACATCCAGTTACAGGGCTCTTAGCTGCCTGGTCACCGGTCACTAGGATCGTTGCATTATATGCAAGCATGCTCCGCTATAATGGCGATAGGAAACATTGCAATACTTTTTTTGTCTCCGCATTGCAGTTAGCTGTGTGCCATGGTAGTGAAAATCCTGGCTTTGATTATGCCGTACGCTGTACGGAATGATGCAGGAACTAACCTGTCAATCCTACCCATTAATAGATAGAGTGGTTTTCGGGGTCGTCTAGGTCGCTTGCCAGTTTGCGATCTGCTGGTTCTTTTATTCAACACAAATGATTTGGACAGATGTTTGTAGAGATCGCTTCAGGAAGTTTCAAAGCTGCAGTTCTCGTGCATCTCCGCGTGCGACCGCTCAACTGTGCGAACGGGGGATTTTCTTGTGGGCCTTTTTCCTTACCACTTTTGTCTAATGCCGTACAGCAGTTACCGTACCGTGCATGGAAACGTGTACGGTCCGCGGATGGCGTTACTGCTTTTTGTTTAATTGAGCCTTGCTGCGGCTCCAACGACGTGCATCCTCTCGCGTTCACCCTTCCCTTGTCGAATCCCACCGAAGGGGGATATCACCGGCGAGGGTTCCTGCTGTAGCTCCTGCGCAACTGCTTATCAGCGCTGTTGAGGGTGTATATGTTGTTGGTTGATCTGGTGAGTCCTCGATACCACTGCTGCAGTGCATTTTGCTGTACATAGTTGTGTATATGACGCATTTTTGCGTTTGTAAAATGGTTTTAATAAGTTAATTAGCTCTATTTGTAAAAACCCACCTTTGGAAGAAGACTCGGCTTCTGATTTGTGCCGCGGGCGGCGCGGGGGCCCTTCTCAGGACTGTCTCCTTTCGAGAAAAGGACAGACAGAGAGGCATATTGACAGATGCATAATAATGTATCGAGTGTGCGGCATTTCGCCGGCTATTCTTTCCAGGGTCGACTGACTTTCAAAAACAGCAAACCTGAACGAGGCGCACATGTCCATAGGAGGTCCGTCACGCTTGATGGTTAGGCCACCTCTCAGCTGATCTTCCCCGCGTTCCTCAAAAATGGGCCTTATGGAGCTTCCTCCTGCCGCAGTACGTACTTTCGATAGGCTATCCATCGTAAATGAACCCAATCAAACATCCTGATGGAGTTCTAATTAGGACACGCGCATGAATGATGTAAAAATATAGATTCTGTCAGAAGACGCCGGCAGGGAACATGCAAACCGCGTCCCCAACACCCTCAAAGCACTGCATGCTGAGCCCCATCACCGTCATCATCGTCCTCTGTTTAGGCCCCGGCTCCTCAAACCCCCTCCCAGCTTGAGAGCTCATCATGTCCGATTCTGCAGTTTTGCGGTCTTCCTAAACTCTTCTCCTTCTAGCCGCCCTGTTCACTGCGTGCATGGGTACATGCATGACTTTTGCCCCTACCACTACAACCACTACAACCACGCTTCAGTCTGTACCCGCCTTTTCCTGAAACCCAACTGCCCCTGGATTCATGCCACTGGTACGGCACCCAGGCAGCAAGGCACGACCAGTGCCTGCTCCGTTCGACTTCCCTGAAGTACCGCATGGCGCAGCCACGCCGTCAGCACCCCCACCGCCTCCGCCAACCTCCCCCCAACGCCCACCATCTTGACGCCCGAACCCCCCAAAACCCTGGACCCAGCCCTGCCGCTACCGGCTCCCTCCTCCTTCCCCTCCTCCTCAGCCACCTCCTCCTTCAGTCCTGCCTCACCGTCCAATGCACCGTCCGATTCGCATCTCTTCGCCAGCACCGCTTCGAGCCACACCCGCTGCTGCTCCGTTAAGGTCGCAAACGGACCGGAAACCCGCCTCGCTGGTTCGAACATTTCAGAGCCAAGCAGCGAGGCCGAAGGGACGGTTGTAGCAGCAGCGGCGCCGACGCCGGCTCCCGCAGCCACCGGCAGCGTGTGAGGCTCCTTGATGCCTTCAGGGGTCGGGCCACCTGTACTCGCCGTACTTGTCGTACTCGTCGTACTCACTACCTCCGCCGCAGCCGTTCCATCAACAGGAATTGCAGCAGCAGAGGCAGAGGGGGCGCCATCTTGGCTGTGCGGATGGCCGTCCGCAGGCCCGTGGTCTTGTTGACGTGCCTTTCCTCCCCGTCGTACACCTCCACCTCCACCTCCACCTGCACCTCCTACCTCCGACTCCGACTCCGCCGGCACCGCCACCGGCAGGTCTCGATTTGCGACATCATCCCCAATAGCGATCCCTCCTCTGCCGCCGCCGCCAACACCATCACAATCATAGCTGCTATCTCCACCACCACTACTACCACTACCAACTCTACCACCACTACTACCACTACCAACCCTACTACTTTCACCACCCCTCACTCCCTCCCCAGCACCTGCACCAGCACCCCTATGCTCTCCTGCTGCTGCATCCAAACCATCGACTAGGCGACGGATGCCGGATGAACCTAAGCGGGCAGCCTCCCCGGCAGGAGGAATCTGCTCCGCTCCCCCTCCCCTTCCACCTCCCTCTTTCCCTGCGCCTCCCTCTTCCTCTTCCCCAATCCGTCCACTCAGGCAGCCGCCAGCAGCTGCTGCCGACATCGCTGCCGCAGGAGGCACCAGCACCGGTGACGGCTGCGGCGGCACTATATCCGCCAAGATCAGCCCCACCTGGGTCGCCGCAGCCTGCCGTACCGCCCACACGGGATCGCCGCAAAGCGTCACGGCGCACTGCGCGACGAGCGCCGTCGCTTCGGGACTGGCTCCGTCGCCACCGCCGCTGCCGCCACCCCCACCCTGCGCTACGGCACGCATGGCGACGTGCAGCTGTAACGCCAGGCTGAGGCGCGGACGCCAATCGCCGCAGCGAGCGGTGGCTTCAGCGGCAATAGGCGGCTTGCAGAGCGATGGCAGTAGCTGTGGTTCCAAAAAAGGGCCAGGAGGCCACGGCGCAGGAAACGGATCAGATCATCCTCGATCAGCCGCGTGAGGGGCGGGAATCAATCCTCCATATGGCGAAGGAGCAAAGAAACGTTAACGGCTTCTGACGTCCAAAATCAGAGTGAAGGAATGAGCATGGCAGGTTTCGTACAGACGACCTTCCGTACTCACACGAAACACAATCCAACCTGAGGGAGCAGCCCAAACCCCCCTCCCCCCCATCTCCCCCCCCCGCATAGCATAATCGGATTCATCCCCTCATCTTCTGGCACGCCATCATCCCCGACATCCCCCTTCACTAACCTGCAGTAGCTCCATTTGCAGCTCCGGGGGGCAAACCCCCAGCAGCCCTGCCAAGGCGGAGGACGCTGCCCCTGCCACCACGTACAGCTGGTTCCGGAGCACATCGAGAAATAGCCCCGAAACCACCTGCCGTGCCGCATCATGCAGACGCTGCCTCTGCGCCTTGTCCTCCGCCTCCTCCTCTCTTCCAACTTCCGGAGCAGCCGCTGCTGCGGCTGCTGCCAGCAGCCGTACAACACGCTCCGCTGACGCCACCAGGCTGCAGAGCGTGGGCCCGTCGTTTGATGCCAGCAGTCGCACCATAACGGGCTGCAGTTCGGACCAGCGGCAGCAGTCCGCCTGCGGTGGAGATAAAACACGAAGAGGGCCTCACATGTTTTGTGTTTTCTTGGGGGGGTGGAGAAGGTCTCCACCGAGTGAACTATGCCGGGAAACCATGGCGGCGCAAACACCGAACAACACTCAGCCAGATCAGCCAATAAACTGGATGCATTGCGAAAAAAAGACAAGCTGATCCCAATTCAACTGGTTGACGCCCAGACAAAACGCAGAGAAATAAAACAACTATAAAACATGTTGTGGCGTGAAGTTGAACAGGGGATGACACGCTGACAGGCGACAGCATTCAGTCAATCAGAACGCTTTGAACTACCAGTAGGTAACGGGAATTGTTGACAGCAAACAGAAGCCAGGGGTTGGCCCAAAATCCCCCCCTGTCTCTCTCCACCTACCCCTATACCTACCCCCTACCACCTCCACACGCATTTTCACATCTTACCTCAACTAGCTTAGCCACCACATCTCCGAAGCTCTCGGCGCACCTCCGCCGTACCTCCACTGCGCCCTGCCCCACCGCCGACGCCGAGGCGCAGTACGACTCCACCAGCGGCGCCAGCAGCTCCGCCGTCGGCGTCCCCCGCCGCAGCGTCGCGACGGCGGCACCGGCCTGCTGTCGGGCTGCTGTCACAACCCATTGGGACTTGGTCGCTAGCAAGGTGTCCAGGAAAAGGCGACGTAGCAACCGAATTTGCAACTCATCAGCACGTTGTCGCCGCTGCTGCTGCTGCTCCTGCTGTTTTGGTTTTTCGTTGCTGTTGTTTTGCGGCTCATCGGCGTCGCCATCGGTGCAGCTGCATAACCGTGATAGCTCCGAGACCACACGAGCACATGCCTGCCGTACGCTCCACACCTTGTCGCTGCAGAGCGGCTCGTACGTGTCGAACATCTGCTCTAACGCTCCAGGGTGTGCGGCGTAGCCGCCGTACAGCTGCGGCAGCGCGCTGGCCACGACCTTGCGCGGAGGATGATGGAGGAAGAAACAAAAAACGGCACTCGGACACTCAGAACACAGAAGCGCGCACCCATTTACAAAGCCGCTTGCAGTTGCTGTGCAACGATCCTCGGTTGGCATCACTTCGCTTGTTCCTCCTTTTGTCCTGGAAAATTGAAGCATTAAATGCTTAACACACAGCCTCAAAGGCTTTACGTTTCCGTTGCTGACTAAGACAAAAGCTAAGCGACGCAAGCCGTCGAGAGACGGTGGATGAGGGAGGTGCTTTAAACCCTCCCCCTTAGGAAAAGCACAAAGCAGGGCAGGTACGCTTGGGGAGAGGCTCCCGGCGCAATGCGCCAATGGCGTATCAGGACGTGAACACCACAGCACGACGTTCCGTACGACATTCGTTTCGTGTATATCGTACACCCGTGTCCGAACATACCTCCCGGACCCGCAGGTCAGCATGGGTGCACAGCCGCCCGGCGATGGCAGCCATGGCCAAGCCGCCGCGACCCGGATCCAGGTGCCGTACACCCACGACCGCCAACGAAAGCGCCATTAGTGCTGCGTCACCACTGGCCTTGCTGCCACCGCCGCCACCGCCAATGCCGCCTCCACCCCCTGAGGCAGACTGCTTATCAAGCGCGTTATTAACAGCTCGCAGCAGCCGCAGCAGCAGCCCGCTGCGTTTTGCCCCCGGCAGGTATCCACACACCGCGTCCAGCGAGGCCAGGAGCGCTTCCCGGACCTGCCGACAGCGCAAACCAGCCAGAACATGTACGATGCATGTACGGCATTATTACGGTACGGCATCACGGGACACGACTTAACACCTGGACGTGTAGCTCTAGCTCCACTCAGCGGGTTGTGGGGAAAAACCAACAACGAATTCAACAAATGAAAAACGCACACAGCAAATGCTTTAACAAAGTGTTTCACATAGTGCAAGAAATTAACCTCCTAAAAAAGTCGCCTAACCAACATAATGCGACCCAACAATACACAGCGCAGTTGTATCTCCAATGTGCACAATAAAACCAACTTTTTTTCTCCGCACGGGCCTCGCACCAACACTCAGCCCCCACAGCCACGTGGCTCGGACGAGACCAGGCATGCCAGCATGTGCTGATGGGGAACAGCGGGAGGGCGACTACTCGGGTGACCCGGATATCGCGAGCAAAGTGGAGTAAGGTGAAGGGCCGGGTGCCCCTAGTGCATGGCTCTCACAGCAGCTCACCATGGGCAGTGCTCCCGTACCCGCCCCTCCCTGGCGTGTGCTGCCTCCCGGGCCTCCCGGGTCGAGGGAGGGCCTCAGCTGCTGCTCCAGAGCGTCCGACACCGCCTCCTCCACGTCCTCCCGCGACACCGTTTGACCAGCCAGCTTAGCTGTCACGAGGTCGTAGTAGTAGTAGTCAGTATTCAGGGAGATGCAGGGCAAGGAGGGCAATGCGGTGTTCGTATGGCAAGGTATGGCAGATGCCGGGGGAAGTGCGGGATAGGAAAGGGAAGATGACACGACGCGGTCGTCTCTTTCCTTGTGTGCGCCTTGGCGCACTTAGCCAGCTGCTAGCTAAGATGTAAGGCGGGTTGCGCAGCCCGATTGCTCTACGCAGCCAACCCTTCATGTCTACGAAGAAAAGGTCTTCATCCTGACGAGAAGCGGCCGACGAGCTCTTCACCAGCTTTCGTGCACAGCGACCCGCGGGTCAGCAGGGCACAGCAGCACGCAAGGCACGCGGCGACCCATTGACAGAGCGACCCCCAGATCCAAACATTCAGACTTCTCACATCCCGCGTGTCCCAAAAGATTCGGCGACAAAAATGAGCCATTTGTCAATGTGCCAATGCCTGCGTGACGCTCAGCGACCCACGGGTCTACATATTGAGTGATCCACCCATATCAAGTTGACTCACCCAGCTGTTGCAGCTGTTGCAGAGTCTCCAGTCGTACACCCAGGGCTTCGTCATCAAGCAAAGGCTCCAATGCCTGCCGGCGCGGGGTCCGGGGTGAAGCGAGAGCAACGGCACAGCCAATGACCGTTGAGGACGGCCTGTACGACGTTGTACGATGCAACAATGCATCGCCGTGTGCGCGAGGGACGCGTGCACAACAAGATCGTCTGGGTTATAGGGCTGCGTGCATTGCTCGCTCCTTCAAGGTAAGGAGTTGCAATATAGCAGCAATAGCTACAATAGCTAAATGCCGGTGCCGACGTCCCGGAGCTAACGAGGCGAAGCCATGGAGTTCAAAGGAAAACGGAGCCCCCGGAGGCCCTCACCATTTTCTACAGGGACATCGACCGGCGGAGTTCCACCTTGCGATATGAGCTCTTTTTAACGCGTCTTGCATACACACGCTCACCCTATTTGCCGAACAATTTCCCGCTCCGAAACCCTCCCCGGCCCCACCTCCAGCAGTTTGCCGAGCTCCCTTTTGCTGGCCCGAGTGGCTGCGGACGCCAAACCCTAAGGTATTGATGGAGGGTTGGGACACGTGGGGAAATTCATTTATGGTTATATTTTTTAAGGACTGGCACGCTTGACCAACCAGGTTACCGAGTTTAGTAACCGAAGAGTACGGTGTCGGCCGGATTGAGGAGGGGCTTCTGGTTATCCCCCCCCCCCGGGCCCCGGGAGCGCCTAGGGCAACCAACCTGACTCACCTTGATGTAAGCAAGCCGTAAAGGGAGGTCATCACTGAGGCAGTTCTTGAGCACGACCTCCGCAGAAACCGAAGTTACGTCCACCTGCGCAGGATTTGGGCCAGAGGTATTTTAACAGGTGGCGTATGGACAAAGCTAGCGGCAGGGCGGCAGGTGCTTTGGCGGGTGCACCGTGAGAGCTCCATCCTCCCATGGAGCGCGTTCCATGCCGTCATCGTCTGTGTCCATCTTGTGCACGTGGCTCATGCAGGCGACTCTATAATGATGTGTATTCGTCACGTTAACGGGAATTGGCAAGGAGAACGCTGAGGCCGTGTACGGATGCAGCGGTTAGCCCATCCGTTCGCTCTCAACTCTCACATGACCTGAATATTTTATATGCTTTGGTATACTTTGATAAATCCAAGCCCTTAGGTTTCTGGACGACAGGATTTTAAACGCTTGGATTAATCTCTGCTTGAGCTTCCAGGTCATAAGCGTTTTGCACTTAAGGAAGGAAACTTAAAGGATAAAGAGTATAGCGTCCTTGTGGAATTGTTCTCCCGCTTTTGCTTTTCCTGGGTTGGACACCAGGCGACGCCAGGAGGGCCAGGTCAGGCTTATGTCCCATATTGGACGCATGTGATTGTGGGCCAAGTAAAGACAAATGTCTCACCAGGGCGGGGTTCCTCCGATGGCCCCGGGCCTCCCGAGGCAATCCCTTGCACCTGGTCCCCCTCCTGGAAGCCAGCAAGGATTAAATATGGCATCTATGGCGCCATCAGTCATAGGCTCAGGTGCAGGCTCGTCGCTACCCATTCAACCGCTGAACGTGGCGCCGGGGTTGCCAGGGGCTTCTAATGGCCCACCCCGGCCCCTAGCCCCTGGTTCAGTCCCAGCCACTCAGCCGCTGTCCATCTCACCGCTAAATATGCCTACATCAGGGCAGACTTCAGCCCCGCATCTCGGCATGTCAGCCGCCCAGGTGCTGAACATTAACTTGGGGAGCCTCCAAGGGCAGACTAACCCGGCGGCATTCCCCCAGGGTCTGCCGCCGCAGCAACCTGGCCTGCAGGCATCCCAGCAGGGCGCCGGCCTCAAGCGCCCCGCTGAAATGGCCGGCCCCCAAGATGGCGGCTCCGCTCCCAAGCGAATGCGCGCCGGCGAGGGTGAGGTTGAAGCTGGTAGTAGTGGGCCGGCCAGGCCCCCCGGCCCGACTGCCGGAGTTGGTCCCATGACCGCTGCTGCGGCGGCAGCTCCGGCCCCGCTGCTGCAACAGGCACAGCCTGGGGCCAACCTGGGCTTGGTGCATGGAGGCGCCCCGGCGTCAAACCCCACTGCGGACCTCGCAGCACTGCTCCTTAGCGCCAACCGTGCCAACCCCTATGCCGCCGCCGCGTATCAGCAGGCTGTACAGCAAGCCGCGGCCGCACAGGCAGCTGCCCAGGCTGCGGCGGCTGCACGGCGAAGGGCCGCCGCCGCAGCGGCCCCTATCGCCGACCCCGATGACGAGCGCCGGCTGCTGCCGCGGCGCGGCATCCGGATGGCCCTCCGTGCTGCTGGTATGGATCGTGACTACGTGGTCGATCCAGCTACTGAATCGGCGCTGTTGGAGTTCTACACGGAGTGGATCGGCAACGCGGTGGCTCTGGGCTGCGAGGTGGCCAAGCGACGCAAGTCGAATATCCTCAAGGCTCGCGACATCGCGCTGCACCTGGAGCGTTCCTGGAATCTGTATGTCCCTGGCTTCAACGGGGAAATGCTGAAGCCGTACCGCCGGCCGCACGCATCGGAATTGCACCGGCAACGGCAGTTGGCGGTGCGGCGAACGGCGGCAGAGCTGGACCACCAGCAGCAGTACCACCAGCATCATTCTCATCACATCGGAGCCAGCGGCACTGTGCCGCAGGCGGGCGCGGCAGTGGCGGCCGCGGCAGGGGTGTCGTTGGGCCCGGGAGGGGCCTCTGGCAGTGGCGGAAAAGGCGGCGTTGGCGGTGCCGGGGGGGACGCAGGCGGTGGAGCTGGGGGTGCGGGGAGTACGGGAGCCGCTGGGTGATGGGTGGACATTTAGCCCACCTTAGTGGGGCCCGGGGAATAGGGACGAGCACATATACGCCTCATGGTGAGGTGCAGTATATGCAGTTCGAGGCAGATTCGTGTCTTTCAGCTGACAGGTTGCATTATAGGTCTAGGTTGCGTTGCAGAGGTTCCAGGTCTTTGACACAGGACCCATCATGGGTCATTCTGTTGGTGCTGTACGGGGAATTGGTTTTACCTGGCAAAGGCAGCAGCTGGGTAATACGCCTCATCACATGGCTCAAGGTTCTGGCTGTGTAAGTGATTGGTGTTTTGTTTGTCCAACGCTCCCGGTTTGGCAAATGGGCTGGTTAGATTTGGATAGAATCGTTTACATGAGGTCTGGGCGATGCTCGACGCACATGCGTCCGTTGCCATGTGCGATAGTGTGCAACCTGTAAATCGCAGCTCATATGCGGTAAAATAGTTCGAACGTACTGACCTATTTCGACTGACCCAATCGAAACAGATTATGCATCACGGCCGTGTTACATCAGCTTGAAACGACCTGAGACCGCCGAAGCACCGCAAGACCAGCCTTGCAACGCAGGTCAGCGGTAACGACCTCGCCGTTTTGTCTACGGATGCAGTACCGCCGCCACGTTAATAGCACTGTACTGCAGCAAGACTTGCGGGTCACCTACAAACACGACGCAATAAGTATATACGGACGACAGACCCATAATATTAAGCGGCATATCGCAATTCGGTCACACCATATCGCGCGCACACCCCACAGCTCCACGCATAGCCATGCGCATGCGATCAGCTCAGGTCATGACGCAGCTGTCTGGCACGCTCCGTGAATCTGAAGGAGGTGTGAATTTTGCGAACGAGCACTTCATTTCGCATGCGTCGGGAGTAGACCTAAGGCCTTACGGAAAAGCCTTACGATCGCTGCACAAGAGATCATTTACTGCGGGCCCTTGAGGATGGATTTGATGAGCAGGCGGGCGACAGTGTACGGGTCAACGTTGGCAGCCGGGCGACGGTCCTCCAGGTAGCCGTAGCCCTTCAGCATGACCGGCAACGGGATGCGAATGGACGAGCCGCGGTCCGCAACACCGTGCTTGAAGGTGTTGATGTCGCACGTCTCGTGCTTGCCGGTCAGACGAGCCTCATTGCCCAGACCGTACTGGGTGATGTGCTCAATGTGGGTCTTGGAGAGCTTCTCCACGGCGTCCTCAATCACCTTCATGCCGCCAGGCTGGCGCATGGACTTGGTCGAGAAGTTGGTGTGCGCGCCAGTGCCGTTCCAGTCGCCGGTGCGGACAGGCTTGGGGTTGAAGGTGCAGACAATGCCGAAATCCTCGCCCAGACGGTGCAGCAGCCAGCGCGACAGCATCACCTCATCGCCCATCTCCAAGGGACCCACCGGGCCAATCTGGTACTCCCACTGGCCTGGCATCACCTCGGCGTTGATGCCAGAGATCTTAAGACCAGCCTTCATGCAAGCCTCCATGTGAGCCTCAGCCAGGGGCCGGCCGAACGCCGACTCCGCACCGACACCGCAGTAGAAGGGGCCCTGTGCGCGCGGATCGGGGTTTCAGGGCTTGTTGGAATCAGCACAAGTGACATCCGGCCAGGAGCTCACACAGCGTCCTCTTGTGCAACGCCGGTTGTGGGTAATCCAAAGCAATGCATTACCACGGCCCATCCAATCGGTAGGTGCCTGCACGTCAGCAGAGCTCCCAGCAAAGCACAAAAAGAGACGTCCTCACCTGGGGTGCAGGGTAACCGCCGCTGGGCCAGCCGTAGATCTGGCCGGTGGTCTTTTGAAGCATGGTGTACTCCTGCTCCAGACCGTACCAGCAGTCCTCGGCAAGGACCTTGTCGTCAATGATGTCGCGCAGCTTGGCACGAGTGTTGGTAGGGTGCGGGGTGCCATCAGGGGCGAACACCTCGCACATCACCAGCACGTGCGGCTCACCGCGGATGGGGTCCTTGATGACGCGGACGGGCCTGGACGAACAAAGGAGAATGCAGGCATGCATCAGTAGGCATCAATCTCTCAGGTTCTTGAACTTAATGAAGTGGTCCTGGTCAGAAGCCCCTAGTAGCACCAATTGTTGACCTTTTGACATGTTTATATGTTGGGGTCGTTAGTACGCTGGGGTAAGGTCAGGGATAGCAACCGTGGTCGAATGCTTAAATTGCGAACTCACCTAAATACTCACGTCCTAAAGCGGTTCCGAAAGATACGCAATGCACATGTGCAGATCATATGAAGCCGACGCGAGTCGGATGAGGATTTCCATACCATTCCACTACATAGCCTCATCACCAAAGGGTTGGGGATGGCATTTCAACTTTGGGGACCATCTTCTTACATGTTCCACCTGGACACCTGTAGCTATCACTCACCTGAGAATGCAGTCGGAGTTGTTGCCGGCGGCCTGGCCGGTCGAAGAGCCATCGAAGGACCAGTCGGGGTACTGGCCAGCTTCCAGGGGGAGGGCCTCATCAAAGACCTTGGTCTTCGAGCGCATCTCGTTAAAGATCATGCCCTGGAGTTTGGAGTCCAAAAGCAACCCAAAAACTTTCTTTAACAGTGCGTTGCCAGGCGTGGTACGCCGTCATCCCCCCTAATCATCGGCAAATACTCCCATTTCACGATTTGCGTGCTGCTCCACTGTACAGGCAGCGTGTTGCACAACACTTACAAAAAGGACGCACCTTCTCGGGCCGGCCTTCGTTGCCATCGGCCCAGATATACTCTGCCTTCATGCCATAGGCCCGGACACGCACGGTCAGCGTGCGGCCCTGCAAAAGAAGAAGCAAGCAACCCAATGAGTCGCATATTTGACAGATTTAACGGCCCAGTCCAGGAACAAGCACAGAAAACTAGGCAAAAGGATAAGTTCATTTATCAAATTGAGCTGCGTGGCTTCCGCGAGATTAGGCACAACGACACCCCGCAGCGAGCCCAGTGAATCCACAAAGCCGAAAAAAAAGCTGATCGTCGAGGGCTATTTGTTGCTCTTTGTAATATATGCTTTAGGACCTGTTCCACAAAAGCAAGTGACCGCCGCCACCACGAACGCGTTACTCACAGCGCGAACGCCGGCATTGCGCCGAACCTGGATAGTGAAAGTGTATAAGGGCAAGCCACACGTCATGGGATGCAAACGCGCTGAAATTCATGAGCTCAACATTCAGCAAAGTGGAGTGCATTCAAGGCTAACCTGCGTGTTGGCAGACACGCCACGGAGAGCAAAAGCCATTTTTAGTTTCTGCACCAAAAGAAATATTAATGATGCTCGAGAGATTTTCAACAGTCTCAAACTCGTACGGCATACAATGTCAAGCCTGCGTTCCTGCCTTACTTACAACTCAGCCTACCCATCAAATCATTATTGCTTGTGTACTGGCATGAAACTTCTGGTTCCCTACAGGCCATCACGACAGTTGATAAGAAGGCGAACAGCTGTACTGCTACGATAAATGCATCCATTTTCCAACTTATGCGCATGAGGTTTAGAATGAACGGTTGGAATCAAGGCAACGTACTTGGTCCACGCTTACTTACGCCATACGTTATGGCTGACTTTCATACGAACACAACGACCCGCTAATGTGCCATAAAGAACAGAGAAAGATATTCCTTCCGGCTGCCTGAGCTGTGAGCACAGTTGAACCAAATGGAGACATGGCAAAGACAGATTAGTGCTATACCTCGCCAAACCCTCTCCCTATTGCAACGCTTAATATTTAAGAAGGAATCTAAATAATTGAAGAGGACGGCGAACATGGAGCACCGCAGCTGTTTCTCACTTCAGCGGGGTAAGTGCCTAGCAGTCAGTAGGTCGATAACCGCCAACTGTAAAGAGGAGCACTGTCGAAACGAAGATAATCTAAGATGGAAAATCTAATTGGTTGCTCATAATGGGCGTACCGGAGTACGCCACTTTAGAGGTAAGGCTAGTCCTAAAAAATTACAATGAATACCAGTGCCGCAAGATAACGCTCTACTTCGGCCCGTATTAGTAACCCTCCTTAGCCTTTCGCCGCTTATGCAGGCATATCCCCCGTGCCTGTGGCCACAATCGGTGGCCGGTCCCCTGAGTCATCATGATGGGCACCAGCTGCTGACCCAGATGCAGCCAGGAAAATTTCGCAGTAATCGCCACCCTCGTGTTGTACGTGAGGTTAACTAGCTTTGCAAAATGAATAGCGTCCAGGATGGCACCAGTTCGAAGCCAGCTCTGGCCGCACATGCTGGGTCCTTGTCCCTTCCAACATAAGAGTTCAAGAATCCGGGACCGATATTCATTGCGTGCGATTATATGGTACAGGAATAAATTTAAATAGCTCCTTCTACGACGAGGAAATCCGAAGGACAGCCATCAGCTAGTGACAGCCAAGGCGATTCAGTAAGCTCTTGGTAAAATTGCCCAGGAAACGCGAAGCATACCTGTGCATGCAGACTTACAAGGTCTGGCAGGGGATTCCAGCAAAATCCTCTAGTTGTGGTTGCCAGGTCACGAACCGTACTAGACTGTAATTGGACAACGCGAAGCCATACTCATCATAACTCAAAGGATAGGATTACCCTAACTCCATGTAATCGAGTTCGGATGCTACCTGCAAAATCCACTTTCTCCACGCTGCCGTACAGCATCACGCCCCTATTCAGCGCAGGGGTACAAAAGGCGGCAAGTGCCTTTACGTCATATCATTAACTTGGTCAAAATCTGTAATCATGGCTACCATGCGCATGTCCACGAAGGTTAGCTATCCTAAACCAATTAAATGTACTGCCCTAGGGCTTTGCTTCAGAAGCGTATGCGAAAAGTTGACATCGGTTCCTTTTGATGCAGGCTCAGGGCCGCGTCGGGATTGTCCGCAACGTGAGTACCGACTTGCGATTTGCACTTTTACTTGTCCTCACGTGTTTCAAGGGACCGGCGGCGGATCAGCGTTAAAAACTCTGCTTTACTTCAATTATGCTATTCATCATTTGTCGATCTGTAACATGAAGGGCCCTGATCATGCGTGCGCATTCTCGAAATCGCTGACACAGCGCCGTGCAATGGACGGTGCAGACGCGGACCCTGACAGTGCGCGTACGTGCGTATGGTATGAAGGCCGAATATATCTGGGCCGATGGAAATGAGGGCCGGCCCGAGAAGGTAGGCTTCCGCCAACTAACATCTCCAAAGCCGTTGAATTGCTTCTGTATGCTTCGAGCAGGATAGTCTGCCCGTCCTTTAGATGCCCAATGTTTGTTGTATTGAAGGTTCCATTTTCCTGACTTTCGGGTTGTGCAAGCCTCCCGTCGGTCTGGGCGTAATGCCGGGCAGAGGCGTGCTCCTGATCAGGTAGCATCACGTCAAATTCGCAAGTGCGAAGGCGTCATTAGTTGTGTCGCTGTCAGCGTGGGAATCACTTCCAATCCACGATTTGCCTAGCATCTCCCCGAAGGGAGAATGAGGCCTGTTGCGGAATACCTCGCTATGCAATCCCGGGGGGCTTAAATCGGTAAATTTCTATGATGTTTCTATGTGTTCGTTTTGCCTAACCCAGGGCATGATCTTTAACGAGATGCGCTCGAAGACGAAGGTCTTTGATGAGGCTCTACCCCTGGAAGCTGGCCAGTACCCCGACTGGTCCTTCGATGGCTCTTCGACCGGCCAGGCCGCCGGCAACAACTCCGACTGCATCCTCAGGTGCAAGGGGTGAAAACAACATGGCCCGGCCCTAGCTTGGCTTACCTTGGGCCACTCGCTGTTGAGGTATTCGAATATCATTACCTCAACGGCACGAGTGGAGATGTGACGGCTGTAGCACGGTATCAGTCATCTGATGGTCATAATTGTATCTGTAAGGAGCCCGCTACGCCGCCTCAGTGCCCAAAGCCAACCTTCCTGCGTATATAGCTTTGCGACCTAAAGCGGCAGCCTTCTGCTTCTCTGTCAACCTCTTGACTTGATGTATTTTGTTTTTATTCCCTGGGCTTGTGCAGGCCCGTCCGCGTCATCAAGGACCCCATCCGCGGTGAGCCGCACGTGCTGGTGATGTGCGAGGTGTTCGCCCCTGATGGCACCCCGCACCCTACCAACACTCGTGCCAAGCTGCGCGACATCATTGACGACAAGGTCCTTGCCGAGGACTGCTGGTACGGTCTGGAGCAGGAGTACACCATGCTTCAAAAGACCACCGGCCAGATCTACGGCTGGCCCAGCGGCGGTTACCCTGCACCCCAGGTGAGGACGTCTCTTTTTGTGCTTTGCTGGGAGCTCTGCTGACGTGCAGGCACCTACCGATTGGATGGGCCGTGGTAATGCATTGCTTTGGATTACCCACAACCGGCGTTGCACAAGAGGACGCTGTGTGAGCTCCTGGCCGGATGTCACTTGTGCTGATTCCAACAAGCCCTGAAACCCCGATCCGCGCGCACAGGGCCCCTTCTACTGCGGTGTCGGTGCGGAGTCGGCGTTCGGCCGGCCCCTGGCTGAGGCTCACATGGAGGCTTGCATGAAGGCTGGTCTTAAGATCTCTGGCATCAACGCCGAGGTGATGCCAGGCCAGTGGGAGTACCAGATTGGCCCGGTGGGTCCCTTGGAGATGGGCGATGAGGTGATGCTGTCGCGCTGGCTGCTGCACCGTCTGGGCGAGGATTTCGGCATTGTCTGCACCTTCAACCCCAAGCCTGTCCGCACCGGCGACTGGAACGGCACTGGCGCGCACACCAACTTCTCGACCAAGTCCATGCGCCAGCCTGGCGGCATGAAGGTGATTGAGGACGCCGTGGAGAAGCTCTCCAAGACCCACATTGAGCACATCACCCAGTACGGTCTGGGCAATGAGGCTCGTCTGACCGGCAAGCACGAGACGTGCGACATCAACACCTTCAAGCACGGTGTTGCGGACCGCGGCTCGTCCATTCGCATCCCGTTGCCGGTCATGCTGAAGGGCTACGGCTACCTGGAGGACCGTCGCCCGGCTGCCAACGTTGACCCGTACACTGTCGCCCGCCTGCTCATCAAATCCATCCTCAAGGGCCCGCAGTAAATGATCCCTCGTACTGAGCCACTTCGGTCATTCCGACGCACCCATAGGCAACTTACGGTTACCTAGTCTCGGACGTTCTTGTGAATGGGTTGGCCTCATTTGCAGGATGGCATGATGGGACAGGTGTAAGATGTTCTAGAGGCTCTGGAGTGGGCTTGGGGCTGGAGATACCCCGGTGCATGTTTGTAGCTGTGGGTTGGCTGGTACGATGTGACAAGAACCGTCCGGAACTATTAAGAAGTTCATTGGATCAATGGACAATATATTTATTGCGGAAATGTCTTTTTGCGCGTTGACAAGTGGCTAGCTGCTACTGATCCTACTATTATCTGCCATACTTACGCAGTTTAATTTTCGGCATCAGTGCACACGTTCTCCTGTAATGGTTAGGAAACATGTGCTATTGAGGAGACGTGCGTGTGACTGATATCCTGACACGCCTAGGTATCGGAGTGTACGTTGAGTTCCAGTTCACGGGTTCATGCGGCTAGCGGGCATGCCTTGGCGACGGCTGCAATTGCACCGAGTTGCCGAGGGGTGCATGTGCATAGCGGGTTGTCGCATACGGAGATAATGCTCTTTGTGTTTGGGGCTTTTTTTCCTGTGTGTAGCTCTCTTCTACAGCAGCTAAGCGAGCTTAATTCGTGAGGTACAGAGAGTTTCATCTACTGTATAGATTACTTTATTTCCTTCCGGGTATTGAACGATTGCATGCCGTACCTGGGCATGTAGTCTTCGACGTACGTGTGCTAAGCTTCTGCGGTTCTCATGAAGTGGAGATGCCGCATTTGTATCATGATTGCACAAATATAACGATCTTGGTGTGTCAGGCCCGGGCAAGCTGCTGTGCAATCACCTGATACTGTCTCGATTGATACTGTCCTAAAACGATTGTTATCATTACTGCGTGACATCGTACGACGCAGCGTAACTTTTCTTCAAGCACAACTGTCATTGACATACTGTCTTAACGACAGGCACAAATCATCAAGTGTTTAAAACGGCAGGCCGTTCCGCGCTGACCTGGTGCTGGCATGGCTCCTCATCCAGCGAATGGCAATCAAAGTGGGTAGGAAACCCAACTTGATTTAAACACTTGTTTGGTATAGTACGGCAAAAGTCAACGACCCCCGAACTTGGCTGTACAGCATGGGTGGTGATTTTCTTCAGGGACACTTGAAACTTTGTATACACATGCCGGAATACAGTCAACAATATTTATTAAAGCAATTGATTACAGAAGTCTTAACAGTGATAGGACACTCATTTAGTTGGCAGTTGTAAAATGTTATAAAATGCCACGTAAGGTTTCAGGCGAATCCGGCGCCTGGGGACGGTGTGCGTAGGCTTGCTTAGGCACACCATGGCAACAATGCGAAGGATCCGCGATGGCTGGCTAGTAACCATGGCGTTGTGTAAGCGCCTGGAACTTTCCGTGGCCTTTCAGTTGAAAGCAGTATCAGTGTTTAAGCATAATGAGCATTTGTACGCTCTTTCGAAGGTGCGATTTGGCGACGAATTATACATTATGTGCGGGGTGTGTCTTACTCTGCCTGTACAGTCCGCTGTGGCTATACGGCTAGTGACCGACTTTGTTCTTGATCCCCCTAGTAATATCTTCCCTTAATAATATCGCCTCCAAAAAAAAGTCCCCTCGATATTTTGAAAACATGTACTAGAGGGCTCATTATAATATTTTCCTAAACGTGGTACAGCGCGTCCTTTGTAACGATGTCCTGTGTGCGTTGTTACAAGCTCTCCTGGACCATTCCCAGGACACCCAAACTTGCTAAAGGGGCTCCTCCCTAAACACGGGCGAAACCAGCAGCCGACACAGCCGCGGATGCACCTCCAGGTACAGCGGCGCCTCCCGCACTGCCTCCCCGTCCAGCACTGTCCATGTGGAATCGTCGCGCTGCTGGAACAGCAGCGCTCGGGCCTGGATGCAGGTTTCACACAATACGGCCAAGGCTACAACGACTGATGTCACACAAATTTGGAAAAGGGGGTTCACACCATGGATGCGGTTGCCGTTGGCCGTTAAGAGGCGCCAACACGGGGGTATCACGGCCTAGTGGCTTGCCAACCATGGAGGTACTGGAATGGCAACCATTACGGCACGGCATCAATGAAGCCAATTTGGTAGTGGGTGGGCTTGGCTGGTCTATATTATGGTTGGCGCCTATCTTACCCAAATCCCAACGACAGCCACCCTGTTAAGTGAGAGTTGAAGGACCGCTCAAATTTCGGTGCCGTCTGGTCCAGGAGTTCTTCCTACCCCACCGCCTGTCGTTCGCTGAACCTGTCTTCCCGAGCTCATGGAACACGCATCTACATCTGAAAGCCAGATCCAATCGCCAGCAGGGAATAGTTTTATACCTGCAACCATGTGGAACCGCAGGCCCCACATGACCCCGGATCGCAAGTCACGACAGACCGCACCTTGGTCACGTGCATCACGCCAGCCGCCTTCGCAAAGCTGCCGTCCTCCACTCCCAGAAGCACCTTTAGGGAGCGCAGTCGCAGCCCCGCGCCAGCACGCCGGCCCTGCGCCGCCAGCTGCCATACCTCCCACGCGCCATCAGCCATAAGGCCCCCCGGGTTGGCCCGCGCACCTAACGCCACGTACTGCACATATGACGCCGCGATGCGGCCCAAGGGAAGTAGGGACGAGACAGAGGCGAGGACGGAGAATGAGGTCGTTCCATTCGCCGATGCCGCCGACGCGGCCCCGCATTTACAAGGCGGGCGACACCAGGCCGGCAGCGCCGGGTTGGAGTCAACACGAATACCACGGTTGTCCTGAGAGCCCTACAAGGCCAGGGCTCCCAAACAGGGATCCTTCTCTTCTCTCAAAAGGGTTCCCACGTACCGCTGGCTAGCGTTCGAAGCCGGGGGGCGGAGCAGGCGCGCAGCAGGTTGGTGCAGCGCGTCAGGGACGAGCAGTACCAGGCGCCGTATTGTCGCTCAAGAAGGGGGAAGGGGGGCGCGGATGCGGTTAGAGGACGTTGCATGCCGTACCTGCGTGTTGTAGGCGCCAAAGATGGCGAATGAGTCAGCGAGCTGCTGCCAACCTCCCGGCAGCGAGGAAGGGGAGTCCGGCAGGCGAGTGGGCAGGCAGGGCAGCTGTGAGAGGAGCGGGAGGGCGGGACCTGCGAGCAGCAGGAGCCGGCCGGTCGACCGATCGGCCGGTCCAGTTCGAGGGAGAGGAAGAAGAGTTCCAATTCGCCAGGAGAGGAGAAAAGGATATAAAAGCAAAGGCACAAATTTGACTTTGTGAAAGAGAGCACTGGCCAGTCTACAGATACTCCTGTCGCAAACAATCACCCTGCCAGGCCTCACACGTGCTGACCAACCTGACGGGTAGTGTGCCAGGAGCGTCACCTGCCTATCATCAGTGCTGTCGCAACGGCGTCCCGTGGCGGCGGCAGCAGCAGCGGGGCCGGTAGAGGCGCCAGCGCCGCCCATCCCCACACACGCAGATCCAGCCGCCTGTGGTAGCAACGGTTCCTGTATTCCAACGTCCCCGCATCGTCGCGCCGACTCCATCACGGCTCCCACGCTTCCTTCCCCCGCCGCCACCGTCGCCATCGCCACGGCTCGCTGCTCCAACTCCGCCCCCGATGGTGTTGGAGCTCGCCCGTAATCCACTGGGCAGTTCCCACAGGCTGGCGATCCTGCAGCCCCGGCCGCCGCTGCAGCAGCAGCAGCAGCAGTAGTAGCAGCATCCGCGGATGGTGCTGTTACAGCTGCCGGTGCGTCCGGCGGTAGCACAAATGCACGGCAGTGGTAACAGCGGCCCCGGAAAATCTCCCTGAGCCCCCCTAGGTGGAAGCGCAGCTCGCCCATCCACCTGGCGAAATGTGGAAGAGCATTTTAAGCGCCGAAGGCGTCAGATGAGGGGTAAGCAAGTTAAAGCGGGTTCAAACAAGCAGTTATATAGTGAGGGACGGCGGCCCGCAAGCATTACTGATCCACGCGGCTGTAAGGCGGAGGGTGGAGTTTAAGAATTTTGGAAACACACGGAAAAGGACAGTGGATGCGCCTTCTCCTTGGTAAACGTCTTTCCTTCTCATGTTGTTGTAAGGCCGCGTGTCGTGTCATAAATCCGGGGCGTGCAGTCGGTGCTACGGATGGAGCAAAAAGTCATGACGCGCAAAACAATTGTGTGTAACTGGCAGAGAGAGCAATAGCGAAGGTGCTTCGCCCAACATGCGGGGCCCAGGCTTTTGCGCATATAGCCCCTATCTGCCGGCTCCAGCAACCCGACTCTGCAGCGGAACGAAACCGCACCTCCAGTGCTCGGTCCCGATGTCTAGGTTGGCCTGTTGAAGGTACAAGATGAGATGAAGTGGGCAGAAGTAAGTTGTGTTCTAGTCGAGTAAGTGAATCAAGGTGACAAACCAAGGTGATGTGGGGAAAAAGAAGATGTAATGTATGGAACCAGCTGCTCTCCAACTCGTCAGCTTAGGAAGGCCGCACCCACCATCGCGCCGTACACGACTGATAACAGGCAGTAGTACCGGTTGTCGGGCGGCTGTAGCACCGAAGCGACATCAACCGGTGCGACCTGTCCGCGGCACACCGCCACGACGGCCGTGGGAACATCCCACAGACCGCAGCTAGCAGCCACGCCGTTGCCGCTGCCGCAGGGAATGGCCACAAGGGGGATGCCCCGGGCGGATTCCCAATCCGGTCGCTGGAAAAGCCCCTGCAGTGGCACGGAAGTTGGGTACTAATGGCAGGGTGCCATGGCATGTTGTGTTGCGACGGCAGAGAACGCATCGCTGTTGTGTGCTATGTGAAATATCGCGCAACTAACGCGGGGTGTGACATTACTGTACATGCCGTTCTACCAGGACTGCTGTGCCAGTTCCGTTTGGTCGGTACTGTGCCGTGACACAGACTGTGTCGCGTATTGGCGTGGCGTGACGTGGCATGATACAAGAACAAAGAAAAGATGAGCCAGGGCGGTGACACATTAGGGGGTCATCCGAAGAAACATCCAAATCACACTTTCGGGCGTGGGATGTGGAACTGCACTGCAGGAAAGTGTGCTCGACGTTTGCTGCCTTCCGGAGCTGCCTCACCTGCAGCCCCTCATGCAGAGTGCCGTCACCGCCCACAAACATAATCAGGTCGACACCGTCCGCTGCCGGTACATCCCCCGCCCCTCCTCCTACTCCTCCTTCGTCTCCTCCATCTCCTCCGCCTCCTACTCCGCCGCCTGCCACGTTCAACGCCAGCTCCCGCACCAGCGCACTCGCATGCCCTGCCGCTTCTGTGAGCCGCTCCGAAACCCGCAAGCCCGCCACGTCGCGCAGCAGCGGCAGCAACCGGCCGTGGAACAGCCCGGCGGCGCCGCCGCGACCGGCCTTGGGGTTTATGATAGCTGCCACATGGGGTGGCGTGTCCCGACCCCACCAGCTGGCAGCTCGGCGGACACGGGCGACCAGCTCCGAGGCGGCAAGTGGGTCGCTGGCCTCGAACCTTGTCGGGAAAGTGGGAGAGCGAAGGCAGTCGAAATGGAACAAAAATAAGCAGCCTCATCCACCTACCCACCTCATATCTACGGTAACCAATCCTAGTATCTGCTCCCTTGCCCCATGCAAGGGGTTGGGGGGAAGCAAGTCTGATGTAACGGGGCCAGATGCGAGGGACCTGCCCAAGTGCTTGAGGAAAGGAAACCCCGTTGACCCAAAACCGAAAGAAGCGCAAAACACAACGCAACCTCCCATTGTTCAAAAACCCAAATCGCAGGACCCAGATCGCAGAGTGCAGACGCAACATCGGCCCGGGCTGACCGGGGTGTTTGGCGAACCCTGAAGAGGTGCTTCGTGACGCAGCCCATGCGGGCGGTGTGCGGGGTGGCGAACCACACGGTAAGGGTGCAGGGGGACTCAAGGCGGGCCCCAAGCAGCTGATCGGCGGGTATGACCTGCGTAGGCGGGGAAAGGCGAAGCGCAGGCGAGTGCACCAAGGGTGGGAGGGTGACAAGACGAATCACTGGCGAATGAAAAGCAGATACCAGGGGTTTCCAGCAGACGTGCAGGAGGGAGCCAAGCGTGCAGGAGTGTGTATAAATGTCGAAGGATGGGGCGACCGGAAGGAAACGAAAGAAGAAAGGTAGCCAGGAATGTAGCTGTGTAAGAGGACGCAAGAGGGGAGGGCAGCAGGATGGAAGTGAGGGCGGGTGTGAGGACGGCAGACGGGCGAGTTAGGCGGACGGGAGCAGCAGCCGCCCAAGGGCCATGGAGCACGCATTCTCCCCTTCTTAATCACGCGTGCCTAGGTAGCCTGGAGTACTTCACCTGGTGTTGTACAGGTCGTCGCAAAAGGCGGAACAGCCAACCGATGGGGCTCCTGTGTGGACGTGCATTGGCCTGTGAGGCGGAGGGGGTGGTACGGGTAATAAAGTGCGCATTAGCTGGGCTGGACTCTGACTTACACGCCTAGTTCGCCTACCTTTGTTTTCGCAGTTTGCCTGTGTGTTTGCTACACGTCTTTGTTCGTGGTAACCACCACCGTGGGTCTGCATGTGTGGCAATTGCACCTTTGGCAGGATTTGACACTGGTCAGGGACACCCTTCCAGCCCTGCCCTAACGAAAAGACCGGCAAACACTATCCTGAAAGGAGAAAATCACGTTGTGTGTCGCAGTGTGTGCCCATGTTTGCCATATCCACATACACATACACACAGGAAGCTAAGGTGGCTAAAAACATTGCTGAATTAGGGACAGAGGAAAGCGTATGGCGTGCCACAACAACCCCATCTGTCCCGGGCTAGGCTGTCCAAGACTTGAGCCTCGAACCCACGTCATAAGCTGCAGCCGGAGACCTAACGATGCCGCTGTGGTGAATACGCATTACGGTGGAGACGGCATCTTGCCATGTCAGGCCGAAGGGGAGCTCGCTGCCAGACCTGGCTGGAGCGGAGGTATGGCAACACCCAACAGCTACGACTGCTGACGCCTCAACCGTCTATGTGGGTTTACCCTGCACGTGGTTCCTAAGTTTACAAGGCCCGGGTCTAAGAACCTACAGGATCGGGTGTAAATGAAAACATGCCATCGTCCTTCAGATGGATGGTCCCCGTAGCAGCACCGCAGCGCACGTTCAGCGACCAGGAGCCTTGGGCTTCCTCAGGATCAGCCTGTGAAGCCTTCATTTTTGCTCGGGCGCTTGCGTATCTCGAAGCCCTGCCTTTACTTCTGCTTTTGGTTTAGACAGGCCGAACAGAGCCCTTATGTCAGGCAAAGCTCTTGATTCATTTAATTATATATACCCTACAAGATGTGCCCCATTGTGAAAATTACGGACTATCCCGCAAGCAGCGAGACAGTTCTGTCGGCAAAGTTTCAAGCGAGTACTTACTACGGCGGCAATTTGTCATCAGTTGCATATCGCCGTATCTGGCTACTGCGAGCTTTACAGATTTGTTCTATCATTCTTACTCTGACAGGCGCGCAGGCTTCTTTTGGGAACTTAAACGTGTCACTCTAGTACACCTAGGCCGGGCGCAAGGAGCCGGGCGCCCGAGCCAAAATGGAGTATTGGAGGCTTGTAAAAACGAGTACGAGACAGAAGAGTCTCGTTGTCAGATTAATGCGTGATGTTGAGAGCAACCACTTCCATATACCCATCGGGTTTGATGCCCTCACAAGGCAGGTTCTTCTGGGCTTGACATCTCACCATTATGCAGAGGTGACGGAACAGCAATCCATGCATATCTTGCTTAAAACAGGTACCGGACGGAGGACCTTTCGCTGCAATCGACGGCCCTGTCTCACCAGGTGGACCTTCCTGAAAAAACATTTCTCCGTGCATTTCTTGCGAAATACCCGGAGGTGAGGGAGGAAGGGAGGGAAGGGGGAGTACAGGGATCTTCCCTCAATTTGAAGCCCCACAGAGTTACAACTTGCAAGGGAGCTTCCTGTAGCACCCCTGAAGGCTTCTCCTCAATGCGCAGCGTCCGGGCCGCTTTCGCGGCGGATTCAATGACCTCCTCGGGCCATTAACCTGGACGCCCTCCCTTGCTGTCCCTTCCGCTAACCTCCCTGCACTCGCCACGTGCCATCCACATGCTGATTCTCTGTGGGTATTCCTCCTGCCAGGCCAAGAACGAGCCTGTCGCGCTAGGGTCGTTCACTCCATCTATGGCGCGGCGCTTCGTGCAACGCCAGATGCAACTGATGCGGGAGGGAAGCAACCAGGCTGCGGCCTTTGCTCAGGCAGAGCTCGACTTTTCCCAGCAGCTGCTGGACATGCGCAGGTGGGTGGGTCGGTAGGAGGCCATCGCGGCCAGCCGGAGGCTGTGATGGAATGGGACCAAGCCAAGTCACATCAAAGCACAACTTCCTCAACCCTTGCGGGCGGTTTCAATGCCTCAATTTGTCCCAGCCGATTGTTGATCCTCTCACCCACCAGGTCCTCATGCACGTGCGACAGCAAGATTGTACATTGTGCACATGCGCACATGCGCCACAGCTCCTCCCCCGGTTAGGCGCTCTGGGGAGCGTGTGTTTTGTTTGGGAAGTAGCCGTTTTCCTTCCGATCTATCCCACTTCCCTACCGCCCTTCATTTATGCCGCCATCGCCATTCTTTCCAATCACCGCGGGCACAGGCGCCAGCTGGGTTCTCTGTTTGGATCTGACCCCCTGGAGCTGCAGCTGCAGCAGGAGCAGGAGCAGCTGGATGAGGGGCTGGTGACGCTGGCGCAGCAGCGGCTAGAAGCGGGAGGCGGTGGAGATTTGCAGGCACATTAGCGCAGTTGCTACCATAGCATCACTGGATGGGCGTCCATGGAGTCCCTGGAGTAGTTGGGATGCCTCCTATCGGCGTCAGATTCATCGTCATTGTCATGTGCTGCGCGACGGGTGGAATGCGGACGATGGCCGCTGGAGAGGAGTTTTTAAGTGTTACGGAAAGCGACGGGGTATGTTACCGGAAGTGATACCAGATGTGAGGTGTTAGCAGCCGCCTAGCCTACTTCCCGGCCACCTGGGGTTATCCTTTGCCTACGTAGTGTGTTGTAGCGCACACGCAGTCTAACGTACAGCAACACACGTATGTTTGTCGTCTTTACCACGGAACTCCAGGGCGGAGGGGTGTTAATGGAGGGATAGACATGCGGGCTTTCGAGTACGACGCGCCCACTGGGACCCTTGTATCTCCCTGATTATAACTTCATAACGGACCATCCGCACCGGATATGGACAGTCGGAAATGGAATGATTACACTTGCGGTCGGCACCGGTGTCTACGACGCAAGCGGCATATCGGCTCGGAGACCTGGTCTCCGAGCCGATACATCCAGGACCAGGGCCGAGGACATCCAGACCTGGTCTGAATGTCAACACTCGACTTCGCAGCATGGTTCCGACAGGGAGAGGGGCCTTGCGTGCCTCGCCTACCTTGGGTGCAGGGAAAACACAGACATCGGCCCCTGATGGCGTGATGAGACCTGGAAATGGGGACGTCGCAGAGCCTGTTGACGTCGGTGGTTCGTAGGCAAGAAGCACGGGGCGTGACTGACTGCAAAACACGTGTGCATATTCTTCTTCTTAGTGTGCAAGCTACGGCCGTGCTGCTTCTTTCCGTACGCAAGTACAGCCCTCTGTCACTAACGGCTTCTGAACGTCCCAGTACAGCACTCGACGAATACTGGTGGTGTGGTTGTGCGACCGCCTCATTTGGAAAGCCGCGACAGAGGCAGAGGCAGGCGTGACACTCTTGACTTCGTAAACTGAATTTAATCACATGCGTGCGGAACATGCGCGCTGGGACCAGGCGCCAGCCTTGCTCCTTACCTTCCCACTACGTCGCGTCCCACAACACCACCATTAGGCAATCTCCGGACCCTGATCTGAATGACCCTAACATCCCTGCATTAAGCGCGGCGGATAAACTATTACGGCGCTTATTCTCCGTTTAAGGCAGAATCTAAGGATTTAACGCGCGGCGCCGAGCCGCGGAGATTCCTTCATTCGGAGGCTCGACTGTTCGACCTTTGGACCTGCTAACCCCTGGATTGGCCCTATCTGTTGTTATAGCAGTTTTTAGTGCGTGTGCGCTGTGGAGGCGCTCGCTCCGCTAGTACCAGGACTCCACATTCAAGTAACCTAGGACCCGGCGGCCCCTCACCGGTCATAGAGCTGCTGTCCTACAGCTGCCTCTACGGCCACACTTGAAGAGAAATTGAACACCGATGCCATGCAACAACCCCCAGAAGACGTAGCAGTATCTTGTTATGCTCCGCACAGGCAAAAATCACCATTAAACCCCGTGATACAATATCTGAGACCCAACCCTTCGTACGATGCCGTATGTATAAAACATGCCTACGCACCTATAAGCTTTACGAATGTCGCACTACATGTCGCATTCCTTTATGAAAACTTCAATGAAAAGGTAACCTAAGCAGGGAGAGGATACGCCAAGAGCCAAAGGCTTCTTTCCACCCTTCCATGGATGCTCGCCCTACAGCTCTCCTGACTAACGAACAAACCCAAAACTTATGTCAATCGCCCAGCATTAAGCTCCAATGCATGCAGCCACCATGAAAGCTCATTCGTAGGCCGGGGACCACAAACGCGCCTGCCAGCGCCAGGCCAGCATGAGCTATATAAACACACCACGCAAACCACATACCGCTACGACGCCAGGCCCACGTATACCTGGCAAGGAGTACACGTGCCACCATGCCATGCACTTTGTCTGCCTCGACGGTAACTTTCGTGGCAAGTTCTGAAGCTCGTTTCTGGGACTCCTCAGTGCAGGACACCGCGGCATCCTCTTCCATAGCCCCTCCCCTCAGAGCGAGAGCACCATCCCACCTTCCGATGCGTTGCCGCTGTGGCCCCGGCCTCTCCCAACTCCTAGGCTAAACCCTTTCACCCGCCAGGCAGTCCGCATTGCGCACCGTCGGCAGCCGCAGGAGCGTCTTCTACTTGCCCTTGAACAGAATCCACAAGAGGCTCCTCTTCCCTCTTCCTTCCATAGACTAAGATATCCACATGCGCGCCTGCCACCGACCGCGACATTGCCCACCAGGCAACGTCACCAAAATGTACGATCATAGCGGGCAAAAAAGACATCATCGTTGAAAAGGAGAAAGGAATCATCCCAATAATGCCATTCATTTTTTACTATGGGCCAATATGTACATAGTTCCGAGGGTCTTTTATTAACCTCCTGGGAGCTCCGAACCCACCTAACCAACCATCCAACACCCCCGTACAACAAACATCGGAAGCCCATAACTTCTGCCGTACAGGTCCGAATAAAATGTTAAGAGCAGATTCGGACGGCCCTTATCGAGCTCTCTACTATGTCGAAAGATAGAGTCCATCTCCAGGGCGTATTATACCCCCCTCCCTTGCTTCACAACCCTGAAAGTTGGGTCCTCCCTTACTGTTAAAGGGGGGACCCAGGACTCAGCTCCACCTAAATCCTCTGTCCTTGCCTTCTACTCCCCCAGCTTGACGCGCAAGCGAAGAGAAGTAAAACCCGATTTCAGCTGCGTCATTGCGACACCAAAGCACGTCCGAGGCACAGCACTTCGCACCACATGGTGACTGCCGCACACAAAGCTGAAGCTCTAGTCAAGGCAACACCCACACACTCACTCAAGTCGCTGTACACATACCTATACAGCCGCCCCTGCAATATCGCCGCTCCGCCCCGCCAGGCTGTCAAGCCGATAGCGCCCGCCGCGTTCCACCCCGCCATCCCCTCTCCTTTTCCCCTCATGCGTTCTGTGCACACACCCACCATGCCGTACAACCCCCACGTAGCCTCAAAACCGCAAGGCCCTTCCAACCTAAAGAACTCGCGCGGGTAGCGCTGTAGCTAGTGCTGGTCGTACTGCAGCTGCTGATAAGCGTTGCCGCACACCGCCGCCGTCGCCGCAGCACCGCCCACGAAGAGGCTTTGGAGGGAGGCAGCCTTTGAAACCGGCGTTGCCTGCGTGCCGGCCATGCGCTGGCCGCCGGTGCTGTTGCTTATGTCCATGAGCCCCGCTCCAGACGCACCGGCACCGGCTGCGTCGGCATTGTGCGGCGGCGTGGGGCGCAGCAGTCCCCGCCACGGTACCGCGCCTCCGTCGCTGCCTAGCGCTCCGCTGCCAGACTGCCCTGCGTCCCTCCTCGGCGGCGGCGGCGGCGTGTGTCCCCCCCGTGCTACGGCGCCAGCTACTGCCATCACTGCCGGCGCCGCCGCCATCGATGCGGCTACAGCAGCAGCAACAGCTGGGGGCGTTGCGCCACGGTACAAATGCCCGACATCAGGGTGCGGCGCCGTCAGGCAGGCCGCCAGGCATGGCGTCGTGGCCCCACCGCCGCCGCCGCCGTCGCCGTCGCGGCCACCACCTGCTGCCAACTCTTCGCCATCACTGCCGCTGCCGTCACTCTCGCTCCCCAACAGCTCCCCACCTTCCGCAGCTGCCACCGTCAGACCTCGCCTTGGCCTATCCTTCTCCAGCTCCCCCTGCTCCCGCTGCTCCCCCTGCTCCCGCTGCTTCAGGCTAGGGCCTTGCGCCTCCTCCTTAACGCAGTTCCCACCGTCACCATCCTCCTCGGAGTCATCAATCGTAATGACCTCCTGCCGCGCCCCTCCAACTCGCCCCGACTGCACAACCTGGAGAAGCCTCCTCCTGTTCAGGCCCCCGACGCAGGTACCGGCCTGCCGCGGACCCAAATCAGATACCGCCACGGTAGCGGGCGCGCCTACTACAGCCGCCGCCGTCGCCCTCCCCGGCGCGCTCACCAAGGACCCTGCACCTCCTGCCGTCGCCTCCTCCTTCCCCGCCACGTCACGCCGCGGGACTCCACCATCCCCGGGTTCCCCTGGACCCTGCTGCCCGGTGTGAGGGCCGTGGCGGGGAAGAGGAGGGTGAGCCGGCTGAAGCAGTCCGAGGGCTCGGTCTCCCGCGGGCCCACTTCTCCCTCTGTCGTGTTCAGGGAGGCCCGACTGCCGGTCATTTTCCTGCTGCTGCTGCTGGTGTTGCTGTTGCTGTAGCTGCTGTAGCTGCTGGTCGTGATGATGGTGCTGGTCGTGAGTTTGTTGGTAGTTGTGATGGTCTAGGTGGTTGCGGTGACATGTCGGCTGGCCATGTTCCCGAACCTGGCCCGGCGTCTCACCGGGGTGGTGGTCGTGGCCCTGCTGCCCTGGCAACTGTCCTTGTCCCTGCTCGGGGGGTGCCGGCTCCGAAGCCAGCGCCGTCGAGGCCGCGTGCTCCCGCCTGGCTTTGACCTGGGCGCTCATCCTGGCGTTGTACTTGGCGATGAAATCTGCCATAGCGTGCGGGGCCTCTGCGGGTAGCCTGGACGAGCAGGCACGTGCGTGGGGAGGGGGGAGAGGGGCAGGGGGAAGGAAGCGACGAGAGGACGGGTGAGGGCGGAGAACGCCGCAGGCCGAAGCATCACTTAGGATGCCGTTGAGCGAGTACGGCAGTTGGCGTGAGCATGTTTTGGACGTTATTCCCTTGGGTTGAAGGACAGCGAAGGGGAGGGGGGAAAAAGGGAAGGAGGAAGAGAGCGGAAGGAAGGAGAGGAGGGAAGGAAAAGGCTGAAGGGTGGAGGACGTCATAGGGCTCATGGTGCCTGTGCAGTCCTTGTTTCTACAGCACACCCACGCACCTGCGCGCCCTGTCTGCCTGTTTGGCCTCCGTTAGGAAGATGCCCATCAGTTGCCTGGCGGTTTTGGACGTGCCACGATCCTTCTCCGTCTGCAAGAAGGTGCGATACCTGTTGTAGAGGTCCGCCATTTCCTGTGTATGATCCAACACACACACACACACGAGGAGGAGGAGGAGGAGGAAGTGCTTCGGGGCGGTCGTTCCCGTTGGGGTACACGTGGGGGTTAGGTGGGCCTGGCCCGTGTCAGGCCCGGACCAATGTAATGTACCAATTACACAAACGCACACTCACACTCACAGAGGCGGAGGCGGAGGAGAGGCAGCATTGTTGAGGGGCCAACGGCTCGGCTCACGGCGGTCGATGTGTCGGCTGGAGTGGGCTAGGCTGCTGAGGAACGGAACCGTGTTTAGTCATATGGACCATATGACTAAACACGAGTCGAGGGCAATGCGTGTATACATACATACATACAGACGTACGAGCAAAAGAGCAGGCTAGGAAAGCAGAACCGGAGTGTTGCAGGGTCGCGACATGGACGGCACGAGAAGTACCGAGCCTCCGAAACCAAGGTGGACACCCGGGCGGGCGGAGCTGGTCCAGCACCAGTACCGGATCTGAAGCAGTCACACAACCCTGTAACCCGGTCCCTTATCCTCCTCCTCCCCCCCCTCCTCCTCCTCCTCCTCCTCCCCTCCTCCTCCTCCTGCACACCCTTCCTCCTTCAAAAGTAGATAAGGTGAGGAGGGGCTCCACAGCCATGCCTCCCTCTGCCTCACCCCCATCAGGGGCCCACCTGTTTACTGTTACTGGTCGGCAACCCGCATTCCGTCAAGACCTTCCTGCAAAATATGAAAGAGAGAGAAAACAGAACTAAGGGGAGAGGAGAGGGAACCAATGAAGTACAAAAATTATAAATCTTAGCTTCTCTCTCTCTCTCTCTCTCTCCCCGCGAATGGAGAAATGGAGTTGTGCAGGAGGAGGGAGCTTGGGGAACGGAGGAGCCAAGCGGGGCAGAGGGCGAATAGGGAGTGGGGCTCTGCGGGGGGCCCTGAGGTCTAGAATGGTGGGGACGAGGACGGCGCCGGTGGGGCCACGATCACGACCCGCTTTGTACACCATCCCGACAGTCAACCCCTTCCCCCCCTCAACACCCCCCCCCACGCACACAAGCACATACACACCGTCAGGGGCACGCGCTGACACGCACGCCGTGAGGAACTCCCTCCTTACTTTCGAAGGTTGTTACGAGCGAAAGGCCTCCAAAAACCCAACCGCCCGCGTATGCACATACACGCACGTCCACGTCCACGTCTACGCCTACACCTACGTAAACCACGCATCCGCCGCGCCACACAGCTCAACAGAGATGACACCTTCCCTTCCAGCACGCCGCCCGCGAGTAAGAAGGAAAACAAGTTCACCACGACCCACTTGGCTTCCTTGAGGCTCATCGGGTGGAAGGACTTTGCCGGTGGAATCTGGATAATCGGCGCTGGCGCCTCTGCCATGACCTGGGTGTTGGCCATTGCTCTCAAGGTTCTGTTATTATGGGCTGTTGCTGTTGCGGTTGCCGGCCCTGGCCCAGGCCCTGGCGCTGGGACGCCTCCTCGACGCCCACTCAGAAGGCCCTCACAGGGCGCCGCCGCTGGTGGCGGCACTCCCCGTGGCGCGGTAGTGGCGGCTGAATGATGCAAAACCGCCGCAGCTGCTTCCCTTGCCGTCGCCGCTCCTCTTGCCGTCCCCGTCCCTGCCGCGGCGTTCCCCGCAGATTCCCCCCCTGATTCCCCCAATCCAGCAGCTGCCGCTCCGCCGCCGCGGCCGCGGCTGCCGGTGCTAAATCCCGTCCTCGTAAGGCAGAGCTGGACGTGAGCCTGGAGCTGGCCCAGGGGGTATCGGGAGCCGCACACGGGACAGTCATCCACACCGCCTGGTGCCGTACCCACGCCAACTGGCTGCTGCGGCTGTGTCGTCGTGGTTGTTGCGCCTGCCGCCGAAGGCGGCTGCGGGCCCACCGTATCCGGAGCGACGGCAAGGACCCCGGCACTGCCATGGCTGCCGGAGGCGACCCTGGGGGACCGGCGGCTGCCATTGCCGCGAACTCGTTTCCGACCTGTCAGTTGTTGGCTCGACGTGGTGGCTCCGCCGCGACCTCGACGGCCGTTTCGTACGGCGCCGCCGCCGCGGCGGCGGCCGCTGGGCTCCCCTGACCCAGGACTGTAATCATCGTCGTCGTCATTATCATCGCCGTCGTCGCCGTGGCCATTGCTGTCGTCTGCATCCATGTCATCGGCACCGTCGTCGCTACTGCTGCCGCTACTGCTGCTAATGCGGCGGCGCCGGCGGCCGACGGAGCAGCTAACGCCGTCCCCACCCGCACCATCGCTGTAACGGGAGGTCGACTTTGTAACGCCCTGGCTCCGAGACGCTGCCGTACCACCGCGGCTGCTGCCGCCGCCGCCGACACCGCCGCTAGCGGCGGGCTCAGGACCGCGTTTCAACCTCTTCTTGGCCGGGTGCTGAACCTCCCGGCCCTGTCTATCGGACCCTGTGCGCTGTTCCTCGCCAGTCAGTGAATCTGCTTGGTCATCCACCATGGCATCGTCGCCATCTTCATCATCGTCACCAGCCTTCAAGGATGTTTTCCGGCCCTGGATTCCGGCGCTATGGGGCCCCGACGAGCGCTTCGCTTCCGTGCCGCCGCAGCTATGCTCCGGAACCAGCGCCCCATTGCTCCGTTTATCCAGAAGCGCGATGCCGCTGTGGCCGCGCTCGACCGCCTGAGCGGGGGATGTGGTGGGTGACGCCCGCCGGCCGATGACCTGGCCGTCCCTGGTGTTGGTGACAGCAGCGGTGTTGGCGGCAGCTGGATGCGGGCCAGAAGTGAGCCCGGTGCGGCTGTGAGGCGCGGCGGTGGGAAAAGAGGGGCTCCGCTGGTGCCTGTCGGCTAGCTGTGCGCGCAGGGCCGCGGCCTCCTGTTCCATCGCGACCGCTCGGCTCTCGGCTTCTTCCAACTTAAGCCGCAGCGCCGATACGGCGCCGGATGCGGAGGGGAGCACCAGCACCGCCTTGCGGACCGCCACCACCGGCCGAAGCGCCGCCGTGCTGCTGGGCTCGCGGCACGTTGGGCAGAACTGCCTCTGATTTTGTGCATGATTATAGTCAAAGAATTGACGGATACAGCTGGAGCAGACTGCGGAATTATGGGCAGGTGGTGTGGGAAAAAAGGACAGGGGGTTACGAGAACCGTGGTGATGTGCGTGAGGCCAGATGTACGGCCCAAAACTGACGCGTTTGTGCCTCCCCGAGGGATCAAAGCATTAAAGTTTGTAAGTTATGCAAGTTTGGGAAAGCTTGGACTTTAGCAAGGCCAGAACTTGTTGTCCGCCGTGCAATTTTGTTTTGGCGCCCTTCACACGGCTCACCCCCTGGCGTCCCTGGCGCAACTTACATACGTGGCCGCATTGTAGCGAGACAGGACCGTCAAACAGCTGCTTACAAATCCAACAAGTCAGTTCCTCAGTCAACCCAGCCAGCTCAGGCGGTGGGTTGAATTCGTCATCGGCCATCGCCGATCCCCAGCAATCAATGCGTTATGATTTGACGGCAATCGACGGCCTTACAGGGGTATTTTAAGGAGCCATAAAACACTTCCTATAGCCATTAATAATAAGACGCTTTTCCAACAAAAACAATTAAACATCGAGCTTTAAGAACCATGATTGTACTAAGTGACATGCGTAAGGTTGTTACAAAGTGAGTCGCGGGACGACTAGAGTACGGACGCTATATTTCAAAAGTCGTTGCGGCAACTAATTGTCGCTAGGGCATGAACCGAGAAGCTGAAGCCACGTTGCAATATTCGTTTTCTCATATAGCCTTGATCATAATAAAACGCTCTATGACACGTAGCAAGGTTCCGTAAACAGCATGCCGATAACTTGATTATCACGCAGGTTGCTTTTGCGCGTAGGTTTATTACAGCTCTAGGATAGCAACTCTTCGCTAATCCAGTATCCAGGTTGCCTTGGTAGCAGTTGGCCTTACTCACACGGAACGGTTTCCCTCCTCGACGCGAGTCCCAGCCATAAGTATTATTGTGCAGACGAGAGTCTAGTCTCGGATTTGGAAATGTTGTTGGATTTGCCCAGGTTTGCCCAGTGTCGGCTTTTGCTCTCACATCCAGGGCCGCGCCATGCAGTGTAAGACGCTGATGGACCATTTCTTACGGGGTTCATACATCACAAAGCTTTGCGGCACTGGCACGCATGTGAGGGGAAGGCCATTCCGAGCTAATGGGTGTAGTACACATGCAGCATTCTGATGCCAGTTTTAGACTGTAGCCAATGGGGTGCTAACAGGTCAACGCATCCAACGGAATCTAACAGGCCAATTGGGATCAGATAGTAAGTTTACAAAGCAGAGGAAACACAGCAGCATAGCAACAAGGTTCACGAGTAAGAACGAGATAACGAAAAATAGAAAAGCGTTATAATATGTGATGTATCGGCTAGTGGTCCTTGACAACCAAATGTCCCCCCTAGACGGAACTAACCAGAGGAAGGATATACCTACGCAGATACATCTGGATGGATACGACAGGCGGCTGTACGATTCCCCGTACGCGTCACAAGTAATAATTACATGCTGAATCATTACTATATTTAACGGTATGCACATACTAGCACACAAAAGCCAACCAGAAAGCTTTATCTGCGAATTCGACCAGAAGTGCAGAATAGCTCCTGTGCTATGCCCTGCATGCAGACATTTGGTGACGTTACTGATGCCAGTAACCCAGCCCCCTCGCGGTTCTTTGCCTGCGGCTCAGCCCATTAAAGTGCAGCACGCTCCTGCCCAAACTTAACAAAAGCCACGATTATCAATTAAGTTAGCCGGAAGCCCCTTCCGTACAGCTGGCGTTGACGTACGGCAAGCACCTGACAAACAGCAGCAGTCCATTGACAGCAACTCGACGTCCGGGCCGACAAGCACTCGCCTGACCCGGTGAGCAAACACTGCCTTGCTACCGTACAGATACGGCAGTACGATATGTACGACAAGGGTGCGGCCTGGCACTTTGACCATACCTAGGACGTCACACCTTTCACCTTTCACCCGTCATGCCGAACACACACACATCAACTGACTATCCATATAACCGAAAAATCCGTTGCTATTATTTCCATTACGCCAATTTTCCGTTCTCCTGCGACTTGGCCGGCACATTCACCATGCATCCCCCTTACTCCCCATTTCCACACTCGCTCGGCCATCCATTTCCGCTTCCATGCCTAGATACTCAATACGTAACACCCAATCCCCAAATACCCATAACCGCCAGGCACTGGCAACAATCCACTCGTCAAGTCGAGTAGATACACTGAATTTTCCGTACAGGTTACGCAACACTAGACATGTGCAAGGTGGAAGAGCTCACTCCAGACGCGCGCGCGTGCATGTGCAGGTCAACCGATTCACCGCACTCGTCCGATGCGCGAATTTGCCCTAGGGGTAAAAGGCGACAGGAGAAGCCTCGTCGGGAATCACGCGCACGCGTAAAAGACCGAACTCAGATGCACACCGGGGCCAACCTCCCCAAACCATAAATGATCTCATTCGCTTGCTGTGCGCGTTCCCTTCACACGCGTATCATCCACAAGGGATTTGATTCACCAACCCCATAACGCCCAGCCGTGCCACGTCACATGGCACGCAGGCCCGCACTTAGTGAAATGTTGTCCCGCAAGACCTGCGCTTAACCGTCCACCGTCCCATCCTCCTAGTTACGCAGCGAAATGCTGGATTGCCGGAAAGGAGCTCCTGTTAAGTGAAGTCTTACGCTTACAGGGCCGCCAGAGAGGGGGCCCTCGCATACAATTCGGCTGCAAGAAACTATATTATATCAACACCCAGAATTGTCAAGATCGCATTTTTTTTACTTGCCCACACCGCCGTGCACCATCGCCAGCCCGCCACGCAAGGATACCTCCATGCAGTCCCGTCAAGTCAAATTGGGGGATATAAAATAAAAAAGACAGGAATGAACAATAATACGATTCAGGTGCTCACAACGGACACAGCGTGACACTCTTGTTGTGACTTCACCCAACCTGGCCTCCAGCTCAGGTGAATATAAATAATAGCTAAATACTGCTGGCCCCACCTCCCCTCCAGCACAGGTAAGATGGAAAAGTACTACTTATCGGAAGACCTACCTTTCCTCCAAAACATGGTGATATACAGGATTATAGCTCACTCTTACTCTGCTACTTCACTCTCCAGCCATCTTCCAGCGCTCCTCCGCACCTACAAGAGCCCGACAACGAAAAAAAATACTCAACATGAAAACTACGAAGACTCAACGAGGCCTACAGGGCTGCCGCCGCCCACAAGCTGTGCACGCTATGACGTGGGCCCCTCCGTTCCGCACTCCGTTAGTTGCAGAATTTTGCGACATTGCCAACACAACCTACAGCACCCGAAAATAATAGAAATTACACCAACATCTTAATAGTCTCGATGCGCATTGTTGTGTGTTTCCTTCAAAGCCGCTACACACAACACTACGCACACACACAAAGACACAGACACAACTGCATGGGGCAACCTACGAATTCGCAACCTATCGTCAATAAACATGACACTCCAGGGTGCGGCGTCATCCGCCACCGCTGCTGCTGCCGCCGCAGTGGCCTCCTCCCAACCCGCCGCCCCTTCCTGCTACGGTGACGAGAACGCAATTGCGATCAAGCTGCATGCCATGATGATCATGCCCGCCGTCAGGAAGCCGGTGGTAACCCGGTCTTCTGGATCGAAGCTTCTAGCTCCAGGAAGGAGCTCCTTGAGGCTGATATACGTCATGATGCCGCCCACCAGCCCAAACAGGATGCCAAAGACGGTTTCAGTCATGGATCCCCCGCACACGACTGCCAGACCGATCAGGCCGCCTAGAGGCTCGGTGAAGGCGGCTAGGGCGGCCCATAAGATGGCACGGCCGCGGCGGCCAGTGCCGAAGTAGACCGCGGACGATATGACCATGCCTGGGGAGTGTGAGGTGGCGGGGGGGTTGTCGTGGTATGAAATGGTGGGCAGAGCAGTTGGAAAATGCGGGTTGTCGTCAAAAAGATTTTTTGATTTTTATTTTTACATTCCGGTATCGCTGGCTGTTTCCAGGGGCATCCTTAACACAACAGTATTGCGTACGCGTGTAATTATGCAGGAATGGACGTATGTGGATGTTCACGTGGATTTATCTTTATCTGTACAGCGAACGGCAGTAACATCCCAGGTACGATGATGATGCGGGTACGGCACATCCCCTTCCAAGCTTGTCACCTTCGGGAATGTTGTGGATGGCAATTGCCACGGCGGTCGTGATACCTGATGGTCGGAGGAAAGAAAAAACAAGGAACCACGGCGGGTGGGAGATTAATGAAGGAACTTATCTAAGAAGTATCGAAAGTTGCGAAAGCGGATGTGGAAGAGTCCCTGTACATGTGCAACACGTTGCAGCAACGCATCCTGTCATCTGTACGGCAGTATCGTCAACGAAGCTAGCAAATAGTAATCGGTTGAAGACACGCTAGAGGGATTTATTCCCCCCACACCCACACCCACACCCACACCCAATTCTTCAATTCCGCATGCTAACTTCATTTTGCCGAAAAGCTGCTGCATACCGATCCGGACTATGACCATCAGCTTGTCACTGCTAGGGCCCTTCCTGCCCGGCCACCGAGAACAACATGCACAGAAACTCCACATCACAGAAACTCCACATCACAGAAACTCCACAACACGTATCATTTGCAACCAGATGCAGCGGGTAGTCATAACGACTTTACGTACCACTCGTGATGCTGTCCATGTAGCCTACGAAGGTAACAAGTCCCTCGGGCATGTTGTGAAGTGCGACAGCCATCGCAGCCAAGATACCCATGTGTATCAGCTTCCTGGAGCGCACCGCCTTGACTGAAGCCTGTTCCGAGTCCATGTCTGACGGCCGCTGCGAGCCGAGGTCTGCGGCGCTCTCCACATCCGTGAGAGCACGTTGTTGCGGTAAAGTACCACCTGCAACTGACGTACTGTCGTCCGTTTGAACCTTCTCAGGTAGGGCAGATGTCGAGGGATGATGCGCCAATGGGCTTGGGCCTTCGCTCCCCTGATACGCTAGGCGTTCAGCTAACTTATCTAAGGCCCAGGAAATGGGAAATCCGCAGAAGAAGCAGATGGATGCATACGTGAAAGCGTAGGCGTCGTCGTATCCCGCCTCCGCGAAATGCCCAACGGATTTGCCGGCGAAGATATCAACCACTGAAATATAGAGCATGACTCCAGCAGCAAATGCTAGGGATGCTGCAAGAAAGAGGTTATTCTTCACCGGCACAGCGATAATAATCAGTCCACCGGCGACGGACGCGACGCCGGCACCAATGACGCACGCGTAGGCGACTCCGAGCCGACCCGCTGAGATGCCTTGGCAACCACCCGCCATTACGATGCTACGGGGCTTTATTCAAGCCGGACGCCTGAAAGTCAACACCAACAGTCCGCTTAGCAGGTTGGAGCTTGCCGTTGGTTAGTTACGATGATATCTCTTCGAAACACAATTTTACATACTTGGGTCGAATTTCTAGCCGAGGCGCACGCAAATAGGATTAGAGTCTGGAATTTTGATGGGAGTTTGTGATTTTCATGCAAGGACGTTGGACACCACGCGCTCAACACGCGTAGTCCGACATGTCACCGAACCGACGCGACATTGTAAAATAATATCGATGGCTTCATCATCTAACCAGATATACATTGCATAAATGTCCCACAAAATTGCGTGACCAAAGAGGCTTACTCATGATGTAAAAACCGACAGTACCTGCACTGTACCCTTGTGTACTGTACCTTCGCCACTGCGATGAGAGTCCTCCTCATGTTTATAAATGTAGATCACTTGTATTGATGTTAAATCTTAGAGCATTAGTAGCTGTCAGAACCTACAAGCTCCGCGCGGTCGCCATGTTGTCAAACATCTATCAGATGCAGGCCCCGTCTAGCCTCTGCATGCAAACATGAGATGATAATGAATGTTGACATATCGGTCTAACGATTGGGGCGCTTCCACAAAGAATTGTTTTACAACGTTTACCGATCGCACGTCTTGACATTGAAACTACGCAACCGCAATAGGATTACCGAGAAGCTGGATGCGACTTTAAGTATACTAGAGACAACTAAGAGACAACTAAGAAAAATTAACCGCGTGAAAGCTGCATAAGGCGGCCAGTTTGGTTCACTGCAGCTGCTGCAGCGTGCACACGTGCGGACCGGCCATTCGCAGGCGAACAGGCACGGACAAATTCACTAAGTGCCTTTGAACTTCCTTGAATTATATGTTTTCCTCTTGATTGGCGAGGGAGGAATCAAACAGTGAAATTTCCTGGCTAAGCTCGTTGCCAATCGCAAGGCGGGCGCAAAGTTCTTCGGCTTTAAGCCTACGGTAACCAGCTTCAATGATGGCGTCTCGACCCGAACAAAATAATCCGAACCAGTGAACTGCATCACGCTGCCACCGACAATGTGCTTATGTGCGTTCCCGAATTCCAAACACACCCGTGGCGCTTCCGTTGTGAGCATCCAAAGCTAGCTACAGCAACCGGGCTACCAGCCGCCCCCACTGCACACTGCCGTCTTTATTACCTGCATCTCGCACTATGGAAGACCCCCCATGCCGAGCAGAGCAACAGCAGATCCTTGCCCAAAGCCCTACCCGCAGCTTTAGCCGCGTAGCGCGGGGTGTGTGTGGAACCATTATCCTGTAGGATAATCGCTATCAGGCATTAAGCTGCCCAGAATGCCGCCCGCCCTCTTGCCGGTGCACAGGGTGCAAAAAGTTAGAGTTAATCACTAAATGCAATCATCAGCCAGCCTTCAATCCACGTTGGAAGTTGTTTGGAGAAGTTGCAGGTGGCCTTGTCCAGCCATCCTTATCATGCGGCATGCACACTTGGGCCCATGTGGGCAACATATGCTGCATGGTGCGCAGGCACTTTGTATTCGGCCAACACATGTTGCGGTTTACCGAGGCCTTTACAAAGCATTGCCCTGGTGAAACGCCCTTCTGACTGGTGCTGGAGTTCTGCTTGGAGGTTGATTGCAACGCTGTGACCTCTATGCTAGTCACGATTGGTCCAGGGCTCCAGCTTTCTAGTCCCTCCCTCCTAGCCCTCCCTCATAGGCTGGTCCAAGGCAATGCAGGATCACTGACTGCCATCGGCAAGGCCATGCGGTCACTGATTCGGACGGACGGACAGACGAGGCGGTTGCTTTACCGCTAGTCCTGGTGCCGGACATAGGATTTCAAGCCAGCCCGGGCCAACCAACAACATTCTGGGGTCCTAAATACCATAGCATGCCTTTTGTAGCGTATGCCTGATGCCGAATCCGTAATGTGCGACTGGGTCTGGGAGCGGGGATTAGCCCACCGGGGTTGCCTGTGTTGTTGTCGATGGGTGCAAATGCAGTAGGGTGCAGTCTCCCGAGACTACAAATGCCGAACTTCATCCTGGCTTCATAGGACGCACAATAATGGATCCTTGGAAGCGATTTACGCATAAACTGAATAAGCGGCAGCTTCGGTCATCGATAGGTTGCGGCTCCTTGCCCAATGGGGACCATGTATTTCGGCAGGACATGTGTACAACATTCAGACGTTGCACTGATCTGCACTGTCGCCAGCATTTGGGTAAATGCACCTGTAGTACATCATTTATCTTATATTGGTGTCAATAAAGGAAAAGGAAGATGGCGCTGGTCACCCAAAAGGCGAGTATCGTAGTTATAGCGACAAGCCGATTGGCGACGCGCTCTTATGGAAAGATTGAAATGGAGTATTATATTTGCTGGGCTTGTATAAGACTGCCTCAATAATGCTGCCGTCCTTACTTTGGCTGTAGGCGTTCTGCTCGCCACAGGCTCATGTCGGTAAGAAGCCACATGCATTTGCTCAAGGATTTCAAACAGTAGGAGATTGTGGCGACTTTAGCCTAACCGCCCCTGGTCATTTCATTCCCCTGGTGTGGGCTGACCGATGCACATCTCTTCGCTGTCCTGTCTTGAGCGCGTCATTTCCAAAAGCTACTCCTTCAAACAGATACCATGCAGTATCTCTCAGGTCAAACATATCCTGTTTCAGGTGGCCGGACACGCTTGAGGGCCGTACGGGTCTGCTGCCAGTCTCGGCCAGAGCAAGCGGCCGATGCACCGCGGAGGAATCTGCTGCAGAAGTCCGTGGCGCTTGTGGCTGCGGCAGCGGTGCTAGCAGGGTGGGTGACGAGTGGTAACAGAGAGGAACGGAGCGCCGTGAATTGAAAGGCTCCGTAGCAGTAAGGCACTGCCCATCGGCTGGGCACTCCAGTCCGAGGGCCGTAGTTTCTCTGCTAGGGCAGGGAAGTCCAAACTCAGTCGCCGCATTTGCTGCCCCCTTACCAAAGGCCCGATGACAGATGGCTAACCCTCATAAAGGGGGAAAACCCGCACATCGCGACACCGGAAGCTGCGGCGTGCCTATCTAACCTCCAGTTTGTGGGGGACACTGCTGCCAATGTAAATAAACGAAAGTGTAACTGTACAGAGCAATGTAGTTTGTGAAACAGTGGACCCGCGAAAGGCTCTTGGTCTCACCTAGTAACTTTCTACTTTACCAGCTAAAACCTGTTTGGAGGCGCCAGCAACCCTGTTCCGCACCTACCGCACCTTACCGCCCCGATATCCCCTGCATTGCACCGCCTCCATACCTACCTACCTCCTCATACCGCCCGCCATCGCTGCCGCTACAGGTCGCAGTCCGCCGCGGCGTTGGCGGCCTCCCTTCCCCCCCAGGACATCAAGGTGCTCTGCGATGTGGAGTGCTCCGCCGCGCTGGAGGCTGTGGAGGCCGTCACACTGCCCTCGGGCCTCAAGTACAAAGATATCTCCCCTGGAAGCGGCCCCAGCCCGCCGGTTGGCTTCCAGGTGGGCTGGGTGAAGGAATCGAGCGGGGATTAACTTTGAAGTTGTAGATATTACAGCGAGCCCCAGGCCCCAAGGGAATACCCAGGGGTAGGGCCATGGGAGCCCACAACGGACCGTGCCCCTTAACTATATAATTAACTACATAAATATATAATTCAATAAACTACATAATTATAATATAATTAACTACAAAATTTTATAATTATATAATGAACTATTTATATAATAATAAAGGGTTTGCCTACCTGGACGTGCTGAGTGCGGTACGCTTAGGCTGGATGATTTGGGGCAGGGCGAGGCCGGGCATTGGCCCTGAGGTTGGGTTATACGCATCTACGCATGTATAAGAGGGCTCAACTAGTATCCTGCAGGGCACATTGCTTTCTCAATAAGATTTCCTTTTTATGTTGCAGTCCTCCTCCTCCGCCGCCGCCGATTCCGGTTTCAGGTTGTGGCGAATTACGTGGCCATGACACCTAACCTTCGGGTCTTTGATAGCAGCTTGGAGAAGGGCAAGCCGTACGACATTCGGTAAGCCTTACAAAGGCCTGCTGCACACGCAGAGATGGTTGTGATGATGGGTTATTTATACTTGCGTCATTTGATTAGGGTCATGGGTTGCGCCGCGCATGGATGGAAGTTGGGCCATGTAATCGTCCTGCAACATGTGATGCGAGGTGGCGCCGTGCATGCCTATAAGCAAGTTAGTAGAGTGGGCATGTAAGGAATGTACCTACCGTCTGTTATTCCAACAGTTTCTTTTTCGTTGTACGGTTCATTAGTGTAAGACGATCGACGGCTTGGTTGTCCTGTAATACGCGATCTGTGCATGCATGCATGGTGAAGATTTCCATGCCGAGACGCACAGCGGAATGTTCGTTCGCTGTCCAGACGTTAGATGTTTCCTGGATGGTGACCATCACTGCCATGTCTACTAGTTCGCAGCCCCGGCAGCTTCGGCATTCGTTTTCCTTTCCTGCTTAGAGGTCGGTGCTAAGGTGCCGAAGTGCGTCATAAAACGTCACAAATTCCTCCGCATGCACCTGCACTCGTAGGGTGGGTGCGGGCCAGATAATCAAGGGCCTGGATGAGGGGCTCTTGGGGATGAAGCCCGGGGGCATCCGCAGGCTTTACATTCCGGGAGACCTGGCCTTCCCTAAGGGGCTCAAGGCCGCTCCGGGCAGGTGAGAGGTGTGCGGGGAGGGAGCGAGGTGGGGGTGGGACATGAGGTGACGTGTGGGGCACTGGGGGGGAGGATTACGTACTTCCTGCAGTGGTATGGTGCGCTGTTCGTGTGACGAGTTGTGTTCGATTTCGTAGCAACGAATCTGGGTTGCGCAATTACACGCCGCCAGTAGTCGCGCCGCAATCTTGCAGTTTTTTTATTCAACGGTGTTTTAACCTGTTGCGGTGTTCCTGCCTGCCGGAGCCTTTGGGCTTATTAGGAATTAAGATGGGCGGGAAAAAAAAGGGGAGCCCGGGTGGAAGGTGATTGGATAGCGCATGGATGCTGTGCCCCGCCAACAGGCTTCAACAGATCGCCGAATGTGCTACCGCGCAATGTGCTTCCGCACCGGTGCGCACTTCCATACCCCCATTTTAACGATTTCGGTTCTCCATTTGGAGCTTAAAAAGCTATCGCCGACGCAGTTTTGCCTGTGCGCCTCCCGCGTTGTGCAGGCCTGCTGTACCGCCCGCAACCCCGGTCGTGTTCGACGTACAGCTGCTGTACATCCCCGGCTTGGAGGGTGACGAGTGAACGGCAAGACGGCGGGTAGAGCGTGTGCATTGCCGCGCGATACAAAAATCGTTACTTGATGATACCGCGCACCAAACCGGGCTTCCCGTGTGGGACGTTACAGGGGCCGTAACCCCATGCCCCCGGATGTATGAAATCTTCTGGGGCGTATGAAAGTGATGCTTATTTGGTGGTAACTGCGTTCTTGGGGTTTGACGTAACCCATTTTTCCGATTTGCGTTTATTGCCTGCCTTGGGACAAGGAAAAAGTCGTTGAAATCATCATAAACCCACAACCTTTACGAAAGTTCACGGTCTAGGTTTAGGCTTACCGGCAGGTTTATAAGGCTGGTTGGGCAAGGCGGCGGCCGCCACATCCATCGGTACCTTGTTGGTGGTGAAGATGGATGTGCAGCGGGGAATTATATTTGGGACCCCATTCAGCGAAGCAGCGTGTGCTATTCTCTGTGTGGCAGATGGTGGTGTGCTATCTAACATGTGATATATGTGTGTGTACGCGCGTGTGCGTGTGCGTGCCTTTGCTTATGGCAGGTCGTCGGGATATCGCACTGGGCCGGGCGGGCGGGCGCCGTCGGGGCGTGGGTCTCGTACATGTGTGCCATTGATGTAAGATGATGAACAAACGACCTTAAAATGGGGAAATCCATTTACGGGACATCAGTACCGTGTGATGTGAGCTTCCCGCACCCTTATCCTCGGTGTCTGCCACAAAGGTAAACTTGGCGTATGACATGCGATGTCGTACACGGCGATGTCATACATCGCTGTGGCAGGGTGGCAATCTAACAGATGTTCTATTCCCGATGCGGCATCTTTGTCGGAAGATATAACAGCAACAGAACAGCCAGGAAACCTATGCAAATGCTGAAGTTCCTCCTTGAGAGGCACAATACCGTAGTGAATGCGGAAATCAGGGTTTCACCGATTTTGAAGCATGGCCTGGACGGCTGGTTATGTGAATATTCCGGCTGGTTGTGCGGGTGTCCCCTGCTCTTCATCAAATGTGTCCCAAAGACAGTCCTAATCCGAGCAAGCGCAGCGCTAGTTCAAAGCCTTTACACTTCAAGTCTGATTCGCTGTTTATTTTGCGATAACAGTCACGTCACAGTGCTGTGACTTGCACAGCGTGTCGCCGAGGACTGCAGGCGAAACTTCCTCGGGGAAGATCCGGAGGGAAAAAGTCATGATTGGGTGTTTGTATTTGGATGGATTTGGGCACCCGCGCTACTGTGGGTGTGGTGGCGGTGTGGAGGGAGTCGCCATCACTCCCTGCCGTCGCGTCTTCATCAGCAAAGTCCGTGCAGCTGCCGTGACATTACAGCATGAGGTAGCTCCGGGCGGCAGCGGCAGTAGTGGCGGTACCATTGCTATTGGTGCCGGTGGCCGCCTTATTTAGTACTGCTACACTCACCACCGACACAGCCGCTCCAGTGACCTGCGCTGTGCACTCCAGCAAATGTGTAAGGTGTTTTATTCCAGGGCCGGCTCACAGAGCTGGTCTGCGGAGGTGGCGGAGCTCTGGCAGCTGACTGTCGAGGCAATGCAATATGCACGGTGGCTTGACAGGACTGTTGCGGAGGCGAGGTCTGCTGGGCCAGATTTTGTCGAGCGCCTTGGCAGCGCTGAGGTTTGGTGGCGGGTTGGTGAGGAAAAGGTGATCTGTCGAAGTTCTGTACAATTACCCGATTTAGCACGGGATTATTTGGACAAAGGCAGCAGCAAGAGTCGACATATCGTGTCAGCCGTACACATTGACATATACCAAGATCAGCCTTGTTACATTACAAAAGGGCCCCTCCGGGATCGAACCGGAGACCTGCTGATCTGCAGTCAGCTGCTCTACCACTGAGCTAGAAACCCACGCTCTTGACAAAATAGATGTTTTAAGGTTATAAATTATGGAACAGCTCGTTCAAACATCTTCGTCCTGCTCCTTAGAGAGCGAAGTTTTCAAATCTTCAAACGCAGCGCAGTAAGCATAATGCTACAACAGGACTGGTCATATAAACATAGGCTCCTGGATACACGCATTGTTCTTCCGCAGGCTAGTTTTCTTACAACTGCGAAGTTAGGGGGTATAACTGAAGCGCTCATGGGCCTATGCAACTGAACGGTGCTCTACCTATTACACCAGCTCATCACTAGGGCCAACATTTTCGCGTGCGGTGAGAACATACAAAACACGTTTGCCGCTCTATTAGGACGTTCCCCGGGAACGCGTCCCATTCCCGACGTTACGATACCAAATCGACAATCAGTTTGTAGTGAACAATACTGCACGAAAACCAATGCAGTGCGAATATTCGGAAGGCATGCATACAAGGTGTTCAGGCAGATGAAAGGACAGCCGCGTGGTTGGAGCCCTGCAGAAACCGCACCGTAGCTGCCTGATGGCACCACATCCCACTGCACGAGTGGTGCGCGAAAGCAGCGGCGCAAACACAAAAACGCACCACAGCTTGCGAGTCCGCCGACGAGTCTGCTGTCCCTAAACACATACGTGCACGAGTCGATGCATCCACGATATTTCTAGTAACTCTAGAGAAAACACGCTCAACACATCGCCACATACCATGAATTTCAAATGCACCACCGGTCAGGCATGGCGCTCGCTAGCACAACTCACAAGGCTTTTTCCAAACCAGGCCGTTGCCATTGCTAAAAAAATTCAGGGTGGCCTTCGCCAATGCGTTCAGCTAGCTACAGAAATGCTGCATATATTATGGGACATGCCGACCGACATGCGGTCTAACTGTTCGTGCCCTGCCACGCTAATCCAATTGCCCCCTGCATCACCGCGGGGAGAGCAAACAAACAAAAACACCCCTACAATCGTACAGTACGAACTACGAACGTGTTCAGCAACACATGTAGTCATGACAGTACGGATGCACCGGGAGCCGTTAAGCCGTACAGCCCAGACAGCACACCGCTTTCCCTTCGTAGCTCCTGTAATCGATACGTTCACACCCAGATAGGATAGGATAGGACATCAGGACATCAGGAGATCAGGAGATCACACGTCAGGACATGGCAGCCACATGGGCGCACCTAAAAGATGGGTCGGGAACTGGAGAGTTTCCGTGAGCTCCGTCGGCTCTAAAGTTGGGCAAAGTGGAAAGCCGGGGCTGCCTAATCTCTGGCCGTACTTCGTGACTTCGTGCAGAAGTGTCGAATCGACCTGAAGCTGCTATGGAGGCAGCTGGGAGAGATCACAAAGGACACGCTGCCCCATTGAAGACGGAGTTGGTAGGTTGGGGAGTGCATTTTGAGCGGTACTAAAAGATGGGTCAGGCCAGTCAGGCGGATCCCGTTGCTGCACAGAGGTTCCTTGGCTACATTAACGGACGTGCTGTGATTGGCAATGGGCCCTTGGCCGGGCTACCTCTGGGTCTCGGGATCTGGAGGGATCCACACAATCCGCGATTTCTGGGAAGGAGGAGCTTGCCGAAGTGGTCATGCACATGACGCCTTTGAGGTTATACAGGCGGTGAAGGACCTACCCTACGGTAAGGCGCTAGGATGTAAAAGGGTGCCGGCGCAGTGCTATAAGTGGAGTGCGCCTGGAGACAGCATTTGAACACCTATGCTGCTTAAGATAAGATAGGAAAGAAATAACCATGCCTATGCCACATACCCACCTAGAGCACATCAGGGCAACGGGTGACACTTTCCCTGAGCAGTTCATCACTGCCACGATATTAACACCCGCGTCCAAAAAGATAAATGGTAACGCTGTTATAGCCAAACCGAGACCAAGCAGGTGGTGTTGGGGAAATGCTATGCTGCTATTATCCACCGGAGATACGCCATCACATGACGGGGCCTCGAGCTTAGGCCTCGAGCTCAGGCTGGTTTCAGGTTAAGCTTTGGTACGTCGCGAGGCCGCTGTAGCAAGCAAGCAAAAGCAATCCCACATCCACAGCACCTGCTGGGCAGCTATGGGCAGCTTGCTTGGGGCATCATCTTTTTGTCAAGCGGCACCTCACGCAGGTGCTTTGCCAACGCGGCTTATTAGTATTTAGACAAGCGTGGGTTGTGGCCCCTGCCTTACGGATTGGGCGCTTTGAAGGAGATCCGTTCCATTTGCTTCTACGGTTGTGAGACCTGGGGACCTGACCCCTAGATGAAGCTCTTGCACGAACTACCGTGACCAGTGGTTTTAAAAGTGGTTACTAGTGACCACGTGGTTACTGAGAAAATAATTCCCTTCCACAAGGTGGCCACTAGGAACTCTTTTGAGTCACCTGCCAGTAACAAGGTGGTCGCCAGGAAATTGGGCCCCCGTACAGAACACCGTAGTGACAACCTAAAAACTTTTTTGACGCTTGGATAGGAGCAGTGATGAGCTACTGAGCTCGGCTCGGGAAAGCATTGCCGTACATAGAGTCAAATTTATGAAAGCTTGAATGAGCGTTGTGAAGTTGGATCTTCGGATGCATGGTTCTAGTGGGCTCCTGTTCAGCATACTCGCTGGGGAATTTTTTGTGTGAGGTGGTTATCATATCCTTTTTAAGCTCCCGTTCATGTCGCCATGGAACCACGAGAGGCTGTCTGTATTGCCAGGCATTGAATGTTTTTATGTGTTCTTACGATATCTATGTATTCTGGATAGCCTTCGGCTGCCTCTTGGGCCCCCGGCTCGTATGCGCCCCTTACAATTTTGGAATGTAACGCAACAAGGCGTAACATACATACGCACACACGCCAGGATAGTACAAGCCGGTGCACCCGGCAGTAGCAAAGCAGCTTTTTAAACCCATCCCTCGTCATGCACTAGCCATCACCACCTTGTTCACCTTGGCGCACGTATGATACAGGATACCTTAACAAAAACCCCCCACTCCTCACAAAACCTTCAATATAGAGCATCACTCGGGGGGTTCAAGCTATACCTTTTGTTTCGGCGTCCACGCACACACAGCAGAGAGACGTTAACCATCCCAAAAAATCTCTAACAACATCTACAGATCCCTCGCGGAAGCCACCAGCACACAACAGCGCTGGGGCGAAAAAACTCCCGTTCGCCGTCGTCTCCACAGCTTCCCTCCGCCCCTATTGGGCTTTTAGCGTCGACCACCAAAGTGGTGCCGCCGTGCGTGATTTTGTCCGACACGAACTCTCCACATGTCACCTCACAAGCAAAACCTCTCCACTTCTCACTGTCATTGGAGCGCAATCAAAGCCTAATTGCAAATAAGCACACCAGCAAATGAGTTTAGAAGGTCAGTCGCCACTTACAACAATAACATTCCTCTACCGTACATCGTAGGAGTACATTGTAGCTAGCTGCAGGCCAGCCGTACCTCACCTCATCGCCTCACTTCATGTAATGCATTTGCCTTACCGGTCATCCATGCCGTACAGCAGCTGCTGACACCATGCTTTAAAACGCCATCCCACCAGATCTCCTAGCCAACGGACCGTATGCATGGAAATCTCCACAACCGCATGGTGTCGAGGTAGCCCGCACATGGTTCAAAGCTCATGTCGCGCCTCCATTTTCACCCCAACCACCATCGCACTTCCGTTTCCCTGTATATATTCTCGGCCTTTCAGTGGTGCACGAATGCAGAGGCGCTTAGTTGCATTTGTACGCTCGACATCATAGGACCAGCCCATTCCGTCACGTCTGATCAGTCGTGCAGTACAAGGCGCCGTGGGGAAGAGGCTGCCCGTGCAACCACTAATGACTTCAGATAGCCTGAAAGGCCCACTGAAACGTGTAACCCTAAACATGTACAGAAATGCCCTTTAACATGCCACCCCGCCAGAAAAGCTTCGCCACTGATGCGCGAAATCAACCTCCTGCTAAAGTCCAAAGTTGGATCATCCCACATCTAGTTCCACCCACGCTGCATCCAAGGTGCACGATGCAACCGTATTGAGAGCTGCGGAGCACTCGTTCTGCGATTGGACGTGAGCAGAGGCCTCCACCGGCGTAAGCAACACCCGCATCTCCAGAGCTATCCTTAAAAAGCTACCGACCAACCTCACAACTCTCTTAGACGGGCGATTATCCGGTCATAAGAGCAATCCACCATCTCGCTTCCTGCACTGGTGGACAGCTGTTTGCCACTGGTGGACGAGACAGCTGTCGTAAGTATACATCTATTCTGCTTGCCAGCCGTCGCAGCCACTCCCTCCCTCCCTCCCTCCATTAACATTTTGAACTGGATAGCAGACACCGGAACTGTAAATGGCATGGCCATCAACAACCTGACCTACTACACCTCGCAGATTCAGCCCAGCTCTTAATAAATGCGCTCTAGGACGTAGTCCACCATGAGCCGCAGGGAGCGTCTTGAGGGGCCCTCAGGGAGGCACTCCAGGGCTGCAAGTGCCATGTCCGCCTGTTGCCGCGCCAGAAGCCTCGCCTCTTCAATGCCGCCCGTCTCCCGGACCAGCTCAAGTGCACGCTCCAGGGAGCCCTCCTCGACAAACTCCGAGGAAATTATGTCCAAGAGTTCCGGGGACTTGCGCAGCGCGAAAATTGCTGGAGCAGTGAGGTTCCCACTCGCCAAGTCCTGACCCTGTGTGCATGTGGGAGACAGGAATATCATACAATCCGAATGCGGGCCGGAATGAAACCTAACTTTGCTTAATCTAGGTGCAAGGAAGGGGAAGGTGCAAGGAAAACCCAGATCAGTAGGAGGCAAAAAGGGGAATGGAGAAGGCAAGCTGCCGGCTCTCCGACCTAATTTTGACAAGAAAATGCGCCGTTTTGGTAGCAGGAAGCTGTCAACCCAATTCATTCAAGCCAACTCACTCCAGCGGGCAAAACCCATAGCACCTTCGCACCGCCCTGAGGTATGTGACAAGACTACCTACCACCAGCCAACCCTGATCAGGCCTTTTCTTACAGCTTAGTATCACAAAACCCAGTCCTCCCCAAACCGGCTGGGTAACCTCCCAGCCGCCGCACCTGCGGCTTGCCCAGCTGCTCGGTTGACTGCGTGAAGTCCAGAACATCGTCCACAACCTGAAACGCCAGACCCAAATGCTTGCCGTAACTGTACATAGCCTCCTTCACCTCTACGGGCGAGTCGCTGAACACGGCGGCCGAGCGGCAGCTGGCAGCTATGAGAGAGGCGGTCTTGTAGAATGACTTATCGAGGTATTGCTCCAGGGTGATGTCGGTATCAAACAAGCTGGCAGCCTGGCTAATTTCACCGTTGGCGAAATCCGCAATGACCTGACTGATAAGCTTGATAACCTGTCGCGTACATGATTTGGGTTGAGGACGCGGGCATGCATCTGAGCTGGGCTGCCATTGGGTGCGGAGGTTTTCAGTGCGAGGCAGCTTAGATACTGAACCTCCGACAAGAACCGAAAGGACGCACCTCTAGGTTGTCAAGGTTCGCCAGGAACCAGGAGGATTGAGCGAAGAGAAAATCACCAGCCAATACAGCGACGCGAGTCCCATACATGCTGTTAATGGTTTTCTTCCCTGCGAGTGGCAAACATGCGAGCGCCAACCTAAGGAAATAGCCGAGCAAAAGTGCCGTTGAAATGGGAGCCCCTTTAATTCTATTCACCTCGTCGGATGTCACATTCATCGAGCACATCGTCGTGCACCAAGCTGGCGGTGTGAATCATCTCGGTAATTTCTGCTAGACGTCGGTGCTTGTCTGTCAGTTCCCTGTGATGCAAGGACATGTTTGCTTCTATGCACAAGAGGTAGATAAGCGAACACAGCCGAGACGGTGCTCACGTGAGGCCCTCACGCTGGGCGGTTGAGTGCGCGACGAGGAAAACAATGACTGGCCTCAACTTCTTGCCGCCAGCACCAAAAATCTGCTCCGCCGCAGCCATCAGCATAGGGTGCCGGTTGCCAACCACGTTCTTAAGGTTTTGGTTCATTTGCTCCATATCCGACTTCACAGGCGCCAAAATCTCGTTCAATAGGTTTGCCGGTGGCACAACCTGCGCCTCAAGCTTCAGCGCAGTCTGCTCCTCGCTCCGAGTAGGTGTGTAGACGCATGTCCGCACAACTGGGCGCGCGTCGCTGTTGCGCCGCGAGAAAGTTGTGATGGAACGGTGGCGCGGCAGGCAAGTTTGCAGAACACGCGAAGAGCAGCCAACTGTCTCAGGCGTGCTCATCCGCTCTGGAATATTCATATTGTACAAGCCCATATTTCAGAGTCTGTGGCAAAGGACAGGTGTTCGTGTCAGCTAGTCGGACATCGACCTTTTCGTGAGTGGCTATGTCTCTTTCACGTTCCTCTAGGAAAAGTATAATGAAATAGAACAATGAATAGCTGGCAAACGCGGCAATAACGGTACTCAGCGGTGGAGCATGACTCTGGTCGCATCGTCCACACAGTCTTGATGGCTGGAAAAACAGCATCGTACAGGTGGGGCCCAAATAGGAAAACCTGACAGCCAAGCAAAGGTTATTGCATGTGATTTTCATTTCAGTGCGCATAGCTAACAACTGCAGTTGACCCCAAAGACCTTTGAGTGCTGCGGTTTACTTGCGACCGGTCGTGCATGCGCACCTGGTGCACATCTGCGCGCGTGGCGCGCATCCTAAACTAAAACCCCATAGCGGCTTCAGAGTGCATAATCCGCCGATTGTTGTACAGTGCACCTCAACATTCAGCCTGTCCACGGGTTCGAATGTCGCCTGTGACCCGTTGGCAGCGGCTGCTCAAGAACCATCCGGCAAGCATCCATTTCCAAGATTAGGCGATGCTACGCGAATAAAGCTCGCGCCTCAGGCTTCGCGCCGCGTGCCCCATCATTCCTCAACTCAAACCCGTTTAACCCCCCGCAACGCACATTCACAAACGCGCATGCTAGTGACCTCCAGACCATGGCCGCACGGTGTCACCAATACTGCCCTCGGCAGTACCAGTACCTCCTCTCTTTTCACATTCTGCTACCTAATAAGCGCCTGCATGGACGCGGGTGAAATTGAGGTATGTTGCTGGGCCCTCAGTCGATGTGGTTGGCAACGGCGGTGGTTTGGCTGGCCGATCAACTGTTGCATGGTATGAGTATCCGAAACGAGTCTGCCTTACGCATACGGGCATACAAGCTCTAAATGATTCAAAGACTCCTCAACCTGGCGACTCGTTAGCAAAGGTGGTGGTAACAGTGTGAAGGAACTCGAGATGTATGTAAGCGGTAACTGGCGGCATCTCCAGGCCCAGTTCAATGTCCTCATGCACATGCAGGCTCTTACTCCAGCCGCCACCGCCGCCGCCGCCGCAGCAGCAGCAGCAGCCGCAACAACAATGACAGCGGCGGATGGCGCATCCTTTCCTGTTCTCCGGCCATTCTCCTTCCCGTCTACTTTCCGGTCTCGCCGCGCATCTCCTTGTCTGTCCCTCCTCCAACCCCCCTCTTCCGCTTCCTCTTTCCTTGCCCTGCCCCTCCGAACCGCACTTCCTCACCCTTTCGCTCCACTCGCCATGGGGGCTCGGCCGGCTTCCTGGGAAGTAACGTCTCCTACGGGGAATGAGAACGAATGACGAGCCGGGGTTCTGAAACAAGCACTAACAAAAGATGTAGCCAGCCAGTTCTTTCACTTTACCCCATAAAGGAGCCCCTCCAGCTCCTCCATCCCCTCCGGTGCACAAGGCTTCCGTGTGGTTTCAATCCGCTCCTGGTCTACCGACCGAGTCCTGGACAAGTACTACCGCGGCCATGCACCGTGACGTGGCTGCCGTCCCCTGCATGCAAAAAACATACATACATACATACATACATACATACATACATACATACATACATACATACATACATACATACATACATACATACATACATACATACATACATACATACATACATACATACATACATACATACATACATACATACATACATACATACATACATACATACATACATACATACATACACTTGCAAACCTTCCCTGTTAGCTCTCTCCCCACCCAGGGGCCCCCGTCAGGTGCTGGATGCTTCGGATTTGGGTATGATTCATATGGCCACTAAATTCGGATCCGTACTTTACGACTGACGGCAGGGAGCACTGCCAGTTGAGCATTGGCAGTTGGGGGTTTCACTGGGGGGGAGTTTTCACTGCCGAGTGGTAAAGTATAAAGCAGGTTTATTGGCCAGCTGAGGCCGGATTCCCCGGTTAGTTGAGGCCTACCCTTCATGCGTACGTAGGCAGGGGATGCGGAAAGGGAGGTGGAGGAATGCAGGGAGGGAGTGGGAGAGTAATAAGTTGTTGCGGCCTATAGCGCAAGATGTCTGAAGGCAAAAGAAGAGGTACAGTTGTCCCAAAGCTCCCCAACCAGTCCATGGAAGCTGAGACGACACACGACAGTTTCATCCATCATTCCCCCACGCCCCTTTCCTTCCCCGACCACATTCCCTCCTTCCTGGAACAGCCATTGACGTTCGGCGTGTAGATTGCCGTATTGACGTTAGCGGTGCGAGCTTCCCATCTCCACGGCCTTGCGCCCTCCGTCCCCCTCCTTCCCTCACTTCGAACCCACTTCGTCTCGCACTCAACTGGGGATCAGAACCCAACATCACAGTCCCCCGGCGGCTTCCAGTGCCACCACTGCCGCTGGTGCCGCTCCATGCCCTCCTTGACATACGATCTGCCTTGGCCAACTCTGGTCGCACCTGGCCAGGTGGTTCAACTTCCGCTTAGTGGGTGTTGCGGGCCAAAACCCTTCAGCCTGAGGATCATGAATGCCGGGGCCCCTAGCTACGCACCGGCGCGGAATGGCTACCGTGAATGGGCATCGTACGACCTGCAGGACTGGTTTTTGTGTGTGGCGGGTAGGGTGGCCCGGAGCAGGGACAGGACGAGACGAAGGGCTGTTGTTGGGAGATGGTCTTGGTGGAGGTTGGAGTTAACGTATCCTGGCGGCGTGTGGTTTAATCCTTTATGATCTAAGACAGATGCATTGTACGGAAACCATGTATGTTTACAACGGGATCCAATTTAGAAGCACGGTGGCCACCCCAATCTCGCAGCCATGATGGTGGCCGTCGATGCCTGTTCCTGCAAGGGACAGAAACCTACATTCCACATTCCCCGTGAATGTGGAACCCGGCAGCCTTCTTTTCCAATGGACTGTATGGCATGTACGGTATCTTCTTTGCGCCTGCATGGCAGACATGCACTGTACAGGGTAACCACATCGTATGATATGGACAGCGGTGTGTTGACCATTTCGCACACGCCGGAATAAGACGCCGTGGTGCAGTACGCATACTTTGCGCCGTACCTGCTCGACCACCGCGTTAGGTGGGGAAGCCCCGTCGTCCCGGGTAATGGAGCTTTGCACGAATAACGCTTACGTACGCAATGGATCCTGGTTAGGCACCGCTGCGGCTCGTCGTGCTGGGAAGCACAGCGCTGGGATATTCTTTGCCAGAACGCAGATCAGCCACGAGGGCGCCAGTAAAGATCACCTCCCCAATGCTGTTAGCCTTGTGCTGGTTGTTTGTCGAACTGAAACCTCCTTACCTAGTCTGGGCGAATTCCCAGCCCTAAACAGAGACCCAACCCCGCTGTTCCTTTGTCCTCTCTTTCCCCTCGATTTTTTTGCAGCTGGCTGCTTAATTGCAGAGCCATGGAGCCAGTCGTAAAATCGAGGGGAAAGAGAGGACCTGCGTGGTTTTGCAATTGCGGCCCGGGGCGGAGCCCGGGGCGTACCAAGCGCCTGAATGCGGCGCTGCTGCAGGTGGCGCATATGCTGCGATAGTTGATCTGCGGGATCGGCGGGATTCGAATTGTGGGGGGAACCATTTCGGCGCGCGGCGTGGACGTTCGAGACGTGTCTCGAGAGACGGCGATTTTGCTGAAGAAAGAGGTGACGTTCTGCGTGCGGTACGGCGGCGTGATGCCGCGCTGTATGGTGCTTTGGTGCGGGCGCTAGATGGACGAATGAATTAATGTATGTATATATATGTACATATGTACACACACTGAGGTGGCAGCGAGCCCCTTATCGGCACCGATAATACTAAGCCTGCTTCAAAAGCCAACCAGCTACCACACCAAGGCGATACTCCCTGACCAAGGACACGAACGCAACAGAGCGTAGCGCAATCTTCGTCTAACAGCAAGGACGGGACAGGAGCCCCCCGCAGCAGATGCCCGCACTCGACGTACACATAAAGGCTGGTATATGTCGTACGTATCCTTGGCCAGCATCCTTCCTTCGTTTTTATCTATTAGCGGTTAAGAGCCAATCAAATAATAACAACGTGTAATAAGTACTTCCCTTTGCGTTCTATGCGATAACTCATCCCTCAGGACAGCATGGTCCCTGATCCGGCGCCGATCGCATGTAAAGATCGCGTGAGATATTTAAGCAGGTGTTAACCCCACTCCCGCTTCCGACGTACTCCGACCGTCCTGGAAAACACACCTCACTGCTATATGGCAGCTCCTGAGAGGTATCAGAACATTATCTGCCTAGCCCTCCGATCTGCTTCCTTGCCAACTGAAGAAGTCCCAAGAAGGGGGTTCACGATCATTTTCTAGTCCCGCACTTTGCCCTCCCGGAGAATGTTGCGAGAATTTGTGGAGTAACGAAGTAACAAACACCCAGTGATGTGGCGGAGGGTTCGGCCTTGAAGGGCTTAGTGTACTTGCGTGGTAGTTCCGTGGTTTTGTTGTGCTTTATACGGGAGACATTCGCTTCGCCCGTGTAAACTAATAACAGTGGGCCGCCTGAATCCGGGTTCGCAATTTAGACTCTCAGTTGTCAAGGAGGTCTGGTCGTGAAATTGTTTGCACTGTTGAACTAGCCCGGGTTTTACGGTTATCCGCCCTATCTGTTCCTTTTTCATTTGTACGACCCAAGTAGTTGGTCATATGCACTGGAAAACCTGAGTGCTTTTCATTGTGTCCCGTTCATCGCATCCCTTGACTACTACTCTAATTGACAAGCTGACGGTGTCGAGGGCTGTGTGTTGACGCTCTACCAGCAACACAGTCACGAACAACCGGCTTAGGTACAGTCCCCCAAGAATTCAATTTTCTTCCTGCCTGTTGTGAAATGGCTTAGATCTAGTTTTTTCAGAAAGAAGATAGCTTAAGGATACAGGAACTTAGAGGCAGTTAACGCGTGGGCTGCGGCGCCATGAACCAGCCGGACCGCTATGTGCAGTTTGTGCTTCCCGAGGGGGAACGCAAGGTTAACTATAAGGCCGATACAAAACTGAAGGATGCCGGCACCTTCTCGTTTCGTTCTGAGGACCACACCATGGGGAACCTGCTGAGGATGCAGTTGCATTCAGACAAGGCGATGGTTTTCGCTGGATATCGCATTCCACATCCATTGGAGCCGGTGATGGTTGTTAAGGTGCAGACCAATGGGACGAAATCCCCAGAGGAGGCAATGGTGCATGCGCTACAAGATCTGGCGAGCGAGTTCGGTTACATGCTGAATGAGTTTGATCGGGAAGTGATGAATGCACAGCAGAACCCGATGCACAACCTTTGACGTCTGAGCAAGAACAGATCGTACATAGCCGTCTTGGCGTCAGGTCTATCTATAGGTATCCACTTCTTTTGCCTAACATCGCGTGTTCTCGCGTAAGAACTGGGGGGTCGGCGGCCTGCAAGGTTGTCCTTTTTTAAACACTCGAGTGGTCGTTTTCCATGGAATACAACCTGACCTGACCTGTACGTGTATCTTCTATGGATGTAACGTTCACCGTTGAAGGCGTCTTGCGCACGGTACCGTTAGCGTCACTCCACTTTCCTGTGCACGTCGTGGCCAACGGCGCGGAATGGAGCACCAAGCCGTCTCCAGCACCTGTGCTGCGCCTGTTACGCTCTTCATGTTCTTCAGCTGGCGCGGCCGATGTTGAAGTCGTCAGCAGCAGTCGCATCGTGGAGTTGCATGTTCAGGGGCATGGAGACAGCTCATTGTCCTACGGCGCGACTTTCCGCGGAGTGCCACACACAGCAAAACCAATTGCCGATAGCATGCCAACATGTTGCTCCTCAACGGGGTCCGGGGCTGAACATACAGCGTTCATGGTGCGAGTACCTGCCAGCCAGGTGCGGTGTTCACACATGAACCCTCACCAGGGGAAGAACAAATTCATCCCGCGCCAGGCGCCCCCTTTACTTCATAGTCTGCTGCTGCGCCCTTTCACCTCTCCTTGACAATAACGCATCCCTGTATTCTTTATGCGTATCTCGCCGCTGACGATATATAGTTGCTGCATATAATAATCAACGGGTGATGGAAGTGTTATTGCCGCAGCAGAGGCACAGAACCCTAGGAAGGAATGGGAGGAGAGAGCTTGAAAAAACAGGAAAGCATAGAGCAGGATGACCCAGATGACGATCCGCACGTCTCAGTCATCACCATCGTCTAAATACAAGACTGCGTCTGCTGACCGAGCGCCAGGGGCCCAACATTCTCCTCCTACACAACAGAAATTTTCGCCCGTTCCATTATGCCTTATGTCCCCACACATATACCGCCCCATCCACACACACACACACACGTACACGTCTACTCACGCAAATGGTGGGGACGGCCACAGGCCTATCCCGACTGGCGTGTGCTGCAGCTGCGGTTCGCCTCCGCCGCGCGTGGGGCCGCGCGTGGCGAGTGCATCGTTCATGGCATTCGCCTGCTCCCTGTCGATAACGTCGCCGGCGAGGGTGCCACCACTTCCGGTGCCGCCGCCATGGCCACGACCACAACTTTCCCTACCACGATCGGTAGCGATGGTGCAGTGGTAGCAGCATCTCCCGCTCCGTCTTCGTTTCTTGCTGATGGTAGGACTTGTGCTGTGGAGACAGGGATGCCATGGCCTGAGCGCCAGCTGGCACCGGATGCGAAAAATCCCGTCGCAGCGAGCATGTCGGAGCCGCAGCCTGAACCGCCACCAGAGGTGCACAGCGCGCCAGCTGAAGGATCTCCCGCTGCTAGCGGCAGAAACCGCTCTGGAACCACACATCCGCCGTACAGTTCCGCGGAGGCAACAGTGGCGGCATCAGCTCAGCCGCCACCGTCACCGCTGTCCAGCAGCGCGTCTGCTTGTGGCCCAGCTGAGGCAGTGGCGGGGGCAGCCATGGCTGCAGCAACCGGGAGCAGCGACCCGTGGGACGGTGGTACGGTGGGCTCAAAAAGCCAGCCGGTGGGCTCCCAGATGCAGCAGTTGCGGGAGCTGTTACAGCGAGCGGCTGCTAGTGGTAGGTAGTAAAGAGGCCGTAATGAGGAAAAGCACCTAACCACCAGCTCTAGTCTGTCCGAGCAGGTTGAGGTGAAGCGTGAATGATGAAGTAGAGGGGTATGCGCCTTCCGGGGGATGTTGTCGTCCATCTGAACTGAGGGGATTAGGGGAGGGTTATTAGCGGCGGATGGTTCTGTAAAGGTCATGGTATTGTCGTGGACGGCTGCACTGTGTTGTGCCGTAGCGGGATGCCGTATTGTCGATGCCGACGGCTCATCCTTCAAACCGGCCTTTTCCAACTTGAGTTGATGCCCAGTTCCCTCGCCTTCCCCACACGTCTGCGTGCCATACGGCTTACAGTACCACCGCCGCTGACTCCGCTCGGACCGGCCCATGCCGGCACCAACACCACCAGCCCTGCCTCCGGTCCCACCGCCTCCGCTTACCTTGGTGCTGCCGCCGGCGCCTCCGGTACGACCGGTACGACGGCGGCTGTACCATCGGCGGCAAGGGCCAACCTAGGCCTGGCGGCGACATTGGCTCGGTCTCTGTTGCAGGCCTCGGCTCAATCCCAGACCCATGGGTCTTCGGCCTGCAGTGCAACGCAGCTTGCGCCAGCAGCAACAACGCTGCTGCCACCGAAATCGCAGGCCGGAGGCTTGCCGCAGGGGCCCTCACAGCCGCTACCACCACCGCCTTCGTCAATGTCGTCTTGGCCGCTAGGGCCCGGGGGCCTGCCGCTGCAGGGAGTCTCGCTGGCGGCCGCAGCCGCCCAGCTGTCGGAGGTGTGTGACCGGGTGCGGCGCATTGAGGACCACCTGCTGGGACGACCCGTGGGTCAGTGGGGCGGACGCGACGGGGTGGGCGGGGATGGCGCTGCTCCGAGTGTATCACATGGGGCCCGCGGCCAAGGCGCTTGCGGCCAAGATGGACAAGAGACAGAGCTGCACTCGCAGACACATGCAGCAGTGCAGCCGCAGAGACAGCTGCAGCCACAGGCGCAGATGCCGACACAGCTGCAGCAGCAGCAGCAGTTGGTCCCCGTGGCGCTAGTCGAGCAGCTGCTAGTTGTGTTGCCCTCCTTGTCTGCCTCTATGTCCAAGTTAGAGGGCGCGGTGATGCAGCAAAGCGAGATGCTGGCGGAGCTAAGCCGACAGGTGGCAGAGGTGCGGCACCGACTGGATTCCGGCGGTAAAGACAGCGGCTCCGCCACCTCTGTCTTGGGCTTGGAGGCTGCCTAGCTTGCAAACCTGCAGTGCAGCTGGCGCAACCAGCTGTTTCCGACAAAGACGTTCCGCACCCTTTGGATTTACACAGACAAGACTTAGGAGGTTTTGTTGGTCTGTGTTTCTGGCAAGATCAGACGGGCACGTGTGTATTTGTGTGCAGGGGCCATCATGGGCCTCTTGAAACAGGTTGTCTCGCATATAGTATAGAGAACATGCGCGAAGTGACCGAAAGTTGGGAGTTGGGGTTGCAGTATGTGAGCATCGTAAGGTTGCTGCAACAAACGGCGGCCATGAAGGTCTGTTTGGTTTTAGGAAACGTGAGTGTTGGTCGTCCGTCCGTCGCATATGTGCCGTCGCATATGTGCCAATAAGAAGTGTTTTGCAAATTCGCTCAAGGTTTGGTTTCGGTGCGAACTAAGAGGCCACGACCGGAGAGGCTGAAGCGTGGAGGATGTACAGGCATGGAACGGTGTATGTGTATGGCTCAAAGCAAAAGTGGATGTAACCCTTCTTCGGCAAGTGACTGCCAGGGGGGCATCGGCAGGTTTAGGGATTGCGAAAGGTTGCGCCTTATCCTTTACGCAGGGTCCTGAGGTTTCCATTAGGGTTGCAGAGCATGCTAAGTTATGCGTCTTCAGTTCAGGTTCATAGGTTCATGGCCTAGAAGCAAGGGTAAACAATCGATTAAGTACTATTTAAAGCAGAAGCCACGTATCACATGATACCCTACATGCTTTGCCTTTTTGATGATCCAATAAAATGATATTGAATAAGGAATGACAGTATCCTTGTTGTCGTCGCTTCGAACATTGTAGCATGTCTATAGGGTTGCGCCACTTACGCGTTGGGCTTATACAGCAAATCATCATTTTCCAGAATTATTTATGTATGCACGCAATAACGTTTTTATGAGACACGCCAAACTTTTTGTTCGCGTGCCGCACGTGTCGTCGTGCAAGCCCACGCTGCCGCCAATCACTTCAATTGTTGCAATCTACGACGCCACCTGCTCCATTAACACCAATATTATTGTGTTCGCGTCCTAACTTGCCTAGAGACGACGCTCCGGTGCCGCGCGGCGCATCGCACGAAAGCGACTTAGGGTTGCTCTGCCTTAGGCCCAAACTAGAGCCGTTATCCAGCAAGTATGAACACGACACTTCGTCAAGGTGCCCAAACAGGCGTGATAAGCCGTGAGACCACTGGCCGCCGGCAATTACACCTTGCAGTGCCACGCATCGGGCCATGCCGCCCGGTGGCAACCTTAGCCGCACCGCCACCGGCACCCACGCCAAGCCATGTTCCTAAAGCAGCTCCCGCACCGGCACAGGTAAGGCTTGCACCTGGGGCTGAGGCACCATTCGGAAGCCAGCTCGGAACTAATCAGCAAGTTTCGCTAGCTTTGAATACTCATGACTTCAGCAGCACTAGATATGCTGTATTTATCCTAATAATTCAAACTTGTATCCCCGCAGCTGCCCAAGCTGGAGCTGTCGGAGCTAACTGCCGTGAGCCCCCTAGACGGGTAAGAGAGCTCAACCTCTCATTCACACCCGAACCCATCCGGCGTCTACAGGCCAATCGCTGCAAACCACTCTTTATCCCCTACCTCACGCCTTCTGTAACCATTTTCGCCTCCTCCCCCGTCCCTTCTTTCCCCTCTTTCCCTCCCCCATCCCGTCGTTATTCAAGTCGCTACGGCCGTCTAAGCGCGCCGCTCCGCACCATTTTCTCCGAGTACGGCCTCATCAGGTTCCGTGTGTTGGTGGAGTGCCGGTGGCTGCAGCAGCTGTCCCGCATTCCTCCTGTGACGGAGGTCCCGCCCTTCTCCCCGGAAGCTAACCGCCTGTTGGACCGGCTGTGCACTCCGGAGGGCTTCACCCCGGAGGTGGCCATGAAGGTGAGAGGGGGGAGGGGGGCTTGGGTGTGTGTGGGGAGAGGGATTTGGGCAGAGAGCTGTTTGTTTGTTTGTGTGTGTGTTGGAAAGGAGGGCGTTGGGATGGTGGCGGGGGGAGCGGGGAATGGGCAGGGCTGTGTTCTTGTGTGTGTGTGTGTTTGTGTGTTGGGGGATGAGTAGGTGAATTTGTCAGTCAAGCGGCCAGTTAGTTGATTGGTTGGTCTGGGTCCATGTTCTTCCCAACTCTTGAATCTGTCAGTGAGTGTCGGCGGGTGATTTGGGTCCACGCAAACGGGAGCTGGAAAGCAGTTCTTTTAATGTGGGTATGTGCGTAGGTAGGTACGTAGGTATGTAAGTAAGTAAGGTTTTCAGGTTTTGGCGGGCAGGTTGGTGGACGGATGGGCGGTCATACTCGGTGTGACACATTGCCGCATTGTGGGTGAAACACGTGTGTGTGCGTGTGTGTCTGAGGATCGGTTTCGGGGCGGGGAGGGGGGGAAGACGAACCACGAGCGAGAGTGAAGCTGCTGCCAAAGAAAAGATTGCTGCGGCGGATGTGCAGGAAGCAGAACTGACCAAGGGGGGGGAAATTATGACAAATGACAAAATACGGACGCGCAGGTGTGTGGGGCTCGGGTTAGTTACTCGGTTGGGTGGTTTTCGGCGGTTGGAAGTTTGTTGGGCACGGCTTATTAGCCGCCATGGGGGTGTCGCTTTTTTCGGCAGGTCCCTCCTCTCTCCTTCCCGCGCTCTGCCCCCCTTCCCCTCCCCTTCCTCTCCTCATGCACTAATGTGGGCGTTACGGCGGTGGTGGTGGTGGTGGTGGTGGTAGTGACTGCTGTTCTGTTGCTGCTGTTGTCGCCTCCCGCTTATTCCTCTTCGCGGACGGATCGTGTTATGATGGTGGTGGTGGTAGCTAGCGGTGGGCGCTGGGGCATGGGAACGGGTCCTGATGACCCCCCTGGCTTTCAATCCCCACACGTGTCCTCATGCTCTCATCTACTGCCACTGCTGCTGCTGCCGTTATTGCCGGTTGTTACGCCGTTATGTCGTTGTTCGTTACAGGTTAAGCAGATCGAGAAGACCACCAATCACGATGTGAAGGCCGTGGAGTACGTGCTCAAGGTGGGTCGGGTGGGGGAGGTAGTGGTAGTGGGGTGGGGGCTGTCCCTGGGATGGGGACGACATTCGTATCTGTCTGTGTTGCCTTGTATCCATATACCCCCTTTTACCCCTTCCCTTATGTCCCCTCCTCCTCCTCGCCCTCCTCCCCCTCCTCGCCCTCTTCCCCCTCCTCCCCCTCCTCCCCCTCCTCCCCCTCCTCCCCCTCCTCCCCCTCCTCCCCCTCCGACACAGGGGGCCTCTGCAGCTCGGGGCACTTCCTGCTGAGTTGCATGTGTGTCCTGTGTTTAGAGATGTTTCTATCTCCCCCGTCCTTTCCTCCTCCCACCGGTTTTCCTACTTTGTTCTCCCCCCTTCTCGCCCCTTAAAGGAGCACTTCAAATCCGATCCCGAGCTGGCGGCTGTGCTGGAGTTCACCCACTTTGCATGCACTAGTGAGGTAGGGGGGTTTGGGGGGTAGCTGGCGGCGGGCGGTGAGTGAGTGGGGGTTGGCTTGGGGTTTCGTGTTCTATAGTAGTTGTTTTGGAGAGAAGCTGCCGCCGCGGTGGTTGTAATGGTAGTTGTGATGGTGGCGGTGAACCTGCGTTCTTTTGGCCCCTTCATGGTTGGAACCCCCTCACCCCGCCCGCCTAGTCCCACTCCCTTTTGCCGGGGTCCACCAGCGCGCTTGACGGGCGCCACAGCCGCCATCGCCCCCGGCTTGCCCACGACGTACCGTGTCGTATAACCCCACCTCCCCCAACCATCCCCCCACCTCCCCCAACCATCCCCCCACCTCCGTACACACACAGGACATCAACAATTTGAGCCACGCACTCATGCTCAAGGAGGCCGTACAGGAACACGTGAGTGGCCGGGACAGGGGGGAAGGGATCCTCTCGGGGTTTGGAGTGCCTCTTCGAGGGAACCGGGTACGACCGTCGTACGGAAAAACAGCAAGCCTGCATAAGCACCGCTGCAGGATAGGGTCATGTGTTTGGAGTGGACGCAGAGGTGCCGTCTGTGTGTGTTTTTTTTTTTCGATCCCCCCCTTCTCTTCCCCCGCCCCCTTCCTCCTCCTCAAGCTATAGCACTGGGCTCTCTTTGGAGACTGGGGGAATCATCATCGTAAGGAAAAGTAAAATATGCAGATACACATATGACGCAAGAGGTTTCTCCCCCTCTCAATCCCTCCCCCTCCGGGTGGATGGGACTCCGAGCCCCTAGGACTCCCTAGGGGAAGTTTTTATGAACTTTGGACGCCTTTTCCGGCAGTCCTTATTTCCGATCTCCTTGCATATGATTCCCCGGCTTTCCCTTCCCGTCGCCTCCCTTCCCCTCCCTTCCCTTCCACTCTTTCCTTGGCAGCAGCTTCACTCGTTCGTGGTTCGCGTTTTTCCCTCCCCTCCCTTCCCCCCCATCGCAGGTTCTTCCCACCATGGACAAGATCATTTCGGAGCTGTCCCGCCTGTCCGCTGAGTTTGCCCAGGTTCCCATGCTCAGTCGTACACACGGGCAAACCGCCTCGCCAACCACCATGGGCAAGGAGATGGCCGTATTCGCGTACCGCCTGCGCCGCCAACGCGACCAGCTGGCGGCGGTGCCGTACCTGGGGAAAATGGCGGGCGCAGTTGGCAACTATAACGCCCACCTGAGTGCGTATCCGGAGGTGGACTGGCAGGCGGTGGCGCAGGAGTTCGTAACGTCACTGGGTGAGTACGTCCTTGTGACTGGGATAATTCGTACTGCTGTACAATGGATGGGGATGTGTGTGTATTGGATGGGGAAGGAAACCGCCTCGTGAATCCTTTCCCCCCGCCGCCCGTGGATAGCCGAAGGTGGGGGAATGTTGGGTTTTAGGGTTTTAACTGGAGTTTTTTTTTTGGGAGCGAGGCCCCGGTTGCGAAGAGCTTTTCGTCTGGCCGAGGGCCCCGGGGTTCACTCCTGTCTGTCTGTCAGCGTCGTGTCTCATGATGAATTCGCATGCCACGTTGGACGGAGATTGAATTGAAAAGCTTATACTAGAACTCTCTATCCAGCACCGAAAAATAACCCACCTTTCCGCGCACGCTCCCCGGTGGCGGTGCCCTCAGGTCTCGAGTTCAATCCCTACGTGACCCAGATCGAGCCGCACGACTACATTGCCGAGCTGTACGGCGCCATCATCCGGTTCAACAACATCCTCATTGACTTTGACCGGGACGTGTGGGGGTACATCTCCCTTGGGTATTTCCGACAGAAGACCATTGCGGGGGAGGTGAGGAGGGTGGGCGTGGGCGTGGTGTGGTGTAGGGTAGGGTGGGGTGGGGTGGAGTAGGGTGGGGTGGGCGTGGGGGTGGGGGGCTCTGGGGGGTTGGAGGGCTGTGGGGATCATGTAGAGGGAGAACCAAGAACAGAGAAGAGTCAGGTCGCACACGCGCTTGCGGAGGATGATTTTTTGTTAATGTCGTTGATTTCGGAACGTACTGATGTGTAGAAAGTGCAACTCCCCTGACGCACGAATCCGGAGAACCGAAGACGCGTTGTTTATGCATTGAGCTCATTGGCGAATGGTAGCCAGTGGATTGGAAATCTGAGAGCCGTACCGCCACGCTCAATGAATATGATGTTACGGCCTTCGTAACCAACCTAACTGTCAACCGCTAACTGGCAACCACTAACTGTAATTGCAGGTCGGCAGCAGCACCATGCCCCATAAGGTCAACCCCATCGATTTCGAGAATTCGGAGGTAAGGGCTTGTATGTGCATGTATGTACGGTACGTGTACGGCACACGGCGACGGGTATTTTTAGGTTGCTTCGTAATTCCCTTCTTCCACCTACCCGACCTCTTAGCGCTCTCCGCCACGCGCCTAGGCCATGCCCCGTGCAGTAGTCGGCGCTGTTTCCTTGCGCTAAGCACCCCATATCCTCCCTTCATCGTTTGCATCCCCTCATCCGCCCTTCAATCCCCCTCTTCCCCCCCTCTCTTCTTTTCCCCCCAACCTCGGCCCCCCGCAGGGTAATCTGGGTATTGCCAACGCGCTCATGGACCACCTTATCCATAAATTGCCCATCTCCCGCTGGCAACGGGATCTCACCGACTCCACAGTGCTCCGAAACCTGGGTCTGGGTATCGGCCACTCGCTGCTGGCGTACGCTGCCAGCCTCAAGGGCATTTCCAAGCTGCAGATCGACAGGGCCCGTCTGGCGGCTGACCTGGACAACAGCTGGGAGGTGCTGGCAGAGCCCATTCAGACCGTGATGCGCAGGTGGGGCGGCAGGGGCAGGTGGGGCGGCAGGTGTGCGTGTCTGTGTGTGTATTTGGTGTTTGTGGAAGGGTTTTGAAGGGGGTTAAGAGGGAGAGCTGGGGCTGGGGGAGTGGGGAAAAAACACAGCCACCCGTCATGTCGGGAGGAATTCGTGTGGGGGGGGAAATGTAAGAAAGTACGGCAATTGATTCCGTGACAACATTGGAAATGAAAGTGGAGCGGTTGAGGTAAGGGCCAGAATGTACGAGGGTTCCGTTCTACGTGGCTTGGTACCGTTCGCGTGGCCTTGGGCAGCTGACACATGCCAGGGACACTCAAGCCGTGTGTTTCCGTACATGTACGATGCGTTCCCCGCCATACAGGTACGGCGTCCCGGAGCCGTACGAAAAGCTCAAGGCCTTCACCCGCGGTCAACGGGTGACGCAGGAGAGCATGATGGCGTTTGTGGACGGCATTGACGGTTTGCCGGAAGCTGCCAAAGACCAGTTGAAACAGTTAACCCCGGCCAATTACATCGGAAATGCAGCTCAGCAGGCAGCAAACCTGCAACATTATCTGTAGATAGCTGTATTTCCTATAAAAATTCGGCCTAGACGCTTCTGGGTCTGTAAGCAATAAGAAAGGGTTTCGGGACAAGGTCGAACATGCCGGGGGATGTTTTCAAAAACGATGAAGTAGAAGGACGGATTTCAGATTGAAGAGTTCTTGTCCAGGGCTTGGGCAAGTGAGCCTTTACTTGACTGGCATCGAACGTTTTGGGGCGGGCGGTTTGGGCTTTTTGGGGGGATTTTGCATTGTTGTTTTGCTCTCGGCTTCTGGCCCGGGAAGTACAGAAACTATGCGTAGCATAAGTTGTGCGTGAGTCTTACCTGCGTAGCGCGCTACGTTGGAGTAATACAGCCAAGCAAGGTGCTTTGCTGCCCGTTGTGGGCGGGAAACCGTTCAGGTGTAGACTTGCTAGGTGCGTCTGCCCGCGATGCTCCGGTCCTCTATCACCGGCAAACAGGTGGTGGTAACGGTGTGCGTGTAAGATGTGTAGAATGGTAAACAGAGGGATAATGTTAGTGGTCTGTAGGAGAGCTACTGCCGGCAAGCGAGGATGCGGAGTCTAAGATGGCAGGATGTTTAGTTGGGTCAAGGATGCGAAGTGGGTTACGGTGAAGAGGGTCGGTGGGAGATTTAGAATCTGGGATTGCGGTATTGGTGGGTAGTCCGGCCCTCGCAGCGGCTGTTGGTCCAAAGGAGATGAAGAAGACGGGTCTTGATGTCATCATCTTGACGGGTTTGGGGATTGGGATTTTACATGGTAAACCTGCTTGTTTTGTCGCAGCTGCAGTGTGACATTGCGAACCAAGGTAGGTTGTGCAGCAATGTCGTCATGTTGCACTGAAAGTCTGCATTAATATGAAGCCGCGGCAGGACGAGTGTAACAGTTCTCTCCGCTACATGGAACGTATAATATGGATATCGGATCGTCATAAACTCTTGAATACCGATGTACGATATTCGGGAAGCACTTAGCCGAGGGAAGCGCAAGTCATGTAGACTTGATAGTAGACTACTAAAAAGATCCATTAGATTTAGGTGGTGTTGAAAAACACCGGATTTTGAGCAGGTCACGCGGACGAAATTTAAGCGGACGTGAACTTGGTGACAGCCTTGGTTCCCTCGGACACAGCGTGCTTGGCCAGCTCGCCTGGCAGGACAAGGCGCACGGCAGTCTGGATTTCGCGAGACGTGACGGTCGGCTTCTTGTTGTAACGGCTAAGCTTTGAAGCCTCGGTGGCGACCTTCTCAAATATGTCGTTGATGAAGCTGTTCATGATGCTCATCGCCTTGGAGCTGATGCCGGTGTCAGGGTGCACCTGCTTCAGCACCTTATAGATGTACAGCTTGTAGGTCTCACTCTTGGCAACCTTGGCCTTCTTTTTGGACTTCTTGTCGCCATCCTCCCCACCAGCGGAAGGCTCCTTGGCGACCTTCTTAGCCGGCGCCTTCTTCTCCTTCTTCTTGGGAGCCTTCACAGCCTTGGGCTTAGCCTCAGCCTTAACCTCAGGAGCCTCAGCGGCCTGGGATGCGGGCTTCTCCTCCTTCTTCGGGGCCATATTTGACGAGTAGTAAATGAGTGGATGTTGATATTGCAGGTAACAGTAGAACTCTTGCGCTTTCAGGCGAACCATAAGGAGGTTTATACGAAGACAGGTATGGCTCACCGGGACAAGTTTCCAACGGTAACGGTCAGAAGTGGTTGGGCTCACCGGGGCAACCGCCATGCGATAAATTCCTTAAGAACCAAGAAACATGTTCGGTGTACATCCACACAGTATCTCCTTTTATCTTTTATATTATCATAAATCTGAAATGGCTGGCCGTGGCAAGGGTAAGACCGCTGGCAAGAAGGCCGTCAGCCGTAGCGCTAAGGCTGGCCTGCAGTTCCCAGTGGGCCGTATTGCGCGCTACCTCAAGAAGGGCAAGTATGCTGAGCGTATCGGTGCTGGTGCTCCCGTGTACCTGGCTGCTGTCCTGGAGTACCTCACCGCTGAGGTTCTGGAGCTGGCCGGAAACGCTGCTCGCGACAACAAGAAGAACCGCATCGTCCCACGCCATATCCAGTTGGCCATCCGCAATGACGAGGAGCTGGGCAAGCTGCTTGGCGATGTGACCATCGCGTCCGGCGGTGTGTTGCCAAACATCCATGCCGTGTTGCTGCCCAAGAAGTCCAAGGGTGGCAAGGGCGAGGAGGCTGCCTAAACAATCTGCTAAATGCTCATCCATTATATTCAACTCGGTGTTTTTCAACACCACCCAACCGTTGTATGTTGTCTCCGTCCGATGGTGTATGAATATTCACACGTTGGGCCATCTATTAAGTGCCATTTCTTCGTTTAGTATGTATGTTATTACAGGGTGGTTAACTTCGCCAGCGGCCCCCTTTCCCGGGGCAGTCCCTGCTCTCCCCTGCTAGAGGGGCACCCTAATCCGTCACCCCATCCGACTTCAGAATGTATTCGTTGGGTTCGGCAACTCACCACCAGCATCCAACCAAATCTAGCGGATCAACGGCGCATCAACTTAGTTCCTGGTCAGCTCGCAAGTTGATATTATCACGTCCTACACCGTCCATATGATGGGGGGCCACCTCCCATTTCATCACTCCTCAAATACCCGAGGAGCTGGCAGGCGGATTTGAACCCGGGTCGACTGGATCGACTGGGAGCAGAAGTCAGGCCTTAACTTCTGCCAGCCGCCTGCCTTAGTATGTATGATGTTTAGTACTTGGAAGGAGGTCGCAAGTATCCATGTTATCATATTGTCAACCACTAAGCAGTGTACATGATGGAAGATGCAAGTGAAACCACTCGGGAGGTGTCTCCCAAAAGCCGCCGAGCAGTGCCAGTCCTTAAAATGTCCAGGATGATATGCAAGGCAGTTGAAGGTAGATGAACATAATGTCAACGGTCGGCAAAAGACATGCCAACCACCTGACGATTGCGCAGCGATAGAGGTGTGGGAAGATAGAACCGTGCAAGGATAGCATTCCAGCTTCAGCCAACTTTGCGATACACAGGAGTCGCATCCCCGCAAACGGAAAAAGAAAGATAATAGCGACAGTTTGTTCTTATAGCGACAGTATATATAAGCTATAAGAATAGCGACAGTTCTTCACTAATACAAGGTACAGGTTCCGCATAAATGCAGGGGGCGTCCGTAAAGCTTCTTTATCTTTCGGAGCTTATGGCCCAGAGGTTTCCTGCCTGATCTCCTTGATTGCTAAGGCGTACGACTCCCTTGACCGTACTTTTTGATGGAGGCGATGGGGGCGGGTGAAGGGCTCATTGCGTAGAGACACGGCTGCTGCTGTCAGACACAGATTTGTTGGCGATGGTTAACGGGTTCAGGTTACATAAAGTGCGCCTATCTGTGGGAGTAGTACGGCAGGCTTGGCCCGTAGCGCCTTTGCTCTACCTTTTTCTCAACCCAAGCCTTACCCTATTGATTACAGCGGTTCTGCAGAGCGGCATCAGGTTGAGCCCGGAGGAAAGGGATATCACCAGCCCAATTCGCTGACGACATAGAGCTGGTCAGGAGGAAGCCATCCCTTCAGCCTTCGTTCAATGCATAGAAATTTACGTGAAGGCGTCAGGATAGCAACTTAAAATGGATACAGCAACTCAGCATGGTGGAACTGCTACCCATATGCCCGAGTAATGTTGAGAAGGGTGCACATCGCGGCGTGTATGAAGGTCTTCCAGATGGCGGCCACCCTAAACCTCCCCTTCGCGGACGCAAGGTTCCAACCCGAAGTAGATTGGGGGGAGCAACAGGGCAGGGTGTGGATAGGTTTCATCGCATTGCGGCACTACACATCTCGGTGTTCGGGCACACAACGCAACGGAGGTTTTGGCTTATGGATTGCATCGCATCACTTGGCATATGGAGCATGCGGGCTTACGCGCCGTCGTAGCCTTTTAAGAGGTTGAGGCGAAGGCAGGAAAATCGGTCGACCGGGAACTAGCAACTCAGGATGCGGAGCGCCGTGCTAAGGGGCTCCCCCGGAGACGTATGTCAGGACACTCTTCCATCAGGGGTTTGGGGGCCTTGCCGTTACCGTTACGTAGACAGGTGCAATCCCGTTGGGCGGGATGGGCAATCTCCTTCGTACGGCATGCTAGTGGCCGCCAATTGAATCAGCTACCATGGGTACGGGTGCTTTTGCGGTTTAGTTCGCTGGCCTGCACATTGGATTTAGCCCCATGGGACTGTCCTGACGGCACGCATGAGCGGCCCACGCTTGGACACGTATCTCTACCAGAGGTCGTTTACAGGGCGGTCACGGTGTTGGCGGTCCCTCCCCCTTGGAGGATATCGCTGATCTGCCGTTGGAACCGGACCCGTGGTGCAGCATCACCCTAAGGTTTTCCCGGGTTGCTTCCTCGCATTGAGGATAGCCCTACTCTGATGCACGCTCATCCGGGGATGGAATCTCGGCATTGAGGTCTTGTTGGGATGTTTGGGTTTGTATGTACTAGGTGACACGAAGAGTTTATACCAATGTCCTGAAGTGAGGAGTTTCTGGGGGATTTTCGCAGTCGAGTTCGCAATGGGTGGGCCACAGCTATGCAAGAACAGTGAGCAGAGTCCTCGGATCTCTTATGTACGCCAGTCTCTTCAGGTCTGTAAATTGCAGGATTACCTGGGCGCCTCTTAGCCGACGTCCCACGTCGGTGGCGGACTGCGGTTCTTAAAAGTTAAAGCCCTATATTAACCGTCTCGTCCCGGTCGCAGCAGCTTCCAGAAGTGGGCATTCTCCCATACAAGTTGCACAGCTCCTCAATGGGGGGTTAGGCTGGTGGCTGGTTGGGGGGAATTTTCAGCAATGAGGCCTAAGGGGAATTTACGGTGCGTTGGGGCACTGCATTTCAAGTTTGAAGCACGGACGAAGCCAGCTTGTTACCGCATCATTTGCTTGTACGGGATAATACTTTTAAACTCACAGCGGCCATGCCACATCTTCATGTGATGATTTTGGGATGCGGCCAAATGTGTTGAAATGTGAATGCCTCGTTTTTGCAAGCGACAGCGAAACAAGGAGTGCTGTTCAAGCATCGTGTAATGAGCTCATGCTGGCTGGTGAGGCCGTACTGGCTAAGGAGAGTGCACGATATCTCGGGTTAGTGTATGGGCCAGAACGGCCGTTTTGGGCTTGCCGCCAGCAGTTGTACGACATAGCTAGGGCAGCTATGTTCACGCTGAGTACAAATTGGATAAGCTAAAAGTTGTTTGCGCCAGATGTGAGGATGAGGTGTTTTGGTGTAGGTACGAGCAATACTGTTGTATGGTTGTCACGTGTGGGGACCGTTCATGCTAGCTTAAGGCTCAGGAGGCAGAGTGATGCGAGTAACCTTGCTGAGGGGCCCTTCGAGGCATGTCTGAAGGATGCAGCGGTGCAGCTTCAGGTATCGTTCATGCGGCAAGTGGTGGGAACTGCCAGACCAGCGCACCACCTCCTGTTTGCTGAATTGTCACGGCTACCCCTACATTACCACGTTTCCAAACAGATTGTGAGGTTTTGGAACCGTGTCCGTTTACAGCAAGGGGTATGTGGCACACCAAGTTTTGCGACAGGAGATCGCAGAGGCCCTCTCCAACCCCGAAGGGGCCGGATGGGGGACACTACTCCTCCGTTTTCGAAGTTTTCTGGGGCACGACGTATGGACAGAGGCCCCGCACGAAGTCGACGAACAAGTGGAATGGCTAATGAACAGGCCATTGCCAGAAGGTGCGGTATTGGAGTTCAAGGATCGATTGATGAGTGGTTGGAAGCATACGCGTTTAGATGTCCAGCCTGACGTGTACCCGTCAGACGGCAAGCAGCCAGGAATTCACATGGCGAAGTATAAGAATTGGATGGGTCTGGCGGCTTAGCAAGCGGGCAGGAAGGAGGTGCTCCCGCATGTCCCGGTGTATGACAAAATCAGAGCTGATATGGATTTTCCACGCATATTTTCCAGCATATGAAGGACGCTATGAAGTGGGAACCTGAACGTCTGGCGAAGATGCTGGACGTATGTGGTCCCACCACAACTCTATCGCTCCCTTTGGTCGTTAGTCTCGTTTACCACTTGGTTTGCCGGAAGTGCGAGGTATGAAGTGCTTATAGGCGATCTGGCAGCCCTTGAGCCCTGGGCTCGTATTAAGGCGGTTTGCAGGTACGGAGAACGCACCCTCACGACCGTGTCATGACCATGACCAACACACACACACACACACGGAAGACTAGTGCCCCTCACCCGCCCCCTTCGGGGTTGGAGAGAGCCTCTTCAATTTCTTTAGTCCCATATGAGGGGTTGTTTGCCGGCTTGGTATGGCTGTGGGGCATCTCCTCCACCGAATGGGTCACGAGAGCACGTCACTTGTCGTCATCACTTTTGGGCATGCAAAGTTGCGCAAGCGCTAGTAGATTGCTTGTAATTGTCAGCGGGTTAAGTGGTTGTTCGAAGGCAGGTGTCCGAGGCCATTGCGAAGCGTTATTAAACTTCTGGGTGCGCCTGAGGACTCTTGCGACTCCGGGTTTGGCTCCAAATGATGGGAGGTCAAGGTGGGTCCTCAGCACCTCATCCTTCGTGCTGTTCGGGGCGTCCTCTCGTGAGGCTCCCCATAATTAGATATCGTTATATTTTTTGCCGCATGGATATTGTTTTTACTTGTGGTGCGTTGGGGTTGCTCGTGTACTGGTGCGTCGATGGCCATACCCCATATGCACTACTTCAAAATAGTACAAGAGAAACAAACAGAACTTAACATCAACAGCTCGCGCTGAGATTTGAACTCAGGTCGGTGGATTCAGAGTCCACAGTGCTAACCACTACACCACGCGAGCACCTCATCAGCTGATATATACGAATATCTAATTTATGGTATTTGTCCAGATTAACATCTTAGGGTCAATTTTGGTTTGGTCACAGCAGTGTGAGGGCAAGGTTGAAACCTTCATGTACACGGAGATTTGTTTAAGAGATAGTGCGAAATGCCAAGTCCTAGAAACCAACAGGAAAGGTGGTGTTGAAAAACACCGTTTTGTGGGAAGCGATGATATGACCAATAGGACGACAGCCGCTTAAGCGCGCTCGCCACGGATGCGGCGAGCCAGCTGGATGTCCTTGGGCATGATGGTGACGCGCTTGGCGTGGATGGCGCAAAGGTTGGTGTCCTCGAACAGACCCACCAGGTAGGCCTCAGCAGCCTCCTGCAGCGCCAGCACCGCCTGGCTCTGGAAGCGCAGATCGGTCTTGAAGTCCTGCGCGATCTCGCGCACCAGCCTCTGGAAGGGGAGCTTGCGAATTAGCAGTTCAGTACTCTTCTGGTACTTGCGGATCTCACGGAGAGCCACCTGCAGATCGCCAAGGAAGACGAGAAATGTGGGCTTGCAATGACGCCATGGAAGAGGAGACAATAGACTTGTTACAAGCTACTAACTTACTTCAGTATGAGCCCAGTAAATAAATGTTAATATAGACTCACCGTGCCGGGGCGGTAGCGGTGGGGCTTCTTTACACCGCCAGTAGCAGGCGTCTTGCGAGCGGCCTTGGTAGCCAGCTGCTTGCGGGGCGCCTTGCCGCCTGTGGACTTGCGGGCAGTCTGCTTGGTGCGGGCCATTTTTAATTACACGATGGTGGGAGTCAGGTTGTGCTATTCCAACTGTAGGGCACCATTTTTAAGTTGCCTGACGCGGTTGTCCGTTAGTCGTTGCCCCGGTGAGCGAGCTTGGAACGGATGTACGAAGCCGTTGATAGCTCGCCGTGCCAAGTAAATCAGTTGTCAAGATTAAATTCGATCAGAATTTCCTACTTCTTAAAAAGTAAACTCCAGTCTATCTACCTTGACCCAAAAGGAACAATTGGCAATGTCTGGACGCGGCAAGGGCGGCAAGGGCCTCGGCAAGGGCGGTGCCAAGCGTCACCGCAAGGTTCTTCGTGACAACATCCAGGGAATTACAAAGCCCGCCATCCGCCGCCTGGCTCGCCGCGGCGGTGTTAAGCGCATCAGCGGTCTCATTTACGAAGAAACCCGCACTGTGCTCAAGAACTTCCTGGAGAATGTTATCCGTGACTCGGTCACCTATACGGAGCACGCTCGTCGCAAGACTGTGACCGCAATGGACGTCGTCTACGCCCTCAAGCGCCAGGGCCGGACCCTGTACGGCTTCGGCGGTTAAAGGTCTCCCAAGCGGCAAAAGTCCTTGCCAACACTTCTTACAAATCCGGTGTTTTTTAACACCACAATATGGTCGTTGTGTTCTCGTCATATTACCTCATTGGTGGAGAATGGTGTGTTCTCTCGGTCCTGGACGCAGGATGCTGCTTTTGTTTCCACTCCACTGATGCGAAGTTACGAAGGTTTGGCATCATCAAATTTATGTGAGCACCGCGTTATGAAATCTTACAGGCGGGGTCTTAAGGCGCAGACGAGCTTGGAGGCTGGATCAGGGGGTTGCGATAGATGGTGAGGTATCATGTTGCCAATAGCAAGGTCAAACGGGTACCCAGCAAGGTGGAGGCCGCCGAAGAACTCAGTTTAATATCTGTGCATGAACCCGATCTTCCCAATACCACCATTTACCAACATCACAAAAAACGCGCGGTGCCAAAGGACACCCCCCTTAAATCCGACTTCCACACCTTCCTCTCCCCTCTCCGTGCACATAAAAGCCGCAAATCCCCCCTACTCGACCACAAGCTCGGCCGCCGACCTCAACACGAGCGGCACGGCGAGCAGTTCCATTACACCTAATCCAAGCAAAATCCTTTTTAATTATTTCATTTCCACCTAAACTATCGCTCAGAAAGATACCAACAAAGTTTTGACGAACACGCACCAAATAACAAAACTGTTTCTTTGAATCGCGTGTTCATTCCCTCGTCTTCTCGTCCGGGTCCATACATCATTTTTTTGTCCGTACGAGTGTACATCAGTTTACGACAGGCCCAGGACCTTGCCGCTCACAGGGTCGAGGTCGATATCGTAGAAGCAGGGCCGGGTCGGCAGTCCGGGCATAGTCATCATGTTGCCCACCAAGGGATACAGGAAGCCAGCACCCACGGACGCGCGCACGTCCCGGATGGGAAGAATGAAGCCCGAGGGGGCGCCTGTGTGCGTATGTATGTATGTATGTATGCATGCATGTATATGGATGTGCGGAAGGGGGGGAAGCAAGTTTGCGGGAAGTTGGCACAGGGGAGATGGCGGGTTGGAGATGGGTTGGAGTTGCACCGAACTGGAATGAGCGGGGGGAAAGCGCAACTGAGTGATTTGGTTGAGGGGGGCTGTTGGAGGTGACGGCAGGGGAGGAAGAAGGTGGAGAGGGGGGATTACTTTCCGGGGACACGGCGGCGGCGGCGGCGGCGGCGGCGGGGGGAAAATGAAAGCCGGACATGCGGAAAAGGGTTTTCGGGGCGGAGAGTGGGACTGAGAGAACATGCCAGTTATTAACTTGGCAGGGAGCTGCGATTGTCTCTGTGATGTGTTTTTAGTGTTGTAGGATCCAAGCAACGCTGACAACACGCCACAAGAATTTGCTGCTTCAGTCACAACTCGTCCACTAGGTAGCAGGTGAATGGATGTATTACTGGGGTGTTTCAGAAGTGAGATTGGTTGCATCCCCCCCCATCTGCTCACCCGTGCCCATATTTATGCCCCACAAATTATATACTATATAACATAAAATTGTATGTTATATAATACACACAGACACACGCAGATCCAAAGTTACGAGTCGTGCATTGGCCCCCCAACCCACCCACCCACCCACCCCACAGGTATCCACTCACCCTTCAGAGCTGCATCATGAGAGAAGCTATACTGCGTCTTGGCCATGCAGATGGGCAGCTTGTCGAACCCCATCCGCGTGTACTTCTCAATCTGGGCCTCCGCCTGTAGTACAATGCCGTACGGTACGGGACGGTACTATTCAGGCGAGTGGCGAGGCGACGAGGTACGGAGAGGTGTTGTGGTACCAAGGAAAGCCACAAACAAACGTACGACATACGACACACCTACAACACGTGCCAATCTCTACGACCCCAGCACAGGGATGTCGTCTACCGTACATTTTATTGCCGTACAAACACCTCCATCCTAAAAAATACATACCTCAGGCTTGTACTCCACGCCAGCTGCGTGGTACATCTCCCGAGCGATAATCTCAATCTTCTCCTGTGACGGGGAAAGGCGATGTTTGCGATTGCATGTATGCATGTATGTATGTATATGCATGATTGTGTGAAGTCGGGGGAGATGTCGGAGCTTCACCGGCGTGTGGCCTCTCTCCACTAGCCTGCTGACAGCCCCCCTACCATATCACCGGATGCACCCCCCCCTCGGGGGCACCACCCTCATCCTCCTCCTCATCACCCGCGAGTGCCGCGACTTCTAGGAAGGCAGCACCCACCACCACCACCACCACCATCGACAGCACCACCACCGCCACCGGCATTCATCTGCCGCCCGATCATCAGCGGTGACAGCTCCACTCCACTCCGCTCCCGGTGGTGGTGGTGGTGGTGGTCGGCTCGCAGGTCTCTCACTAAAATCGGGGGGGGGGGGTCCATAGCCGCCCATCCGCATGGGGCCACCCACATACACCCTCCCGGGGGTTGTTCAGGGACTTTTTTTTAACTCTTCGCTTTTTGTCGGGATCGATCGTGAGGAAACGAGAACACACTCACCTTGATGGGCAGATCCACGTCGTACAGAAACTTGAACTCGGGCTTAGTTCCCGAGCAGGCCTCCACCACCGCCTCGCCTAGCTGTACGGCACCCGCACCCCCAAAACCATGGTGCGCGCAGATGACGGCGTCGCTGGCACCTGCACGCGCGTGCGTGTGCGTGTGTGTATGTCTATGTCTATATGTATATATGTAATATAAAAATTTAAATTAGCCAGCGACGAGGAATGCGAAAAAGGACAAAATCGAAACATGAACCCGGCGGAGGAGGAGAGCAACCGGCGGAAAGAGCTACAGCTATCCGAGGGCCAATCGAAGGTGGTGAGAAAGGCTGAGGAAGCGGAAGGTTACACGTCCCCTGGCCGACATGGAGGCGACGTCAGCTGCAGCTGCCCACGCAGCTGCCCTAAGAAGACGCAAGGGCGGATATCATCCGCAGGGGTAAGGCGCAGGTAGCGGGGTGAGGAGGTGGATGCGGGTGCGACAACAGCAACAAGCCGCCAACACACCCGCCGCCAGCGCCGCCTCCTTGACCGCCTGCAGCTCGGCATCTGTGTCCGATGCGAAGCGGTTGATCGCAACCACCACCGGAACGCCGTACTTGCGAGCGTTTTCGATGTGCCTTGCCAAGTTGCAGCACCCCTTGCTGACCAGGTCCACGTTCTCGGTGGTGTAGTCGTGATGCAGGGGGGTGCCTGGGGGGGGGATGTGGGGGGGGGAAGTGGGGGGAAGACGAACCACGAACGAGTGAAGGTGCTGCTGGGGGGTTGGGGTGGGGGACATGCAGCAGGCGCCCGGGTCGGGTCGGAGTGGGGGGGGGATGAGGGGGCAGGAGGGGAAAAAACCCGATGTAAACATGCCAAGGAAATACTATGCATTCATGCTTCCAGAGTTCCCAGCTACTGCTACAGCCGCTGCTTCCAGCTCCGCTTCTGCCACTGCTACAGACCCTGTAGTTTGGACTGCCTGTCAGCTAACCAGCCCTTTGTCC